AATTACAATGCTTCTTCAATAGTTACCGCTTACTTCTTCGAATTCAAGCAATGTTCATGGACTGTTAAAGAACCTTGTAATTTATCAATTTACAGCTCACTCAAATATTTTGATTCTTCGATAGTTACCACTACATAATCAAAGAGAACTGTCAGGTTTCGAAGAATTTTCTCCATAACTAGAAGATCTGTCATCTTTTTTCCATTAACTTTCATGTGATTAATCAATTTTAGTGTGCGCAACAATACTCATCAACATTCTCATTGTCTTACATTCGAAGAAGTTTAGATTCTGTACGTAAAGTCTACAACTTCACCTTTTTTGCATGGTCTGCTCCATTGTACTAATTGTTTAAAACGTCCCAAGCTTCTTTTGCAGTTTCATCATACATGATCTTCTAAAAAAAGTAGATAATTCAACCTTTTAAAAGATGTAATATCCGGCTTCTTGATTTTTCTTCTTGACATGGATTTGTCTCTTGTACATTCACTGATTTTTAAACTCCGTTCTCGACGACATTCCAAGCATCAATATACTCAAAGAAAGATTGCATTTGAATTTTTCAATGTTCAAAATTAATTTTTTCCATCAAATTTAAACACAGAACAATCCACAAGTCTTGTGTTAGAACTCAACCTTCTAGTTGAATGGCTCATCTACAAGATGTAGGAAAAAATTCTAAATACCCAAACACAACATTTTATCTTATTGATATCAAAACACTCAAACACTATACTTTATTTTATTAATTCAAAAACCAGCACTAACTGTGCACACATTAATTTATTTAAAACTTACAAATCAATTGACTATAATTCAATCCACATACAGGACACTAATGTTATTTTAATCACTAGAGACACACACAAAAGAAAGATGAAACTCTTATATTTATAGAATCTTTACACCAATCAATAATAAATCTTACATTAATTGAATGAAATAAAATTCAAATACAAATACAAAAACAAAAATTGTATAGTTTTTATTTCTTTATTATTGTATTGTTTATCATTTGTAACTAGCCATTTGCAATTGTTTGGTTAATAATAATAATAATAATAAAGCATTCTCATAAGCTTGCACGAATCATTCAGCATAGATTTTTGGCAGGTAGGAAATCAATACATATTAAGAGATCAATACTCACCAGGAGATCAAATTTTTAAGACATAAATATTGAATATTAATACTTTTTCTCGATTTATTCTAAGCGTGTGGTTTTGCCCATGTACATTAGGTGGTGCATCAATTCGGCTCTTTGCTTCATAACAAATATAATCAGAAGTGAGGTCGATCTGCCCAGAATTCAATGGTGGTAGTGATCTTTTAAGTCTAGTAAACATGAAATAAATAAAGAAATTTTGATTTGGTGAATATAGCGCGTAAATTCGAAAATGAGTTTAAGTAAATATTCAAGTAAACAATGTAAATTCAGTATTTATTTGGCAGACTATCGCAGTGCTAATGAAGATATCGATTTAGGATTCAATTATTTGTTGAATAATGAAATCAATCTTTCTTACAGGCAAAACATGCTCTAATCAACCCACCGTTATTTAACAACCACAGATCGATGCAAAGATTTAATCAAACAATGGCTATGTATTAGAAAGATCAACAAATGGGAACTGTACAACACATGTGTACATTTGTGGATGAGACAATCATGCAAATCATTAGTTTAGTATGACAAATACATGCAGTTCTTACACAAAGGGATTGAACAGTGCAATTCAATATTAATATAGATTATCTGAAGCTAATAAAATAGCTACATGCACATTAAGTGACGAAGAATCATGAAAATAAGCATTGAAAAAGTTCAATACTGAAATTAAAATAAGCGTGGCGCAGTGCGTGCGCGCGCAAATGCGACTGAAGCAAAGCGAGGAGAGAAGCAGGCTACCGTGGCGACCACCATAGCTAGAGGAGAGGGGGGAAATGGGGGCGCCTCTTATGAGTGGCTCCTACAGGGGTTGCTGCCTGTCTGCTAGACCCATTTATACAGGGTGTCACATTTCCCAAGGTGGTACGTAGTATTCTCTCACTGCTTGTGGAGTTGGCGTCTTTTACGAGTCACGCGAGTTTTCGAACAACACGCGGTCTGACCCATTACCCGTTTGCAGCCAGATTTCGAGCGTGCCGCGTCAAGTGCCGCCTTTAGATCCCGCAGTAGCCCACATGTGCGCGCCCGACAACGTGGCCCATGACACATTGCGGCGAGTGTGCCGCTGCTGTGTTTTCCAACTGTTTGAATTGGCTCGGTCGCAAATTCTAACATATAACAACATGCCATTTTTCAATCGGGTTAAACACAGCATAAAGCTACAATTTGCCAAACATCATTTGGGCATCTCAAACTAGTAAAATGTGGGGGTAGGCACGTAAGCATTATCACTTGGCCAGTGGCAGCCACGATTAATATGCGATGCTATTTTCAGTGGCTTATTGGTGAAATAATGAGAAACTTTGTATTATTCATTGAGTAATTAGTTTACTTCATATGAGAGAAAGATAGACATAAAAAGAAGAGAAAATAAAAAGTGAAAAAAATTAAACTCTTACATTTATAGAATCTTTACACCAATCGATAACAAATCTTACATTAATTGAATGAAATAAAATTCAAATACAAAAAAAAAAAAAAAAAATTGTGTAATTTTTATTTCTTTAGTATTGTATTGTTTATTGTTTGTAACTAGCCACTTGCAATTATTTGGTTAATAATAATAATAAAGCATTCTCATAAGCTTGCTCGAACATTCAGGATAGATTTTATGGCAGGTAGGAAATTAATACATATTAAGAGATCAATACCTACCAGGAGATCAAATTTGTAGGACATAAATATTAAATATTAATACTTCCTTGATTTATTTATAACCCATGGCAGCCACAATTAATATGCAATACTATTTTCAGTGGCTTATTGGTGAAATAATGAGAAACTTTGTATTATTTATTGAGTAATTAGTATAAGTTACTTCATATGAGAAAAAGAGATAAACATAAAAAGAAAAGAAAAATAAGAAAAAAATTAAATCTAAGTGAAAATCTTCATATCACTTTTAATAAATTCAAATATAATTTTATATATATATATATATATCTTTCTTTGAAAATAGATGTATAAAGGAACTATTATATATTTAACTCTGCAAACGATCTGAAAAGCTTTGAACTCGCCATCAGTGCAATGATGTCTTAGATAAGGTAAAAAGCTTAACGTTTTATGACGGATGCGTGATTTACTTACGTCTCTCTTTACATTGATTGTTAGAGTTGTTTTGCTAGTTGATTGGAAGGGAACTTGTGGATCGGATGGAAATGTTTTTTTCTTCTTCCGAGATGCCATGTTTTATTATTTTAAAGGTATAAAAATTTGTTTTAAGGATGTTTGATATATTATATATAAAAAGGTACATTTTGATTGGAGAGAGGGTAATTAAATTCTTAATGATTATTGATGAGAGAGAAAAATAAAAATTACTTAAGGAACATTTTGAGAAAAAGAGAGTGTTAAAAATTAAACCAAACAAACTTCAATTTTACAAGTGTAAATTTTAACCATTATTATTTCTCCACTAAGTGTGATCGCGCTACTTCAAACTGTTGTTCGCTACACCAAAGTGATGATCGGTGTTTTTTCATGCGAATAAATTATAAATTAGTCTCTATTGTTTAAGAAATAAATTAATCATTTAGTTTCTTATGATTTAATTTTATCAATAACTTAGTTTTTTTTTTTGTTAGATTAGTAATTTTTTGTCAAATTGCTCTTTTTTAATGTCTTATTTTTCTTGTTCATCTACTCTCTTTCTCTCTCCTCAATCAAAAAAAAGCAATTAAAAAAATTACTATCTAATGAAAAAAATGATAAAAAATTAAATTATTGACAAAATTAAAATATAAATAATTAAATAATTAATTTCTAAATGAATGAGAATTAATTAATTTGTATATCTAAATGTACTCCCTCTACAAGATCAGTTGCTCCTTACCATAGGCTAGGGTCTTTTTGGACCGGCTCATTATATATTTTCTTTCAGGCCCAAAGCGACCTTCGAGGCTTCTTTTTAGAACTGGTGTTTGTATCTCTTTGACTTGGTCACTTCTTTTAATAAAATCAATTTATAACGTTGATAAGAAAAAATCTTAGCCTGCCTCGCTGTAATGAAACCCATTTTCTAGACATGTCCTACTAATTGAATCCGTCAACGAAGAGAGAGTTAGAAACCTGGTTAGACTCAATTTTCAGTTTTGTTTGCAAGGCTATCTTCACTGATTGCTGCTTTCTAGTTTCAAGTTTCTTTTCCAAGAAAATTTTAAGCTGAATTTCCCTCATGAAGCCATTCCAATAGCAATTTCTTTGACGCCACTCTATCAACAAAATTACTATACTTTTCCCAATTGACAGGATGCATTAAAGATATTCTGATAATTCTATGCTATTACCCATTAAAGTATAGAGATCATTTCATTTCAAATCATTAATTGTCAAGTAGCCCAAGACAAAGATAATTTTATTCCAAAATATCCTTTCTGTAATTCGTCAAGACTATCCATGGATATTTAGCCTAACATTACGTGCATGCCAAGATAGAGGGCAGCCGTATAAGAGTATAATTTGAGTATTGTCCTTGCCGTTCTAACATAAAATAGAAAATAAAAGACACCACTGATCAAACTGTTAGTTAATCTAAAGTATGACAGAAATTAATTTTAACATTTCATTTTTCATTTCGATTTCGCTTCTCCTTCCATTCATATAAATTTTGGATTGAAAATTAGAAACATGTGTGTTATCTCCTCATTAATTGTCCAACACCTTCATTTTCCTTTCATTTGATTGAACAGATATATGCTCGTGGCAATATGAAAAATTTAGGAAACAAAAACCATATATAGGCAAAGAAATTAAAATCATAATTAATATTTTCTAACAATCTAAACTGGCAACCGAAATTTGTGTTTCTCCCCTCCCCCTGGCGCCGCGATTAACAACTCATTGGAGGAAGATCGGAGGTCTTTCGATACGGCGGCAACTCTGTATCCTTGAAAACTCTACTTCCGAAAATCAAAAACCCTACAAGATGTCCAGCAACGGCAACAATAAACACACCACCATTAAAGGACATGACCGCAAGCATTACCATATAGGCAAGACCAACCCTGATAGCATGTATTAATGTCTGGATAAGACCAGCTGCGACATCGTTAGACCCTGGCTTGATGAATCGGCAATGAGAGAGCCACTCAACCAGGACGGCAAGCACAAAAATGAATACCAACGCTATCACGTACATGCCTGAACTTGTACCAGGCCAGCCAGAGAAAAGGATCAATGCATCCTTGCCCCAAAAGAATGTCATGTGCATCATCATCTTGTGGTGCATTCCGTTGGTTCCGTTCATGATTGCTGATGGCGGCGGTGGCACGCCACTCATGCCAGGCGTTTGTTGATCGTGGTCCATTAATTTTCGTTGAGAATGAAGGAGGGCTTTGGAAATTGGAGTTTTAATTCTCTTAAGTTAGTTTCGCGATTATGGGTAAGAGGGTAGATATTAGCGATAAATGAGAGAGATTTAGAGTACAAAATAAATTTGTACTACATACTAGTTTAATTTTTGTAGTACAACAAATAGTGATTTTTGCTTTCTAAATATGGTCCTTGCGCGATATACATGCGTTTAGGATCCCCCCATTGAATTTTTGGCGATGTCTACCGTTTTATGATTTAAGAGACAGATTCATTGTAACTAATATCGTTACCACAGTTGGCTATGATCTCTATGAATTCTTCTAAAATAAATTACAAATTGATCCTTTTAATCTTTCTTATTTCAAAAACTATATTTTTAAATTTTCTTATAACTTAATCTTTTTCTTTCTTTCTCTCTTTTCAATTTATTTTGATTTTTTGTTTTAATAAATATAAAAAAATTAAAAATTAATGAGAAAAGATGACATTTTTTGAAATAAATAATATTAAATTAAGTATAGTTAACATTAGTTAATTAGGGACTAATTAATTTATTTATAAAAAAAAGAGAGAATAATTTATAATTTGCTCATATTTTTTGTATTATTGTACTGTGTTTTGAGTATTTTGTTGTGCTATGTTGCATTGCTGGTTAAGAGTTGTATTGATAAAAATCATAATTTGTTGTTGTGTTTTTAACAATTTATATTTTCACTTTAAAAAAAATAATGTATCCCACAACAAATAACTTTGATTTTTTTTTTTTTTTGTTAAAAATTATCGCTACACGACGTCGGACGGGACTCCCCAAAGATTAAATCTAAGTTTTAATTATTTACAAAATTATTTACGAGTTTTGGAGTCGTCACCTAGTATTTAAAGAACTAGTAACCTAAAAGTAGCACTGGTTCGGAGATCTCTAAGGTAAGGAGTTGGTTACACTTTTAGAAAGATATTTAATCGCCTAAAAGAGTCATTTTCAAAAAAGGTAATATGTGTGGTTTAGTTCTAAAATCATCTCCTAAAAATCCATGTCAAACTATTTTCTAATTTTTAAACTCCTATTTTTTTAAGACAAATTGAATTTTTTAGTTTTGAGCGTGGCATCATATTGAAACGATCGTCGGTCTCTTTCGTCGGGTGACAAGTCGGTTCAAACATCGAATTCACTAAAAGCCTTAACACAACCGACGTGTCGGAGGACGTCTTAATTAAAAGGTGATTTTTGGTAACGTCGATCCCTATCAAATAGGAGACTTTGTCGAAAATTTTGAATATTTATTATTATTTTTTTGGTGATGTCGGTTCCTACTATGTAGGAGGCTTCGCCAAACTTTAAGGTATTTTTTTTTGTGACATCGGTTCTTATAAGATAGGAGACTTCGTCAAGATTTTTATAATTTTTTTTCCTAAACAATATATATTAAAGAAAAAAAATTGAAGTAGCAATTCTAAATGAATATAAGAAAAAAACGACAAGGAATAAAAATAAACGAAGCTAAAAAAATAACAAATAAAAGTAAAAAAAAAAAAAAACGATAGATAGATAGATGAATCAAAAAAAAAAAAATCATCCTATACCTAAACTATTAACTCACAACTTATTGCTTTCCTACCCATTCCCTTTTTCTTTCTCGTTTTTTTTTTATTTTGTTTTCTTTATTTTTTTTATTACCCCTTTTTGTTTTGGGAGAGACTGGACTTCCGACCTCTCTTGCGTTTTTTCTTTTTTTTGGTGCAAAGGCACGAACCGGGCTGAATTTAGTCCAGCCTCTACTCTTCTCTCTTTTTTTTTTTTTTTAGGCAAAGGGACACGGGCTGGACTAAACTCGGTCGACCCCTCATTTTGTTTCTTTTTCTCGGGTCAACTCGGACCAGGCTGAAATCAATCCAACCTTTGTTTTTTTTTTATTTTTATCCTAGTTGGGCTACAAACCGAAAACACGACCCATTTCCCTCATTTTCAAATTAAAACACATTTTTTAACCCCCGACACTCCCATTCATGTTGTTCTTTATCTTCTCCCTTTTATTTTCTAGCCTTCATTAGGATCAATGTTCGAGTTTTTTATCAATGTCTAAACAAACTTGGTTTACTTACTTCATTGAATTGACCCTTATGATCTAAGAAAAACACGAAATTACACAACATCAATTTAAATAAAGGCAATTCAAAATTGACGAAACAAAACAAAACCAAAGCCGACAAGGTTTAAAACCAACTCAGGTAGATTTGCGGAGTGGGTTGCGGATGTTGAAGTTTTTTATATAGCTTTGACAAATGGGGATGCTTGTATGGTGCTCAAGACTCAAGAATTAAGTCTAGTAAAGGTCGAGGGTACGGGAAACAATCCGAACCGATGAACACAAAGGATGAACCCGGAAAATCTCTAGGAAACCCAAAAGCCACCAATGCTATCCCCTCGCGAATTTTTTTCATTTTCACTCTCGATCCTTTCCTTCCACTCCAATGAACCAAAATCTTCCCGAAATCGGGATTAACAATCCATCAAATGGTCTCGAGGTTAAAGAACACAAACTCAGAAATAAGAACACCTTCAAATCAAAACCCGTAAAAACAAAATAGTTATTTGTTCTAAAATCTTTCGATTTTTCTCTCAAACCGAATTCTTTCCCCTCCCCGCTTTCTCTATGAATTCAAACCCTTTTTATAGCCACAAATCTCCTTGAATTCCTCATAGAATCAACAATCAATCTCGAATTTTGTTGTCAAGATTTTAAAATCTCAAATTTGAGATTCGATTAGCTAATCAACAAAGAAAGGAATTAGTGATTGCTTGATTCTCTCGTCAAAAATTAATTCGATCAAGAATCGTGATAAATGCAGAATCAAAACAAGAAATTTGTGGAGGATTTGGGCGATTCTCCTAAAGATTTTTGGAGAGAATCTGCATTGGAGTGGACGACGAGTCGTCCTCTCCATTGCGATCTCGTCGTTCGCTCCAAACTTTCGCTTTACTCTTCGTGCATTTCAATTTCAACAATCATGCCCTTCGTGGTACAATTTCAATCTTTATAAAGTGAAATTTTATCAATTGAATTCTCGTAAGAAGTAATTTAGGTTCTATATTTTTCAATTAGTTTGATTATACTCCTAATTACTTCAATTATACCTTTATTTAAATGCAATTGTGCCCATGAATGAATGTTTTTGTGTTTTTTTAACATTTTCTTTTTTTTTCTTTTTTCGGTAAACTTCAATTGAAATAAAACAAAACATACATGAAATAAAAATATAAAATAAAATAATAAAAAAGGTAAATTTGGGTTATTACAAAAATGAGAAATTTTAAAATATTTCGAGAGTAAATATTGTATAGTTATAATAATTACTACCTAGGTTAACTTTGAGGAAAAATAGATAGACATGAAAAATAAATAACTAATAAATCACAATTATATCCATACAAAATGATAAAAATATTTTTATTTATGCTCAAATTTCTTTTCTTTTTTTCCTCTCTTATTTCTTTCTCTCTCTCTCTTTTACAAAATAAGTATTGATAGTTATTCCTAGAATAATATAAAATTTCTGGTTAAAAATAGGGATATTTCAGTTTGATTCAAAAGCAAAACAATTTTCTTTTAAATTGTCTTGTGTTTTGCTTTAAAGCAAAACAAATCTTAATCAAATAATACTAACTTTAGACAAAAACAGGTAAAATAATTAAATTTTGAAAGTATAATAATACCAAACAGTTTTAATGTATTAAACGGAGTATATTAGATCGATAATCAATCTCTAATGGTGAACAACTGATTTTTGTGAAAGAACGAAAAATGTAAGAACCTTTCTAATAAATTACCAGGCTTCTCTCTGTGACGGTGAAATACATTGTAGCTATTGACGATATGGTCCTTAGAGCAATGCAGATAATATTTGAGTCTCCTTATCTACACATTGTTATGCGTTCTCATTTGTAGCATTCTAACAGAATTGAATTGAGATTCTCTTTCTATGTCACGGGATCGATTGCCTTAACTTCATTTCCTCAGGTTCACGGATCTATCAGTTTCCATGTTTAGAGTCCCAAATATTCATTTATAAATAATTCCTAGTAATCTATTAAAAAACTATAAATTAATTAAATAATACACATGCTTGTATGAAGCACGTGTCAAAAAAACTAGTCTATATAAAAATGCAAGAGTTAATAAAAAAAATTAAAAGAAAAAAATTAAAAAATTTAAACTATTTACTATTTACACACTTGCAATATAATATTTATTTACTATTCATTTAGATTTATGTGCATTATGTAATGATATTTTTGTGTTTTTTAGGTTATATTGAGACATTTATATCCAATTTCGTTTTTCTATTATACTTTGGTTTTTTATGTGTTTTAAAAAATTATTTTAGTCTTCAAGGTTCTTTATATTGTAATTTGATCCTTAAATGCAAAGAGCAAGAGAAAAAACCACGATTGGCTCTAATTTTGGGTTCTTTGTGGTCGATATTGCATTCATATTGTTTATCCCGATGAGTAAAGTATATTCATGATGGTTTAAAGCTATAAATAATTTAGGAAAAAGTAGATTGAAACCTAAAAAAAATAAAATTTTCAATTTGATAAGTTGCTTTTTTTTTACCAAAATTTTTTAATTTTTTTTATTATTGAATTGGGTGCAAAAATTATAGAAAATTAATCATTATTTTTTTAGTTTTTTACAAAGGTTGATAGTGATGAAATATAAATTATATTTTTTTAATTTAAAATGATAATATATATCAGATTATATTACTCTTATTGTTTAAAATTGATTTTTTTATTTATCATTTTTTTATCGAAATTCTCATGAAACTAATTATAAATTTTTTATATAATTTTATTTTTTAATAAATATGATTTATTTTTTTCTATATATGGATTTTTGAACAAAATTTAGAATATCATATATATATATATATATGTATATATATATATATATATATTTATGATAGAATCTTATGATTTTTAGATGAGAGTGTTAAAAAGATAAAAGTGTATTTTAGATAATTTGTCTCAAACCTTCGAAAAAATTGAATTCAGTGTTTTATTTGCTTCTTCTTTATATAATAAAAAATTAATAAAATTATCTTTTATTTTTTATTTCAATATATTAATATTAATATATTTCTTGTAATTTTTTATTTATTTATGCTACACATTTTTAACTCATCGGTATGGCCAATGATGTGTGTGTGTATGTATGTATGTATATAAACTGAGATAATTAATTTTATTAGAAATTAACTATACATCTATATACATGATACCAACTATTTGTTATTATTTTTTTTAACATTCTAAAATCAATTTTTTTCAAATAAAATAATAGAATAATATTTTAAGAGAACTATTTAATTATTCAAATACGGCTTTTTATACTAATATTATTGATTATTTTATAAATAAATATATATAAATCAAATGAATATTTTTAAAAAAAATATTCTTCTCATCATAATTAAATAAGAATGAAAAAAAATTCATTTGTAAATTTTCCTACCATTTTTTAATATTAATTTTTGTTTTATTTGTTTTAATGCAATCTTATTAAAAAATATTAAGGTATTTTTTAAAATGTTGGGTTAAATATTCTATTTAGATTAAATTAATTATTTCTCATTAAATTATGTTATTTTGATAAACATAAAATCATTTAACCGAAGTATGATATTAATATTGAATATTATTACATTTTTTCGAGGCTGAAAATTACTTCTAAACATGAGATTTTTCCCTTAGAGGTGTTTATCAAATAAGCAAGTAAAGCTCAAGTTGAGCTTAAGTTACCCAATTTTTCGATTATCTTGCCTCCCACTAAAGATGAAACACAGACACCTGTCCTGCACTAGGTACCCAACACAACTTTTTGCCACTATCATGACAACCAAAAAGAAATTCGGCTATAAATAATAGTTTCAAATTTCCCAATATCAGCATAAGAGTTTCCAAAAGGCTTCAATGCAGTCCTTTTCCAATTTCCATTATTATTTTTTAAAAAGTATTTTTATATTTTTAAGGGATTTCGTAGTATATTGTTCAATTTTTTTGAGATTTGGGAGCAAAAAAATAAGAGAAAACTATTAGCTATTTAATAGTAGCGAAGGAGCTTGAGCATTAAATCAAAATACGAAGCATGAGTTTTAGCATATTGTGTTGCAAGAAGAATGTGTAAACTTTGCAGTTAAAGGAATGGTTTTCATAATGTTATGTTGCGAACTCAAGAACAGCATTCTATATATTTTCAAAAAAATAATAATCATATTTTAAAATTTTATTCTAAAATTCAAATTTAGAGAAAAATTAATCATATTTATCAATAAATAAATTTTATATTAAAAAAATTAATTAGAAGAGAATTTTATATAAAAAAATGACTAATTTAAAAAATAAATTTTAAATAGTACGAGGGATATAATCTGAAATAAAAAATATAAAAAATTAGTGTGTGTATATATATTATCTTTGCTATGTTGAGTGAAAAATATAAATAATAACGTTTGATGCTTCATAATTGTTTCCTAAAAATTCTTGATTAAAAAAATTAGAGAGAAAAAAAAAAAAAAAACAAACAAGGATTAGGTCCGTGCGCTTGGATCTGGAAGATCAAGCTCGCATGCCTAGACCGGAACAACCAAGCCTGCTTGGGGCGGGGGAAAAAAAAAGATCGATTGGTTGCTATTTTTGGCGGCCATTGTAATTGCCTGCAAGGTTGATTTTAGTCAAAAACACAAAACCAAATTTAGCTTTATTTTTGTTAAAAGAATATCTCAAAAGTAGAGAAATAACATAAATAAATTTATTTAAAACCTCAAAACTCATTTTAATTTACACAAAAACACACTCGAATTCAAATAAATAAAAATTGTAAAAATAAATAAAAATTGTAAATATTTTCGGATCTCAATCTTCCTCCTTCGACCATTTCATCGCTTGTAACCATAAAAAACAAATTATATTATTCAAAACGAACAAAATGATGGCAAACTTGACCTTTGATGGACCAGTATTTTGGGGTGGCTAGAATGAGCCTCGCCTCCCTCCCTCTCTCTCTCTCTCGTTTTTCTCATTTCTTAATATGCAAGGATCAAAATGAATGAAAAACGAACCTACAAATAAAAAAAAATAATATTAAAAAATAAAGAACCAAAGTGAATATTTTTAGATAAATAATGTGCTTGAACAATGAATGAATAATGAAATATGAGATAGTGAATAATAAATAAATAGTAAAATTTGAATCTATAAACAATATATCCAAAGTATTTTTAGAGTTTGTTTTGGTGTATTTAGTAATATTAAGCCAAAAACAAGTAAAATATTTGTGCTTTAAAAGCATAATAATATCAAACAGATACCTAATTGGTTAAGAAATATAGTGTACGGTTCAAAATGAAAAAATAATTAGTCATTCTAATCATATCAACAAGCCTAAATGGGCATGAATGTTAAATGCCATTAATTTTCCATCAATATCGGCTCCCTCGATATATGCACCCTCTCAGTATTGTTAAGATTTATACGTTGAAAGTGATAGATGGAATAGATATCATCAAGTACGATGTTGGGTGATTGCTATGTCCCATACCATTTTTCCCCTCACAAATGATGTCCAAGGGGGAAAAAATGGATATTGCTACATTAATCTGTATCCTTATAGGACATTATTTAGAGCACTACTTCTTCCTTTCTTTAATTTTTTCCTCAAAAAAATTCTATTACTCCAAACTGATGCTTCTTTCTTCAATGAAAATTCCAGTGGACTAACTTGTTTTGATTACAAACGAATAAAAGAGATATTAATTAAAATGGGTTTTGTCTGTCACAAAATAATAGTAATAATAATAAAAGGATTTGACAAAACGGCCTTCCCACTTTATTGTTTCAATATTGTCCCAAACGCTCAACGCAAAGGCAAAAGGCAAAAACCTGCCTTTAAAAAAAAAAAAAAAGAGTAGGGACTGATTAATTTTTGTTGACCATCGCCGGGCTGTGAATCATGCACGTCTATTCCAAACCACTATATGATAAGCGGCAAGGTAAGGCATGAACTTTGCCTTTTTTTTTTTTTTTTGGCAGAGTGAGAATTTCCTGAGGGAAGATCAGCTAGCTGTACCGTGGCTACACAATCAAATTGCGATTCTTTTAATCCGAACAAGTCAAATATATATAGAAAAGAGGGTTTAAAATAGACTTTGCGCCTAAATCATCCATTCTCTTCGAATAAGTCTGATAATAATTTGATTGTACATAACTTTTTGGTGACAAGTGGTCGTACTCCATGAAAGATAAATATATATATTTTTTAGAATAAGAAAAGATAGTGTTGTTTTGCTCATTAAAAATTAATCTATAAGAATCAATTGATTATTTTAAATTTCAGAGACGTCAAGTCGTCAAGGACGTATGAATTGATTTATCGAATTCAGTACAACTACATTTTCTTTTTCGATAACATCGGCTAATAACATATGAACCCACAAAATTCTGATTGATGTAACATGCAAAGCAAACGTCAATGAAGCATCATCGTCTTTTGAAATTTAAAGAGAGAACCATCATATTGAATAAACGCACCTCTAAAATATAACCCTAAAAAATACTATCTGGTTTTGCACAAGAATATTGATTTTCGAAAGAAATTCATTTATTGTTAAAACCGATTCGAATTAGCCTAAATTTTACATGGTTATAAAATTTAAATTATCCAATTTTCTTTCTTGTAAAAAACATCATCATTCAAAATTAAACCAAAATTGGTGATCTTCGTATTCAGATTTTGAAGGCTCAAGATAGTTTGATGGCGCATCGCTGTGGAAAATAACAAGTCATTCCTTCTAGACTTCACGCCTTCGAGGCAACTTGCCATTAATTTTCCATCAATAAGACCCTATCCTATCCACCTATGGACAGTAAAATTATTAGGTCAATTAGAAAATTGATTTCTGGTGCCCACCGTTTTCACAGCCACTCAATCAATTTATATAGGATTTTTCTTGAGAAAAAAACAAAAGAACATACACAAATTTCTGCTTTCTTGCTTCCTCTTTCTCCGTAATTAATTGGGCTAAAAATTCATCCATTGGTAATAAGAATAACTAGTTCAAAAAAAAAAAACGGATATTTAATTTTCACAAATAATCATCCACACCTCAGATTCTTCAAATTTTAAAAAGCGGAAAAAAAAAAAAACCAAAACAGCTGTAATTAGACAGAACAGTACAGTTTCCAAATCTAACTCCTAGTTCAACAACTTATTGGAGGAAGATCAGAGGTTTTTGGAGGAATTTGGGTTTTCTTAAAAACCCTACTGCCAAAAAACAGGAACCCCAGAGTATGCCCAGCCACAGCAACCAAGAACACACCACCATTGAAAGACATGACAGCCAACATGAGCATATAGGCTAAACCAACCCGCAAAGCGTGCAATAGAGTCTGGACTAGACCAGCCGCCACATGGTTGGAGCCAGGCTTGATCAATTGGCAATGGGATAGCCACTCAACAAGAATGGAAAGCACAAAAACAAATAGCAAAGCCACAAAATACATGTACGGCCTCTTATCAGAACTTCCAGGCCAGCCAGAGAAGAGAATTTCAGCGCTCTTTCCCCAAAAGAAGGTCATGTGCATCAGCATCTTGTGGTGGTGCATCATGGCTGTCATGTTCATGGGTGGCGGTGCAGCCATGCCCCCATGCCTGGCATATCATGACCATGATCCATGCTCTCTATCTCTCTAATAAAACCTTATGCTTCTTTCCTGTTAATTTAGGGATGAAGCGAGGACAAGAGGAGATGTTGAGGCCTCCTGAGGGTGTTGAGGTTATTTAATGAAAGAGTAAACTATTTTTTAGCCCCTATACTTTTAACACTATTATAACTTAACCCTTCATTTTCCAAAACTATAACATAGTCTCTTGATCCTTGTTAACTAATAACTATTTTGTCTTATTAGAATATTTGTTGGTTTTTTTTTTATAAATCGGAAATGTACCCTTTGAAAATATAAATTATTAGAGAAAACCAATATAACGAAGGTTTAGATAAAAACTAGAATATTTTGATTAGATAATGGTAAAAAAGGGTTGCGAGACTAAGATGAAGGTCGTCAGACATAAAGGATTAAGCTATAATAATACTCAACATCAAGGGATTATAAAGTAATTTAATAAAATCAAGGGTAGTAGAATACGTAGTAGTACTGTGTTTATGGTACAGATGTTGGGTGTTGGGAGTAGGAAGTAGTAATTGTACTGCATTTATTAAACGATGCACTATTCTTTATGCTTGTTTTATGCTATTAGATGCCAAAATAGAGTGTATCAGAAACGGCATGATAGGACGATTCCATTTTTTCGGCTCATATATATATATATATATATATATATATATATTGTTACTGCACTGCTCAGATTGAGACAAAGTAAAATCTTAAGCCACTTCATTCATAAAAAAATAAAAAGTCAGTTACACGTTGGTAATTGTTAAGAGGTGAACATTCGGGTTTTTTATTTTTAACATTTTGATTTTCTTTTTGGTTAAACGAATTCATCTGAGGAAAAAAATAAAATAAAAAGGTTAAAGACCCAAACTGAAACCAAATATGTATTCGATTTTTTGGCTTATGAAATCAAAATTTTAGTTTTTCAATAAAAATCGATCTTTTTTTCATAATTTTTTAAAGTAACATAAATAGATAAAAGAAAAATTATGTTAAAGACTATGAAGTCTTTTTTCTAGTTCAAATGATATAAATTAACTTATATTCATATATATATATATCTATAATATGATATGATAAAAAATCATTGGTGGTTCAAATTTGTTGTAAACGGAAATATCAAAATTTAAAAACAATCAAAGTTTAAACTTGATTTTTTAAAAAAATTATATAATTCGGTTTTCAATTAAAATAGAATAAAGATTTTAAAAACCAAATAAAATTGAATAATAAAAATTTATTTTATTTTAATTTAACCGAATTTAATTAAAAATTAAAACGAATTGGTATTTTAGTTTTAGTTTGATTTTGGTTAATCTAACAGAATACTGCTAGCCCCGGATCTGCAGGAGTAATCACGGGTCGGGCTGATCCGTTTTAGGACCAAGCTCAATCTGGTGCTATTCATTTTTGTCAATGCGGGCCCAGCCTTGCTCAGTTTTTTGAGCTAATATCTAGACCTAAACCCAGTCTTTAGTGGGCTCTGACCTTTTAGTGCCGGTTTCGGATTTTTACTTATATGTACAAACCCGCTTATGAAAATACATGTACAAAATAATAATAATAATAAATAAATAAATAAACCCGCAAAATATAGTACCTTGTTCCTTCAGGACACGCACTCTATACTGCTACCATCTAGGGATGGCAATCTGATCCACCTTGATAGGATTTCGTCTCGTTTCGTTCCATTTTAAGCGAAGATAGTATGTAAAATATGTCCCAAATGGGACACGGGACACAAACGAGGATGATCATCGTTGTCCTGTCTCATCCCTTTGTCTTTAGGAATGACAATCTGACAAACTCCGTCCCATTTGGGACAAAGATGATATGTAAAATATGCTCGGACGGGACACGGGGTTAGGATGGGATGGCCCACTCCATTGCCATCCCTACTACCATCACAGAAACCAAAATATGCTATGAATTGACTCCTCTCCTTTCTTTCTCAGTTGGCTATGCATCTTTCTGTTTCCTTCTCTCTCTTTTTTGTTTTCACATCGTTGCTTTTTAACTAAAAGCATAGAAAATTAATCCTAAGCTACAATATTGCAAAAGACTCTAAAAGATGTGGGGGTGAGACTGTTCACCCCCACATAAATTACTGTGGATGGTATTATTTATACAACGGTGTCTCCTTTAATTTAGACCCTTTCTTTGCTTTTCTAATTACAATACTACCATTATTACTTTTGCTCTCCTTTTGCATTCCTTTCAACTTTCCCCTGTACGACAAGTACAATCTCACCTTGCATAGCCTACCCCTATTGCCAGCAGCCACCCCCTACTACTGCCACAACCAACCTCACACCATATCCTACAACAAAAAATCTCACATCATCATGGTGGAGAACCAACACCTAACAATAACAAAAAATCTCACACCATCATGGTAGAAAACTAGCACAATTACATGAATAACTAATATCAACAAACAGAAACGAGTTAGTTAGTTTAAGAGTAAAGGATTTTCAAAATTGATAGTGGCTAAAAAAAATAAGAAAAATCGAAAAAAAAAGGAGAAAGATTGAATTTACTCGAACCGAAGTTGCAATTCATATCATCTTCAATCAATTCTACTAGGTAATTTCCTTAATTTCGGATTTTATTGTCATTTTAGGTTTTGTTACAAAATTTGAGGATTTTTTGAAATTTAATTGAAATTAGGTTAGGGAATGGAAATTAACACCAATTCAAAGAAAATTTTAAAAATTTTAAAAGATAGGGCTCGACGAAAATTGATTTGAGTTAGGATTTTGAAAAATTGATTTGGGGATTTTTGATTGGAGATGGAAGAGAGGAAGGGAAGAGAAAAGAAGGAAAGAAGAGGGAGACCATGGATGAACCGAGTTTTGGTTCGCGGTTCGGTAAGAAAAAAAAAAGAAGAAGAGAGAGAGAGGATTCGGCAAAGAGGAAAAAGAGGAAAGGAAGAAGAAGAAAAAAGAGAAGGGAAGAGGAAGAAACAAAGACGAATCATTGTTGGTTCGTCCATGGTGAGAGAGAGATTCGGGAGATTAGGAAGAAGAAGAAGAAGAAGAAAAAAAAGGAAAGAGAATGAATAAGAGAAATAATGGTTGGAGAAGGAAAGAAAGAAGAAAAATTAGGGTTTTGATACAAGATTTATTTTAAAAAGGGGTTGGGTTGTGTTTTTAGGCTTGGATTTAATAAAATGATGTGGGTTGAGTTTAGCCAAACCCATTTATAATTGGGGTGGACTAATTTCGGTCCAGCTCGATCAAAAAAAAAAAAAAAAACTTTTGAGCTGGACTAGTTCAGAACAAAAAAAAAAAGTATCTTACTTTTAATTTTTAATTTTATGCATTTTATTATTTAATATTTAATTTAGATTTTAAATTATCTTTAATTATTTTAATCTTGAATTTATTTTATGCATGCTTGTCTCGTTTTATATTGAGATTTTAATATTTTTAACTTTTTTTGTAATTATTTTAATTAATTTAATTTTAACCTTGAATTTATTTTATGCATTTTTTTTATTAATTTTGATTTTAGTATTTGATTTTTTAATGTAAATTTAATTTATTTGTTTAGTGATTAGATTCAATAATTAAAAAGTGGAGCATTGTTAAGTCTCTTAATTTTTTAAAAGCCGATAACGACCTTCCAACAAATAAAAAAAATAAAGAGAAAAAAAATCATAAAATGTTTAACAAAGTCTCATATTTAATGGAGATTGTTGTTAGATAAAATAAATTATTTTTAGCGATTGCGTTATTCTCCGACGCACCGATTATGTCGAAACTTAAAATGAATTCGATGTTTGAAAAATTTATTATGACAAGAAAATAAAGATTCGATATGACATGACCTATAAAAAAATCTAATTTTAAGTTATAATTAAAAAAAATCATAAACAAGAATAAAAAAAATTATTTGTTAATTTTTGTTTAAGTTTTTATGTTACTTTATTTCTTCGATATAATGTTATGAAAAAAAATATTTAAAAAATTAAAATATATTTTTAAAAATTTTATAGCTAGATTATTATGAATTTTTTAAGAATAAATGTATAAAAAAATAAATCGTGTTTTTTTAACTACAAAACTTATTAAAAAGTAGACAAAAAAAGAGATCCAAAATTTTGATTAAGAATTATAAAATTACATAAAATTTATCTTTAATTTAATATATTTTTTATGAATTAATAGTATAAATATGTTTAATTCGATCCATAGCGTAGCGTAGGAAGCCAACTAGTTCTTCTCTAATAAAAGATGAGTCTTCTTTTTGGATTCTTTATTGATAAAATTCAATTTTCCATCAGTTTTTCCTTTTATTTATATATTTATTTTTTGGCTTTTGGGAAACAAGGATATATAGGTACTATCAGACAATCCTTATCATAATCAGTTTATGTAATCGTGGAGAACTAACTTTAACTGCTGGATTAATAATATAGATTTTCCTGGCATGTTCTTAGTTCACCTCGTTCCTAGGATTAGGAAGCCTGCATTTTCAACTGTTTATTAAGCAACAGTAAAATGTTGGGTTTTTTAATCGGATTGTTTTAATTAATTGAGATATTGGCCATCTATAAGTTGAGATCCAACTTGATAGAACTAAGTTTGATTTTAGTACTTGGTTTTCTCTTCTTGTGGTTCCATAACGTGTGGTTCTTATTTTTGTGGGTTTAACGGGGGAAGTGGTGCCCGGGTTGGGGACAGGGGATTATTACCGCGAAAAAAGGGGAGCCGTGCGTACTGAAAATTTTTTATAATATTAAAGAAATAATTAATGATATATAGAATAATTATTTTATAAATTCACTTTAAGAAAATACATGAAAAGAAAAAAGAAACAGGAGAGAGAAATTTTAAAAAAAAATTGAGCCAATTTGTAAAATTTTTTTATTATTTTTAGTAAGTGTGGTTGTAATTTTCTTTCTTTTTTATATGTCTTTCTTTTTTTTTTAAATAATTTCATAATATAACTTCTGTAAATATTATTAATTATTTCTGAAGTGTTATAAAATTTATCATTGCGCACTACTTTTGTTGCCTTCTGAATTGAGCTATATGTGGAGTGGTCAGGACTCAGGCGTGATGGTCTGCTGCCCACATTTGTTGTTCAGTTTGAGGTCCAGCTTTTTAGGTGTCAAAAAAACAGCTTTTCTAATGTGCTCCTGTCGGTAGAAATTAAACAAACGATAGCTAAGCTACTATGTAATTATATCTTATAGTACTAATAATTGTTATCTAACTTTACATTTGCATTGAAATTCTTTTACCATGTTCTGACTTAAACTTTTCATGTTACGATTCAAATAATAATTAAAATGAATAAAAATGATAGTTTTTAATTTTAAAATGCTTTGATATATAAGATATTGCAATTACGAAGTACTAATAAATCACGTCATAATGATAATATCTATTATTTATTAATTTGGATCCCAAAAAATATTTACATTAATTAAAAATACATAAAAAAATATCATATTATACAGGAATAGTTAAATCTTATTTATTACTTTTTTCCCAAAAAAAAAAAAAATTCTTATTTATTGAGAGTCTATATATGGATGGAATTCAACACTGGAGATTGTGTATGAAGGAATTCCAATGCTATGCAGACCATTTTTTGGACACCAACGTTTGAATGTGAATGTGAAGTACGTCTGTCATCCATGTAAGGCAGGGCTTGAATTAGAGAACGAATTTGAAAGAAGAAAATCACAGGAAGCTATAAGAAGATTAATGGTAGTTCAATATTTAAGTCTATTTGTATTCAATAAATGTTATACTAATCTGTTTAATGTATTTATTATGGATTCATGCTTTCAAGTAGGGTAAGCTACTAGAAAATTTTATTTAAAAAAAAATGCAGATAGTTATTCCATTGGCAATGGGACTTTCCATAGTCAGATGGTATAGCAAGGCTTAGGGTGATGTGTGCTTTTCAGATTTTGGACATTTTGCTTCATGACTATAACTTTCGGTGATCCACATTATAGTGACTCTGATTATTGATACTAAATTTGTGGTAATGATATAATTATGGGTGTAGTGGGTAATTATGCTTTGGCTAAATATGGAAGCTGCAGTTGCCACTGTCAAGAAGAGAAGCAATTTTTCCTGTTATCCAATCCAACCAACCACATTTTGCAAGCAAATGTTTACTTTCTGGAACTCCAGCAAGCAGGTTTCCTCACTAGTAATTTTTAATCCAATTTTAGAGTGAGTCAGATTCTACCAAGTTGGCATCATAATTCTCTATAGCGACTGTAGTTCCCTTGGCATCATATTTAGCTAGAAATCTAAGAAGATCACTCACACTGGGATGTGCAATCAGGTAGGAGAATAGAAATAAGGAATCTTAACGTGACGTCGATATTTCAAGTCTATGATTTGGACTGTCTATTTGTCCTTAAACCATTGTCCTGACATAGCCATAGTAGCTAACGCTGCCTAAAATCGAACCAGTGTGGAAGTGACTAGTTGTGAGTGACCATTCCCAATAATCTCAGCCTAAAGCTTGCGCAGAGAGGAATTCTTTATGTTATTTTCAACATGGCTGAGCAAGGGCATAGACAGCGTCCTAGATTGGTGTTAGTAGCAACTCCATTCCAAGGCCACATCAATCCATTGCTTCAGCTCAGTGCTATCCTTCATTCTAAAGGATTCTCCATCACCATTGTTCACACTCAATTCAATTCTCCTGACCCTTCAAACTGCCCTGATTTCAACTTTCTATTCATTCAGGATGGCTTATCTGACCATGACATCGCTTCTCTCGACCTAACTGCCATTGTTTTGGTTCTCAACGACAGATGCCGATTGCCTTTCCAAGAATGCCTGGCCAAGCTTGTGGAGGAACAGGAGACAGATGACGATCGAATTGTCTGTGTCATTTATGATGAACTTTCGTACTTCTCTGAAGCTGCGGCTCATAATCTGAAGCTTCCGAGCATTATCTTTCGCACTAACAATGCTAACAGCTTTCTGGCTCGCAGTGTTCTTATCGAAATGTATGCGCAGGGTCACATCCCTTTGGCAGGTTTGTGGTTTTGACTATGATTATGAAAACATGCAAGGCATTTTCCCTTGAATCACATACCGATTTTGTCTGCTAAGTTTTTTCCTTATGTCCTAAGATTTTATTTTTCTGTCGTTATTTACGAAGAGACTTTTCTATCAAAGTCTTTTTCATCTCCATGAACATCATTTTACTGATGTAGAATGGAGAAAATAGATATGAAACTGAGTTCCTCCTTACCTGTACATGCTTCTATTTTAGAGGTTGCAGACCCTCTATCTTGCCTACTATAGTCTGCTTCTTGTGGAGATGCAGGGGAATGTATCCATATTGGTTGCATTGGCATTTATTTATTTTATGTTTTAATCTATACTTTGAGACCATATTTTAATATTTTTAAATTAATTTCACTAGATCTTCTATAGGTTTCTGAATACTGTACTCACTATTATTACGTTGAATTAAGGTACAAATTTAGCTCTGCATTAGTATCTCTGTCTGCACAATAAATTTCTTGGAAGGATTATATAAGGTGTTCTTGGAGTTACTATTTTATCAGGCAAGAACAAAGCTGTCAGTATTTGTGTTAATTTTTTTTTTTTTTAATTTCGCTATCTGTTTATGTACCTAAGTTTTAATCAGTAGAATCACAGGTGTGAACATATTTATCTTCGTAAAAAAATGCATGAATTCTGCAATTTCGAAGAACCACTGCTGAGAAAATCGTTAATTCTATCCTATAATGTACAGACCCTATGTCCCAGGAAGCAGTGCTGGAGCATCCTCCCCTGAGACTCCGAGATCTGCCCATCTCCAGCTTTGGACCAATGAAAAATTTCTTCAAACTAATGGGCAATGCACGCGATGTAAGAAGGTCCTCCGCAATCATTTATAATACCATGGACTGCCTCGAAGAGTCATCATTAACAAAGCTTCAACAACAATGCCATGTTCCAATCTTTGCAATAGGACCAGTTCACAAGATTGTTCCAGCACCATCTTGTAGATTACTAGAAGAGGACAGTAGCTGCATGTCATGGCTTGACAAACAAGCTCCAAACTCTGTCATCTATGTAAGTCCAGGAAGTTTAGCTTCCACGAATGAGAAAGACCTAATAGAAATGGCATGGGGTTTGGCAAATAGCAAGCAACCTTTTTTGTGGGTGGTTCGACCTGGCTCAGTACATGGTTCAGAATGTTTTGAGTCAGTGCCTGGGGGATTAAGAGAAATTGTTGGAGAGAGAGGTTGTGTTGTGAAATGGGCACCGCAAAAAGAGGTTCTGGCACATAATGCAGTAGGAGGGTTTTGGAGCCACTGTGGTTGGAACTCATTACTTGAAAGTGTATCTGAAGGGGTTCCAATCATATGTAGACCAAGCTTTGGGGATCAGAAGGTGACTGCTAGGTATGTAAGTCAAGTATGGAGAGTGGGTTTGCATTTGGAGGATGAATTGGAGAGAGGAGAAATAGAGAGAGTTGTTAGAAGGCTGATGGTTGATAAAGAGGGGGAGGGGATGAGGCAGAGGGCAATGAACTTGAAGGAGAAAGCAGAGCTTTGTATCAGGACAGGTGGTTCTTCCTATAATTCCTTGAACAAGTTGGTAGAATTAATCAAATCGTTTTAACTGTATAAACGAGTTGTTTATCTAACTATCTCATAATATCCTAATACCCAACCCAGCCATATTAATAGGGCTATTATAAAAGTAGTAGGAACCAGTAATAACACAGTTCATGAGATTGGATGGAGGTGGTCTGTGGGCTTTAGGTCTTCTATTTTGGTTAAAAAATTAAGCAGCATTTTGAATTTTATTTTGACAGAAATCGATGCATTAAAACGAAATGCTATTTTTAATTAGTAAATTAAATATAGATGAGTTCTATCTTAAGTCACATCCAACAATATGTTATTGTCATCTCTTTGATTTATGACTTTCATTAGCATATATATCTTCAATTGTCGATGTCCTTGAATCCATAAGTATCAGTAGCATTTCTTGTGGTATGCATAATATTTTCCTTTTTCTTTTTTTGGTTTTATTATGCATATTTTTATTTTTTTATGCACGTAGAGGGGAAAATGGATTTCCGATCTCAGGATTTACAGTGTCTCTAAAGCACTACAGGCCCACAGAAAATAAGATGAAGGCACATGTGCGGTTCTGCTTGCCTCCTACAGCATATGCATAACGGGCTTAACTCATATTTTTCCTAATTCTTTCGAGGAAAAAACTCCAGATTTTTCTGGACTCGTGGTTCTGGAAATTGCAAGAAAATTCGTTACCTTAACCTATTCAAAAAACCATTTCCAGAAAGTACTAGAGTTGTGTCATCTATTTCCTATAAATGGCGTCCGCTTCCCTTCCTTCCATAGCGTCGAGCATAACAAGTTTTCCTAAGCAATTATCAGTTCTGTTTGCATCTCGTTTCAAATTCAAAAGCCAACGAATTTAAGGTAGTCGAAAGAATGTAAATAAAGATGGCCATGATTCCAAGCTTCCTCAATCCGTTCTCTTCTTCCGACCTTTGGGATCCCTTCAAGGATTTCCCATTCCCTTCACTATACTCTTACTCGCCTGAAATTTCCCGTGAAAGTTCAGCAATTGTAAAGCTCGCATTGACTGGAAGGAGACCTCCGAGGCTCATCTCTTCAAGGCTGATCTTCCGGGGCTTAAAAAGAGGAAGTGAAGGTGGAAATTGAAGATGATAGAGTGCTTCAGATTAGCGGAGAGAGGAATGTGGAGAAGGAAGACAAGAATGACACTTGGCATCTTGTGAAGCGAAGCAGTGGAAAGTTCTTGAGGAGGTTCCCGCTGCCAGACAGTGCAAAGATGGATGAGGTTAAGGCTTCTATGGAGAACGGGGTTCTTACTGTGACTGTGCCCAAGTTAGATGTCAAGAAACCTGATGTCAAGGTCATTGGAATTTCTGGCTGAAGTTAAGGTTCTGCTGTTACCATCTAATGTTTTTTTTTTCCCAATGGCATGTTGATTTTGATGGAAATTGTCAACTGTGAGGTTCTCTGTGTAATGATTGCCATACAATGTATAAGAATCGAAGATAAATAACACAAAGAGTTATAATTTTCTAAAAACCTTATAAGCCTGAGTCGTCAATTTTTCGTTTGCATTCGGAAAAATCAGAAAGTTTTAGATGGCAATCAATATGCTTTTTATTTCTTTCAACTTTTGAACCTCCAAAACAGCTCGAACTTTTGATCACAGTCCACTTGCATTAGCTCTGGACACTCAATGCTGCAAAACCCGGTGACGTTAAGGATCTTCCATTGCCCATCTCCCAGTACTGGAATGAATCCAAACCAGGCAGCAAATTTAAGTATATTTAAACTATCGTTACCTAACAATACCATGGATTGCCTTGAAAAGTCATTGATTGCACAGATAGAACCAAAGAATATGCTTACCATGGGTTGACAGAGAAACTCGTATAAGAATAGGAGTATATAGCTTCTACGAATTGAAAAGAGTTAGCAAAGCATGGGTTGACAGAGAAACTCATATAAGCATAGGAGTATAAAGCTTCTATGAATTGAAAAGAGTTAGCAAAAATATAGCGGCTTGGGGACTCGCCAACAGCAAGCAGCCTTTCCTGTGGGTGATGGTTTCAAAGAAGCTGTTGGATAAAGGGAGTGTTGGTGCGTAAGTAGTGCTGTGGGAGGATTTTGGAGCCATGGTGGTCGGAGTTCTGCACCGGAAAGTATATGGACAAGGGTTCCTATGATATGCAGACCGTAAGGTGACCGCAAGGTATGCAAGTCAGGTTTGGAGAATATTTTTGCAAATGGAAATTTAAAAGGGGGAGATAGAGGGAGTCATACCACATATGCAAGAACAGAAATTAGCAAATAGCCAAAAACTGAAGTGTCTCTTACAATCTTCTGAAGGAACTAGTGGAGTTTATCATATCAGTTTAATTGCATAATCGAGCCTAATGGCATATACAATTTCCCATAGAAGTGAAAAATGATCTTGCAGATTGAAAGCTATTTTTATTCTTTTTTCCTCCTACCCAGTAATTCCTGGATTATGTTATAAATAGACAGTGGAAGATGTTTACTTATTTTTTTATATTCAAATATTCAAATTAATTTATCGTTGTTTTGTTGGATGCATAAAGTGATAATAGCTACCCAAATTTTTTTTTTAAGAATTCAAATTAAAAATTATTTATTTAAATGATTAGAGCGTCTTCCACTCAAGTCAATCCTCTTAAACAAAAGAATTTTTATTAAACATTCTATCAGCATGGCATAAGCTAATCCTCTTAAATAAAAAAAATGTTTATTCAACATTCTAACGGCATATACATTTATCGCATCTTTCCATATTATAGGCTTGGTCATTTAAGGTGAATTTTTTTGGTTTTTAATTTTTTTTATTTTCACAATTAAGTTACATTAAGGGAAGAATTAGCAGAAAAGGATAAGTTTCTTTCTTTAAATATTTTGTTTAGGAAAACTTGCTGTCTCACCATCAAACATCATTATATTATTTTTGTTATGATCGATGTTGAAGAATATTTAACATGTAAAGTAATTATTGGTACGGAATAAAAAGTCAGCAATTTAAAGTGGAATTACGGAACTAGCTAATAATGTTTCCTTCTTTAAATCACTCTACTGGCAAACGTATCATACTCCTATATGTTATTGCACGACACATTACTTGCTTAATAAACCAAAAGGCGCCCGTTAAACCTGAGCATGAAAGACTGGTCGTGGAGGAAAGCATCTGGGCCAGGCATAGGTCCGTTTACCATCCTTACGTATAGAAAACAAAGTCCGGAGATGTCAAGTGGAAGCCCACCAGAATTTGGCAGAGATTTCGGCCGCGAAAATACTAGAACGCAGCAGAGTAAATTATAAATTAGTCATTCTAGATTCGAAACATAAATTAATTATTTTTTAATTTTAAAAATTAATTATTTAATCTTTTAATTATTTTAAATTATGCTTAATTTAATATTATTTTATTCTAAAAATATTTTATTTTCTCATCAATTTTTCTATAATATCTTTTTACTTTTTTCGTTTTTCTATTTAAAAAAAAAGAGAATTAAAAAACATAAAATAGATGAAAAAAAAAACTAAGTTAATTTCTAAAATAGAAACTACTAATTAATCCCTTTTTTTCAAAATTAAAAAAGGACAAATTTATAATCTAGTGAAGCGCAACACCTTGATTTATTCTGTTCGGATTTTTGATCATTACTATGATCTAACCTCTTAAAAACGAAGAGTGGAAGGTAGAGATTTTTCAATCCATGCTCGAATAAACAATTTTTATTCAAGTAAACAAATAATACTGCATTTAAGAATTAGTACTTGCAACTTTTACGCAAAAAGAAAAAAAAAAGAATAAATTACTTTAAATACCTTATTGTTTAAGTAAAATAACATTTTATACCTTTTATACCTTATATGTTTGAATGTTATTTTCAAAAGTACTTCGTATTTTAATTTCGTCATCAAAAACAAGTTTCCTGTTGAACTTCTATAATAGCCAGAATGTCTTTTAAAAATATTTATGTCTTAAAAGAACCAAAATTAATTATTTAAACAAAGGCTATATATATAATGCTCAAGATCAATTACAAAACACTCTCCTCCTCCTTATTTTTGCAGCATTGTAAGTAACGTAAATTTTTATTTCCACATCAAAAAAATCCAATCCAAACTTACACCAAAAACCCAAAATTACAAAAGAAAGGCATCTTGTTGATTACTTCTGAAATATCAAAAGCCAAAGGGGATGCCCTAGGAAATACCTAGAAGTTGCAAGGAAAAGATCAGAACGTAAAAATGGAAATGCATTTACTTCAAGAGCCTGTTCATTCTCATTTTGCAATTAAACTATATATAAGCTAAGTTTGTAATCTTATGGAGCATGGCAAAGTTGAGAATGAAAAAAAAAAGATTTAATATATAGAATTAATTACAAATCCAAAACCGTTGATGTTATATATTGGTCCTGCCATTGGGAAGCATGTATGAAAACTACACATTCTTGGATATCGGGGGTGACCAACAACACAAACAAGCCTTCCGTTGCACAATGTAATGGCAAATTTTAAGTTTTCCAACCCAACGCAACACATTTCAAACTTTCTTTGCACTGCTTGAGAATTGGCAACTCACTACTGTAAAACCCAAAATACTCACTAGTGCAAAATACTCTTGCACAAGCCAACACATACATCAAATAGGAGCATATAAAGAGATAATTACATTATAAATACATCAATTTTTTTTCAATTAAGTATATAAATTTTATTTTTTTTGTTTGAGTATATTAACTTTTTCAAAACTACAAATTAAGTAGTTTTGTCAATTTTTAATGGTAACGTGTCAATTATCCTCAAAATACCAAAGCATAATTTCACTATTTTCTTTCCCAATGAAATACATAAACTTTAATTTTTTCAAACCGAGTGTGTCAAATTTTTTAAAACTATTAATCAAATATTTTTGTCAATTCCTTCGTTAATTGATGATGTGTCCGAATACTAAATTAATATATTTTTTTCTTTTTTGCAGCAACGAAAGCTCCTTAAATTATTCTATCATTTTAAAATTTGACAAAGAATTAAAAAAATAATTTTTAGTCATAAAATCTCGAACTAAACTTAGTTAAGCTTGCTCGTTAAAAAAAAATTAGTTAGGTTTTGAATGTAAAAATTAAAGGAAACACAAACATGAAATTTTTTGTCAAGAAGATTAATTTGTATTTTTCTTCAATTTTTATTCTTAAACCTAACTGAGTTTTTAACTTTATTTTTTTAACGTACCACCTAACTAAGTTTAGTTTGAAATTTTATATATAAAAAATAATATTTTTTAATTATTTCTCAAATTTTAAAATAGTAAAATAATCTGGAGAGAAAGTTTTCTTCAACAAAAAAAGAATAAAATTATAATTTAGTTTTCGAACATGTCATCAATTAAATAAGAAATTGATGAAATTTTATATATATAAAAAATATTTTTTTAATTATTTGTTAAACTTTAAAATGGTAAAATAATTTGGAGAGAAAGTTTTCTTCAACAAAAATGATAAAATTTTAACTTAGTATTCAAACACGTTATCGTTTAACCAAGAAATTGATGAAATTGTCCGATTAATAGTTTTGAAAAAGTTGATGTACTAAAAAAAATTAAAGTTTATATATTTGATTGAGGAAAAAGGTAAATTTATAATTTTATATTTTGAGAGTAACAAACACAACACTTAATGAAAAAATTAACAATAATACTTAATTGATAGTTTTTAAAAAATTGATATATTAAAAAAAAATTATATACTTGATTGAAAAAATATTGAAAGTTTGTGCACATAAAGGTAATTATCCTGACATATAATAGAAGCAACAAAATGACATAGCATAAAACAAATGTGTGATTGAGCTCAAAAGCCTTTAAATTTAATATCACTAAGTTAGACAGTGCTATTCAACTAGCGATGCCAAAAATAAGAAAAAATAATCAGGAAAAAGCATCTCGTAACCTGTATTTGTCCGCATCCCCTTGACTATGAATGCCATCCACAATCTCCTTCAGAGGAGACATTGTTGGATATTTTGCTTCATTCCAAACAAACCTAAAATCGCAAAGCCATATATATCGCAACCCGAGAAAATCCCAAAACCTAAATTCACATCAAAATTTAACTGAACTACAATACTAAAAATTCCAAACAAACCAGAGCATACACTACCGAAGCAAGTTCTTTAGGGTTTTGCTCAGCACCACCAAACAACAGTAGAAACAATCAATTTATAAACCAAAAATTTCATCATTAAACAATTAGATTTTTTTTTTTTTTTTGGAATTTCAATACACGGTTTAAGAAACTGTAAAAACAAAATATTTTTTAGGAATTTTGTTTGGAACCACCAATAATAGAATAAATAATTATTATCGAACCAAAAAATCAATATTAAACAATTAAGATTTTTTTTTTTTTGAGAATTTCAAAACACAATTTAAAAAACCTTACAAACACAATTTTTTTTAAAGAGTTTTGCTTGAAATTATATAAATATAAAGTGAATCTAAATATTTTATGCGTGATTGCAATTTTTGTTTAAAAAGTTCAAATATAAGTTTCACAGGTTTCTTATGCAGTTTCGATTCTTCTTTAAATCAATTTCAAACGGTTGCATCAACCTTCAATCAACCACAGAATAGATAGAAGAAAATAATCTTTTGTTACGAGATTTCTTCAAAGAGAGATAGACGAAGAAACAGTAATGGAAGAAAACAATCTTTTGTTAAAATAATTTATTCAAAAAAAAAAAAAAAGATTATAAGAGATTCTGGTGATATTGTGGGAGTACAAGCTATCCTCCAATGCCGATTCTGATGATCAAATTAGGCAGGATGCGACCCAATTAAATGTTCTCTATTTTGTCACATATTTTACATGTTTTTTAAATTTGTTCTCACGTGTTATTTTCGTATACTTACGCGGATCAATAAATGGTCGTGCATTTGACTTCATGGTGCCGACCCTTTAATAGGTATAGGGTTGTCAGACTATTTTGAAAAATAATCTGCCGACAGATTATTGTGACTAAGGCATACAGGAAAATGTTATCCCCAGGTATTAATATGAGGTATTGGTTGATAAAAAGAAATAAAATAATACGAATAAAAATAAAAATGTTATTTTTATTTTGTAGATGTTTAGTCGAAAGAAATAAAAATAAAGAGTAATAAAAAAGAATATCAAATATAGTTTCATTTTTGTGAGAAGAGTTGGAAAAAAATATAAAAAATATGAATGTAATTTTTTTATTTTCAAAATAATGATATATTGTTTTTATTTATTATTTTTCAATTATTTTCACTACCGTTAACATCTCTATTGTTGACGATAGTGATAAAAAATATATTATTATTATTATTATTATTATTTACTATGGTTTTCCAACCACTCTTTCGCCCCCACCACATATTATTATCATCTATTATGATACTGGATTATATGCTACTGTTATACTATTATTATTATTATTATTATTTTACTCACACATTCAAGACTTCTATCGAATTATTCTGTTAGAATTTGAATTCGTGACCTCTTGTTACAAGAGATCACTATCACTCGAATTACAAGCTCTTTGATTATACTACTAGTCTATTATTACTACCATAACCACTCGCCTCATCTTCTTTTTCCATCACAACGAGTGCAATCACTTTATTATTTTTACTACTAAAATAGTTGATAAAATTATTACTTAATCATTATTTTTATTTGTTTTAAAAATCATATATTAAAAAATTTAAATTATATTTTAATTTTTTATTAATATTTTAAATATTAGAATGAATTATCATTTTGATTATTTAATTTCATTTTGATTCCTATATTTTTATTTTGAATCTTTCATTTCTAGCTATTAAACATACTTTAAATCTATTTCTAGTGATTAAGCATACTTTACAGTTTTTTTTCTCGTCCGCTAAAACATTCTTTTCTAAAATATTTTCCTCATTTATATATTTGGCTTACCTAACAAATTAAACTTAGTCATGAAAAATATTTTACTATTAAAGAAAAAGACAAACTCAAAACAAGAAACACAACAACAAAAATTTTTAACTATGAAAATAGTTTTTACAATTATCTTTGTTATTAAATTTTGAACTTCATTGCTAATAATTCTCGTGAGTACGTTTCAAGTAAGAGTTTGCTGGGTATATAGTATATGTCTATTCTATAAATGACTTTTTCATAACCCCTAAAAAAATTAATTAGAAAAATAATTAAATAGAAAAATGTCTGAATTGAAAAAGAAAGTAGATTAAAGGGTAAACCGTAAGTGTGTGGTGATTAAAAAGAATATATATATATATATTGTGCATATTGTGGCTTTCTCTATTATTGATTTTTATGTACTATAATGATACAAAATTGCATTGTTCAAAGTGTTAATCGAGTGTATTACTACTAATATTTTTATTTTTTAAATTTACGAAAAAACTTGAGTGATTATATTGATTTCTTGATTATAGTGAATTATTTCAGAATTATTGATGTACTTTTTTTCCTACCATAGAGAGAGTTTTTTTATGTAAATTTAATATTTTTGTGATTGAGCTCTTATAATTGTTTTGTTTTATTCTCTTAATTACCGTGTGCAGTTAATTTGATTATTTTATCTCCAAATCTAATTTACAAAAAAAGAAAAAAATCCCAATAGAAATTTGACAATTATCTAGGAATAATTAAATATAAAGGGATAATTACCAAAAAAACCCTCTAAAAAGATCTTATATCCAAATAACACATCAATTTATTTTTAAATCTCTTAAACCCAAAATAATATTTTTCTTACCAAAACACCCAATAGTTAACCTCCAACTTAATACTAGTTAACTATTGCATCTTTTGGTAAGATAATTTTTTTTATTTTTAAGTTTGAGGGGTTTAAAAAATAAATTGATAGATTTTTTAGATAAAAAATTTTTAAGCACTAACATTCGACTATTTTTTTTTATTATACTAAAAAATTCCTTATATTAGAGTTTTTTTTCTATCGACCGTTTGTTTCATTAATTATGAGATTAATGTTACTATTTAGTAACTATAACAATCGATGCAATTTAACTAATTAATATTGATGAAATTAGACTATTTTTTATTCTCTTGTAATTTAATCAAAATGTTATCATATAAATAAGAAAAATAAGAATATGTATGATTATGAACATTAGGGATTTCTTAAATCCTAATACATTGATAGAAAAAAAGTATCATCGAGTAATACTAATTTTTAATTAATCAAAACTCAACATTTTTTTATCAAAAAATTAAATTAAATTAGAAGATGAATGTATAACATATTTTAGTGCATTAATTAAAAAAAACATGATCATCCATAATAGAAATATATATCTTGAAAGATAATGGTTTCATTTAAACTATGAATAATTACCAAAATACTTTCTAAAAAATCTTCTATCTAAAAAGTTCATTATTTCCTTTTTAAATCTTACAAGCCCAAAACAATATTTTTCTTACTAAAAACACCCAATAGTTAACACTAATGTTATAACATTAGTGTTAACTATTGGGTGTTTTTAGTAAGAAAAATATTGTTTTGGGCTTGTAAGATTTAAAAAGGAAATAATGAACTTTTTAGATAGAAGATTTTTTTATAAGGTTTTTCTGATAATTATCCCTAATATAAATGAGTTGTCTATTTTTGTCCAGAAACTGCACAGCTTTCAGAATAATAATAATAATAAAAGCTAACAGACTCTTTGTCTCCCAATATCAAATATTTTATGTGCGCAAGCAGCAGAGATCCATTCTAATGCTTTTACAATCCGAAGAAGAAGATAAAGAAAGCAATAGACCTATCCACGGTAAGCTGCATCAAAAATTTTAAGAGGGAAATCGATGGAGAAGCAACCACCAAGAAATAGCCGTGTTGTCCTAGTCCCGTGTCCATTCCAAGGCCACATAAATCCAATGCTTCAGCTAGGCACCATACTCCACTCCCATGGCTTCTCCATCACTGTTTTTCACACCAAATTCAACTCGCCTAACCCATCTAGCCACCCCGAATTCAATTTTGAACCTATACCAGATGGCTTATCCCAAGATGATATTAGCTCTGGGAATATTATAGCTATTATATTGGCACTTAATGGCAACTGCAAAACACCCTTTCAAGAATGTATAACTACGATGACTCAACAACAGAAGCCCGGTGACGAGATTACCTGCATCATATACGATGAGCTCATGTACTTTGCTGAAGCGGCTGCCAATCATCTGAAGCTTTCAAGTATGATATTGTGCACCACCAGTGTTGCCACTGCTCTATCTCGTTTGGCCATTCCCCATCTCAAGGAAGAAGGTTGCATCCCTTGGCAAGGTATATGTGTAATATTACTCAGAAAAACTATATAGCCCATTTGCTGTTTACTATGCAGAAAGTAAACAATCATCAGTGTCACTTCAACTTTCAAGGTTCTTAAAACATTTGCTTTTGTTAACTGTGGCTTGTGACAAACTGTCCTTGTTTCACACTATAATGAAATATGATCGATAGACTCTAACTTGATATAATCCTAATGACCTTCTCTCCCTCTTTTCCCCTGTGGATTGATTAAACATGACATTAGAAAATTTTATTCATACTTTTCCTAAAGACGTCCAAACTTTTTGAGATTAATTTGTTGCCTGTCCTGTAATAACGAAGCTTTCATGAGCAGGTTATTTTGAGTTTTAGCAGCTCAAGTTTTTTATTAATTTTTATTTAAACTCCCTTTGTGTGTGTGTGTGTGTGTGTGTGTTCTCCAGTAATAGGATTAATAGATAATCAATCTCTAATAGTGAATGCTTGTTTTGTGTGAAAGAACACAAATGTAAGAAGCTTTCCAATAAATGATTACCACAAAAGGTAAGACTTCTCTCCGTTCTGATGAAATCCAATATAGTTATTAATGATATGGTCCTTGGATCAGTGCAGACTAAATTTCAAGTCTCCTGATGTAGACTTTGTTATGTGTTCTATTTTATAGTTTTCTAACAGACATTGGATACAGAGTCTATGTCACAGGATCGAGTGCCTGACCTTCATTCCCTCAGGTTCAAGGATCTACCAGTTTCCATGTTTGGAGTCCCAGATAATTTCTTGGATCTGATAGCCCAGATGTACAATGCAAGAAAGTCTTCAGCTGTCATATTCAATACCATAGATTGCCTTGAACAATCGTCATTGGAACGGAAGCAACAGCAATGCCCCATTCCAATCTTCCCAATAGGCCCTTTGCACAAATTTGCACCAGTCTCTTCTAGTAGTATACTAAATGAGGACACTAGCTGCATTACTTGGCTTGACAAGCAGACTCATAACTCAGTTCTTTATATAAGCTTGGGAAGCCTAGCTTCCATAGATGAGATAGAGGTAGCTGAAATGGCTTGGGGTCTTGCCAACAGTAGGCAGCCCTTCTTGTGGGTTGTTAGGCCTGGCTCAATAACCGGCTCGGAATGGATTGAATCATTGCCCGAGGGTTATAGAGAAACTGTTGGAGAAAGAGGCTGCATTGTGAAATGGGCACCCCAAAAGGAAGTATTGGCGCACCCAGCAGTGGGAGGTTTTTGGAGCCACTGCGGCTGGAATTCGACCCTAGAGAGTATATCCGAAGGAGTTCCAATGATATGCAAACCATGTTTCGGGGACCAGAGAGTGAATGCAAGGTATGTGAGTTATGTATGGGGAATAGGCCTGCAACTGGAGAACAAATTGGAGTGCCATGAGATTGAAAGGGCAATAAGAAGGCTGATGATGGATTCAGAAGGGGAGAAGATGAGGCGTAAGGCTAAAGATTTGAAGGAAAAGGTTGAAACTTGTATCAAGGTGGGTGGTTCCTCCTACAATTCCTTGAAAATGCTAGTAGAGTTCATGTCATTAAGTTGCTTAGCTTCTTTGATGTAAATTAGACACTAGCATTCTTCTCTGCGATATTCATATTGAGTTCATCTGTACTCACTTATTCTTCTCTAGTTATCGCATTTTATTTACATGTTCAAAGAAATAAGCCAGCGATCTTTTCCGGAAATTTCCTACATATTTCTTCAACATTCTAATTAAAATATTGTAACTTCTATTAAGTATTGTTTTGCATTCTCTAACCCAATTAAGAACTAATGGCATTTTAGTGATTTAAGGATTTAGGGATTAGATTTTCTTATAGAGAGGACGGGTTTGAGAATGATAAAATAGGGTTTGATAATACAAAAAAAATAATAATTTGGGTTGGTGATAATATAATAGGGGCAATGTTGTCTTTTTAATTATTTTTTACTACTAAGTATTAGTTTAATAATAAAAATATATATTTTTTTAATTTCATACGAAGATTACAAGAGTTGGGACTAATTATGCCACATGTCTATTTATGATTGATTATTATTAATTATAACGTACTATGTTGGATGAACAATTGACGAAGTTATAACAAAATATTTGAATCAATAAATTTATAAGAATAGAATATTTTAATTAAATTATAAAATTATAAAAAGTTTTAATCAAAAAAATTCAAACTATACAAGAACCAAATAACGAGATAAACCTATATTTTAATAAATAATATAGTTTCAAACTTTCAACTGGCATGGTGGTTTTCTATCAAAAAAAAAAAAAGATAAAAGAAAAAACCAACATTGTGGTCTATACGTGATTTCTTAGTTATTACCTTTTGTAAACAATTGCTCGCCATTGACTTGAGAATATTCTTGATTAATTATAAATTTGAGGTAACAATTGATTTCAAGCCAACATTAATTTATTTGGATGTAATACATGCGTTTAAGCCTTTTTGGTGACAGACACGATGGGAGGAATGGAAAAGCAAGTTTAGAGATGTCATTTATTGGTGTTGGTTGCATGTCCATTCCAAAGCCACATAAATCCAATGCTTCAGGTTGAAGCCATCCTTCGCTCCAGAGGCTTTTCCATCGCAATTGCTCAAACCCAATTGAGTTTTCCAAACCCGTCCAATCATTCTTGATTTTACGTTTCTTTTCATGTCAAATGGCATGGTCAATCACAATGTTCCTTCTCAAAATTTTATCATAACCCGGTTTTTACTCCCAAAACTTTAATAAAAATCCGTTTACATAAAAAAATTATAAGAAAACCCGCTCCCTTCCACCATCCTATTTACTAACTGAAACTCAAAGATGAAGTCTTACATCCACTAAGGGGAAGGGACTACTACTAATTAAACTCTTGAAATCAGAAACTGGTTTGAGAGCTTCACTCATGAGCTATCTTGTCAAGTCTCCTAATCAACCATCGATAACTGGCTCGGTTGAAAAACCATATTTTTCTTTGTAGATTCAAACAATCGACCTCTCTTTTGAACAAAGAGCTCTAATCTCTATCAAGTTAAGGAGCAGCAGACAGCTTAACTCTTTCAGACTTTCAATCTCACAGACCGGCTCCCAAGAGGAATGAAAATGCATTTCAAATCACACCATCAGCTTTACTACTATTTGGCCAGTTCTCATCCCGTCAAAGTTTAAAGGAACACTACAAGAAAATCGAAAAATAGTGATGGATTTTTCCAACGCTATATATAGGAAAAATTTATTGCTATTTGGTCTTAGCAACAGACTTATTTCTTGTAGATTCGTCACCAAATTCTTCGCTATTTAGCTATTGTTGTAGCTTCTTTCGCCAAAGCATAATAAACGAGTCATTTCCTTGATATCATATTTATCGTCAAATCGTCGTTATTTCACCATTTTCATCGCTAAATTATTCTTGCTAAAATTTTTTATAGATCCATCTCTAATCCATCGCTAAACGAAGGAAATATTTTTTTTAATATTAGTTAATAGTCGTTTAATTTTAATGGTAGTAACGAGACAACTAAAAATAAAACTTTATTAAAACACAATATATTATTTAATAAAATTAAAATAATGTAAATAAAAATCAAATAAATATGCAAATGCATTAAGGTGTATGAAAACATTAAAAACCTTTTTAAAAAAAAAGTCTTCATCATCTCATGCATCATCTTTTGACTCGTCGTGTATTGAGAGAACGACTAACTTTTGGGTTATAAAAGGGTCGCAAGAGGGATAGTAGTCTTCTATAGGTCTCATAACAACCTCATCATTGTCTCGCAATTGACTTTGTAGATTGTTGAATTGATTGGTCCGTCATTAGATGATAATCTCCATCCCTTTAATCCTATTTTTGTATTGGACGTAAACCTTCTAGTTATTAGTACTAGGATACCGCAAAGTAGCAGAGGAGGAGCTAACACTGGAATGGAAGTAATACTAGGACGCTTGTGATCTAAGGTCGTACACTCTCTACTTCTTCAACCTTCTACAACATCCAAATATATCTCTAAAATGTCGATGTTTGGAAACGATGAATCACTCTCATGTTGTTCCTTAGCGACTACTTCTTGCATTGATTACATGCGCTCTCGTGTCATTGAAATAATTATAATATTAAATCATAAATATATTTTTAAATTATATTAATAGATGTATATTTTTTTTAAAAAAAAAACTTATCATATTGTCCGGGATCACCTATCAACGAATGACCAATCTTTTCATTTGTGAGTGGTCACGAACAACTCGTAAAGATTTGGATTGCAATCCAATCTATTATGCTGAAAAAAAGATAAAATAATATGAAATATAATAAATATAAAAATTAATTTATAACATAATAGAGAATAGGATTTATCAAACGTTCGAGTGTGCTCAATCAAAGAAATGGATCCCCCTTTGGTATGCCTAGTTGGGCTAACTCATATTTATTTAATTGACAATTTTTCTAAACATTTAACAAAATTTCAACAATCTTCCTCATAAATCGTACCTTTTCCATATATTCTAAATGATCACACAATCATTGAAATTAAATTAACCAACAATCAATTTGCACACATCAAGATCGACACTTGTCACGAATACTTTATCAAAATTAAATATCAAACTCATCCTCCCGACTCCATTGAAGAGCATTGAACCAATCTTATTTCTCATCAATTCCCGGAGGTCTCCAACCGCTCGAGTTTGATACGCTACGATGTATCTCAAGCACACTTTAATAATTATATACACCAAAATCAAATTAACTCAAATTCCAATCTAATTAAATACAAATAAAATTAGAAATCAATCAATTAATCAAAGTTAACTTAATTAATTAATTAAACCTAAATCAAATTAACATAATTAATTCTAATTCAAATATAATTAATTTTAAACCTAAATCCAATTAACCCTAATTCAAACCTAATTAAATTTAACTAAAAATTAATTAACAATTTCCAATACAAATAAAATTAAAAACCAACCGATTAATCAAATTTAACCTAATTAATTAATTCAAACTAAATAAAATTAACCTAATTAATTTTAATTCAAACCTAATTAAATTTAAACCAAAATCAAATAAACCCTAATTCAAACCTAATTAAATTTACCTATAATTAATTAAAATTTTCTAATATAAATAAAATTGAAAATCAACCAATTAATCAAATTTTAATTAATTCATTAATTAAACCTAAATCAAATTAACCTAATTAATTCTAATTCAAACCTAATTACATTTAACTAATAATTTTCAATATAAATAAAATTAAATAAAACAATTAATCAAATTTAACCTAATTAATTTAAACTTAATTCAAACCTAATTAAATTTCATTTACAAATAATTAAAATTTTCCATTATAAATAAAAAAAATCAGCAAATTAATCAAATTTAATCTTATTAATTAATTAAATCTAAATCAAATTAACCTAATTAATTCTAATTCAAACCTATTCAATTTAAACCTAAATCAAGTTAACGCTAATTCAAACCTAATTAAATTTAACTAACAAGTAATTAACAATTTTTTATATAAATAAAATTAAAAATCAACCAATTAATCCAAATTAACCTGATTAATTAATTAAACCCAAATCAAACTAACAATGAATTGACAAATTAATCTAACAATTACCAAAAAAATAAAAATTTAACAAATTAATCAACAAATTAACAAGTAACCAAATTTAACCAAATTAATTAATTAAACCTAAACCAAATCAACCAATTGATCAAAATTAACCTAATTAATTAATTAAACCTAAATCAAACTAACAATTAATCAACAAATTAACCTAAAAATTACCAAAAGTAACAATTTAACAAATCAATCAAAAAATTAACAATTAATCAAATTTAACCTAATTAATTAATTAAACCTAAATCAAATCAACCAATTTAGAAAAGTTAACCTAATTAACTAATTAAACCTAAACCAAATCAACCAATTAACCAAAATTAACCTAATTAATTAATTAAACCTAAATCAAACTAATAATCAACTAACAAATTAACCTAACAAGTACCAAAAAATAAAAATTTAACAATTTAATCAACAAATTAACAATTAATTAAATTTAACCTAATCAATTAATTAAACCTAAATCAAATCAACCAATTAAGCAAAATTTACCTAATTAATGAATTAAAGCTAAATCAAACTAATAATTAATTAATAAATTAACCTAAAAAATAAGAAAAAATAACAAATTTATCAAAACATGTCAGTTTCACGTTTCAAAAACCTAAAAAAATAAATGTAAAAAATTAATTTTTTAGGTTAATTTTAAATTTCCAATGACTTAGATTTAAAAATAAACTTGCAAATAGGTTTAGATTTTTTTTTTTTTTTGCTAATAACTGCTATAGAAAATGTACTCGAGAATAGAAACAAATAAGATAATTTTTCTTAATAAATGATGTTTTTTTATGATTGTAATTTTTTAAAACATAATCAATTTTTTTATCCAATTCTCTGAATCATAATTATTTTCAGATTCTCTAATATCTTTAAAATATTAGATAACAATTCTATAATTATTGTTAGAGAACAGGATTCTTTTGATGACCTCCCCTGCATCGTTTATGATGAATACATGTACTCTTGTGAAGCTGTGGCTCATGATTTGAAGCTACCAAGCATCATATTATGTACCGAAAGCGTCGTTAATTTACTAACATACCACGCTTTCCTAACCTTCGAAAGGAAGGTTACCTTCCTATGCTAGGTATATGTAATAAATCCTTGCAATTCTTCCACAAAAATTAAGTACGGGGTTACCTTCCCTTAATGTTTGAAAGCTTCATATGTTTGGAAAGATGCATTGGCTTTCGCATTTACTAATTTTTTTTTATTAATTGCATCCCTCTATTTTAATTGACATCTCAATTTTGTAATTCTGTCTAAATTTTCAAACAACGACGTCAATTTTTTTATGACAGATGCATCAGATGCTGAAACGCGATAATTTTTTTAAAAAATATCAAATTTTTGAAAAAAATTAAAAAATCACAAAATGTCCTTTATTTTTTTTATCTTTATGTATAAAAATAAATAATGAATTTCATCCTTCAATTTTTTTATTTTTTATTTTTATTTTTTTGCTTTCTCTCAAATCCAAATTTAAAAAAAAAATTATGTATAGGAAGGAAATATTTATTTATTTTTTTAAAAAACAATATTTCAAATCTAAATAAAAAAAATTATGAAAAAATTTTCATGACATAGGAACAGAAGCAAAAGTAAGAGAAAAAAAGGCATTTTAGGAATTTTTTAAAATTTTAATTTTTTTCAAAAAAATTATTACTTGTTAACATTTTGTAGGTCTGCCATAAAAAATTAAAGCTGTTATTTAAAAATTTAAACAAAAAGACAAAATTAAAACGCTTATTAATGTATAGAGATGCAATTAATAAAAAAGCACGATTAAAACCAAAAAAAAAAACAATAAAAGAACATGGTAAACTATTAATTTATTTTTTAATAAGACGGAAATTTGTTATTGGAATAAAAGAATGCTAATTGAAGGCATAGTACAAAACTATCTTACATGAACAAAAGATTGAGAAACAACTTTTATTTATTTATTTATTATTATTATTATTATTATTTATCAAACGACCAACATTGACGCATAGAATATATTACAATAAAGAGTTAAAAATCATATGTGGTCCCTCTGTTTTGTATATCTGGTCAAAACAATATCTATACTTTCAATTTGGTTAAATCAACACCTTCACTTCCAATTGAAGGTGTTTAGCGCCCTTTAGTCCAGCTTTCTTCTAATTGAATAGTCAAATGAAGGCCACATGCTATGCTTGACGGATTGGAAGTAAGGTCTCAAATTATTTTTAATTCAAAGTAGAAGGGTTAATTTGATCAAATTTAATGTAAAATATCTTATTAAATCAAATTTATAAAGTAAGGATGCGTGCATGATTTTGATCAAAATTATTAATATTGTGATCCATTAAAAATAATGGTTTTGATGATAATATTTGTAATAGTACTATGTTGGAAACAATTCTCACTTGGCGTGGTTACAAGCACCACCACAAATTATTATTATTTTTTTATTGTGTTCTTAATAATAGTATGATACATAAATGTAAATTATATTATTTTTCCAAACACTTACGGAGTTTCATATTTCAAATATTTTTTCATATTAGTTTTGAAAATAGCATCTTTTATTTATTTATGAACGAAATACAAAACTTTTTGAAATAGATTTCATAAAATAAAAAAAGATCACAACAAATAACAATTCTTGGCTTGGTTAATACGTTCACACTTCTCTTTTTCTTTATTTATATATTAAAAAAAAACATCAATTGTGTTTCCTAAGTTCATTGGTAAAGAAAAATAACAATCCTTCACCGCATTAATTTTTCTTTTTGCAAAGTTTCCTTCAATAATGTAAGTTTTAGGCTTTCAATAACGCAAACTTTTTTTCTCCCCTTTTTGCAACTTTTCCTTTCAATAACGTAAGGTTTAGGCATTGAATCTGATGTTTTCGTTCCGTAACGTTCAGCTTGTTTGGTTTTTCTTATTCTTATGGTTAGATTGAAGCTCATCTTATGGACAACCCGATGGCATTGCGCTTGACAAAGAAGAAAATTGATGATTCTTTTTTCTATCGAGATCCCTATCAAATGGTATTGCTTATTAAAATGAAAATCTAATCAAGATCTTGTTTGGTTTTTTTTTTTTCTGTACGATTTGGTACCGTAGATCATAGTGCCTGTAAGGAAGTGTTTATTAAGTGCGCAGTGAAAACGTTCGTGACAAAATGCAACTCCTGGACTTTCAGTAGAAACAAATGATTATTGGGAATCAAGCAATATCCCAGATAAAAATCCATAAAACATTTATCGATTAAACATGAACACTAACTAATATCAACCCAAATACATAGGAAATGAAGAGCATGTTATAGAAAATACAAACTAATTACATTCATACTCCATATCTTATTATATTACATTCAACCCCATAGTAGAGACACTACGCCTCCTGGAACATACCCAACACAAAACAAATGCATTAAACTCAGACAGCAAATACTCTTCACCCTTATCAAATTTCAACCAGAAATTTCAATAGTCTTTACATCAGGTTTCTTGACTTCTTCCTTTGGCACAGTCACAGTAAGAACCCCACTTTCCATAGAGGCCTTAATCTGATCCATCTTGGTATTTTCAGGCAGCCTAAACCTCCTCAAGAACTTGCCACTGCTCCGCTCCACGCGATGCCAGGTATCGCTCTTGTCCTCCTTCTCCACATTCCTCTCTCCGCTGATTTGAAGAACCCTGTCATCTTCAACCTCGACCTTCACTTCCTCTTTTCTAAGCCCAGGAAGATCGGCCTTGAAAACATGGGCTTCTGGGGTTTCCTTCCAGTCGATGCGAGTGTTAACAAAAGCAGAGTTTTTATCACGAGGGAAGGAAGAGGAAAGTGAAGAGGAAGAGGAGAGGAAAGGGAAATCCTTAAAAGGGTCCCAAACGTCAAGAGAGAAAGGATCGAAGATGTTGCTCCTTCGATTGCCGAAGAAACTTGGAATCATCGACATTTTGCTTTCGGTTGTGATCAAAGCCTGAAAGCAGAAGAACGGTAATCTCGTGCTGTATTAGAATTTGCTCTGATTGTTTCGGATTTGATGGCGTGGATAAGCATCAGGGGAGAGGGGTATTTGTAGCAGTTAGAGGGAGGGTTCAGGGGCGTTCTAGTACTTTCTGCCTGTGAGAGAATATTCTAGACTTCCTCTAGCACGTTCGGTTCGTGTGTTTATGTGTTAACTATTACCAAGATTTCCCAATGGGCTCTTTTACTGCCCAAGTAGTCAGTAATGTTGAATATGGGCTTGCTTAAATAAAACAACATAGAAACAATTACCGGCCCACCCAATACCTATTGAATCGTGATTACTGATCAGTTCGATGACTCCTGAAAATGTGGGAGGCAAACATGGATGAGAATTTTCACACAAATAATAATAATGATGACGACGAAGACGATGATGATAAATAAATAAATAAAGCCAAATTATATATGCAAAGAAAAAAATATAGGAAAATGATGGATGAGATAAAATTTGCTAAGAAAAAGCACTACACAAGCCTCTGATGGGCATCACATGAAGTAGTTTAGCCAAATTTTGTTTCACAATGAAACAAAATTTAGTGCGCAGTAATTAGCCAGAGGCCCTTTATTACAAAACATGCTAAAGCTTGATACAGATTAATAAGATGAAAAGATTCATCTTTTATCTTATTAGTGCCAACGAAAATACCTTCTGATAGAACATTTTCAAACATATAGAGCAGGGGAAACCCAAAGAAATCATGTTGCTACAGGCTCAATGACCAGTAGAAGATTTCAAAAGATTCTGTCTTAAAAACTGAAGAATTGCCAACAGCTTCTCGTGAGGAGGGAGTAGTTCTTGACTTGTTTCACTTCAGTTACCTCGTTTATAGCTTCCACGCACCCAAGAGAAGAGTAATGGAGTCTCCTCTCGGTGTATAAACTTTACACCCTAGACCTCTTTTTGTGCTTTATAAGGGCTGGATCATGGACCAGTTACAATGTCAAGCAGTTAAGGTTAGGAATATCGCCATCCAGAGAAATCCTTCATGCTCTCATCAAGCGTCTTTATTTTCTCAAGCACTTCCTTGATGGCTTTCGTTTGCTCTTCCCCATCGGTTGTTAACACTGACATCATTCATGTATCTATCAGCTACGTAACAGTCGAGGATTTATGAGAAGAAAAACGATATATTAATTAGATCCTACAAGCAATCGAGTCACACAAGAGCTCACCCATCCCCAAGTTTTCATAAAAAATACAATTAATATGTTGGTTTGGGTTAATAATAAAAAAAAAAGGTGTAAAATGATTAAGAGGTCTAACGAAAGCAAGTGGATGTAATTTTGAAAAGTTAAAATTTCAAATAAATTGACGGGGAAAACATATATATTATCATTATCAATAAAACTAAAGGAAAATGATGGTTCACTATTCATTTATTATTTTCCGACAACGGGCTCTTGTTCATCAAATCTTCTTCCACAAACTCATAGGCTATGCCCTTAAGCTTGAGAGCAAGTTCTACCTTCTTAACGTAAGGGCTTTCCCACATTCTAAGTGGTGTCACTTTGTTTTCCTCTCCCATATTTTCTCTCTTAATTTGTAATATCGTCTCAAGGACTTCGATGGATCTTTAGTTCGTGTTTGTGGAGGAATCTTAACAGAGTTTCTAGAGTAACCCGTCAATGAACTTGCTTCTCAAGTCAGTATGCACCTGACCCAAAGATTAATTAAAGATGGGCATATTTGTACCGAGCAATTGGTCAATATCACTTTAATTTTACCCTAGAGGATAATGTAATTAATTTATTTCAACTCTTACATGATAGTGAAAGTAGGAATGACCACATAAGGTACGGAATTTAACTATTTATTGCTAATTAATTAATAATTCTTCTCTTCTTCTTCTAAAGAATTCCTAACTGTTTACGGGGCTTATTAAGCTTGGTAACTCTGGGTTCCCAAAGCAATCCATGGAATTATATTATTATTCAAGTGTATATGTGATGGGTATCAAGAATTCGGAGTTGCTGTTCTTAAGCGTGGGGATTTGATTAAGAGCTAGTTGATATTTTAAGGATTTGGTAAGGACGGATCGAAGGAGGAGGTTAATACTTTATAATGGTCAAACTCGTATAGTCTATGAAATCATGTTTCTACAACCATGTAGCTAGGATGTCCAAATTTCTTTCCTCATTTTTAAATTGAGAACAGACAGCTCAACAGTTAAAGATAAGGTCCCTTACAGGACATCCAATGTCAGTGATGAGGAAACTGAAGTTGGATCCTTTTTTGTCCCTCAGTTTCTTGTATTCATTTGATTTCATCAGTGGAGCATTTCTTTCCATTAACGCTGCTGGAGAAGATAAGAAGTGATGACAGTAATAAATGAAGCAACTAGAAAGTTGGCAGGCTAAAATCTAAAAAGGGGCTTGAGAAAGGAAAAAACCTAAAAATTTCCTTAACATATATTATGTATGTATATGTATATATACATATGGAATTGCACCTTCAAATAGTTTCTAAATTTGTAATAGATGTTGCATTGTTTCCTACTGGAGAACTCAATTTCCCAACAGGCTAATAGCATACCAGCAACACATTCGACCGGAATGCTTAAACAACATTCGGAAACTGGACTACGATTCCGAGGATTCGCTGTATCTTTTCAATCTGTCCGCCATTGCAGCTAGGAATCCAACGCTACATCTCAGTGCAGATAATGAAACATTCAAGAAAGCAAAATGGTATGGAAAACCATATGGGAAGATTGCAAATAATCCATGGACGCCATAGCCAACTCAACCACATGCAGCATCTATGAACAAGATTCGTTCAATCATCAAGTGAGTACTTTTTCTCTCTCACGAAAACTCCAAGCAAGGGAAGTGATCAAGAATCAAGATTAACAGTTTATAGCTTTCCTTGTTCCTTTTCAACAAATAACTTCAGCTTGTATAATCCAGCTTTCTCTGTTTCAAGCTCACAGCTTAAATCAAGGGAATAGAAAACTGGGTTTTTTCAACAACAATTAGAGTGCGGTTCCCAAACACGGCGAAGATTAATGATTAGGAAAATGGATTAGGTGCCTGTTACTTGGAGTTGTTGAAGTAACTAATATTTATGAGTTTTAAAGTTGCATTCAAAATCACGTGCCTGTTTTGGTATGTTTTTAGCAGTTTTTGGTGTTTTGATTTTTTTTACCCCTGTTTGGATAGGGATGAAAGTGTGGGAGAGGAAAAACAATAGGAGTGGAAATAAAAAATTTCACCAGTTTGTATTGTAGAGGAAATGAGAGGAAAGAAAAAAATAATAATAAATAAATGATTTTTCGGTGAGACCCATTTTCCTCTCAATTTTGGGAGAAAACTGAAGGAAACTTGAAGCTGACTTTTTTTTTTTGTTTGCTTTCTTGTTTTTACCCTTGCTCCATCCATGTGACAAGAAAAAATAAATAAATTCTAATTTTCCTCCCATCCCACGGGCTGCAATGGATTAGTGTAGCTCTGGAGTTTATTTCAATTGTTATTTTCTCTCTTTTTCTTTAAATTAATTAAGAAATATTTTTAGATAAGTTTTTAATAAATCAAAACTAAGTGCAATTTTGTATAGGAATAAATTATACATTGTTCTGTACAGTTTCGAGAAACAAATTATTTAATTATTTCTATTTTAAAAATTAATAAATTAGTTTTTTTGTCTATTTTATATTTTTTATATTTATTGTTTTTCTATTAAAAAGGAAAAATAAATAAATAAATGTTATGAAAAAAATTAATGAGAATAAAAAATCAAAATAAAAATATAATTCTAAGGGCATTATAGTAAATATACAACAATATATATATATATATTTTTTTTACAATTATCCAAACAAGAAAAATGTATTTTCTTTTCTTTCCTTTCCACTCTTATCCAAACAACAAGTGAAAAATAATTTTCTTTCATCTTCTTTTTTTTCCTCTCACTTTTTTTCCCTCTTTTCTTTCCTCCCAAGAGAAATTATCCAAACAAGGGGTTAGATTTCATGAGAACTTAGGGAGGAGGAAACCCGGAGTCATAGCTCCTTCGATTCTTTTCTGTGGCATGACTTTGGGTGGCATCGTTGTAATTGTCGACTTTACTTTTTGAGTGGGTATTGGACTGTATATTTGGTTTATTTCTGTTTGGGGTGATTGTTTTATTTCATCAATAATAAAGCATATCTAATTAACCTTTCACTTTGACTATTTCCCTATAATTATTTACATGCGTAAAGGATAAAAGATGATTCATATGCGAAAATTAGGATTTAATATTCATAATATTTCCGGTTCAATAACTTCTAACCTTTTCTCTTAGCCGCTGTAAGATTGAAGATCTGTTTCTCCTAAGGGCAAATGTCTGTATACCCGATACTTCAGAGTTCAGTGTACAAAATAGAGATGGTTGATCAGACAGATGTTCATTAAAATAATGGAGTCAAATCAATACAGTTGCCAAACAGATTATTTGTTTTATTATTATTCCCGCTTGCTTGTCTCAAGAACAGTTGCAAATCATATGGGCTGCATCGATATTCGAGACATATGGACCTGGGCGGTGATTATTTTCAACGATGCCAAATATTTTCAGAGATTCATTATGACGAGCAATATTGAGCATTCACACGATTATTGTGTTATGCATTGCAGGCGATTGGAAGGCTCATGCCTTCGGGAGAGACAGCGAGTTCTGACTCCTGAACGAGAGATGGTCACTTAAGACGGAAATGGTACCCATGTGACTTGATTGGGATGGCAGGAGAGAACTCAAATCTACAGTCAAATTATTAGGATAGGATTGATTTTGTACTCAGAAATAGTTTTTACATTAATTTTATTAGTAAATTATTTTGATTTCTTAATTAAAAATTTATATGAAAACGTTAAATAGAAAATATTAAGTTTCTTGCCACGTTATTTTTTTTATTGAAAAAAGAGTACATATTAGAAGAAGGTATGGATATAGAGCCTTAAAAATATAAGAAATTCTTTAAAATGAAAATTTTTGAAATTTTAATGGTAAAATTGATCTATAAAATAGTTTGGATACAAAATTGAGACTATATGTATAGTTGAAAGATATTTTTAATGTTTGCCTACGAAATTCATTTTATATGATGTTTTAGATTTGAGTCTCACTTTTTTTTTTTTAATTAGCATGCCTATGATTGGTTAGATTCATTTATAGATATATATTATTTTTAATTGGATGTTAAGAATGTTTTTGAACCAACTTACGTATTAGTCAAGATTTTTTTTTTGAATGATTTTAAATATTCATATTTTATTTTGATCTGATACATTTGGAGGAATTTAATAAATTCCATCGAATATTGATCCTAAAGTTTGAATTTAAAAAATAAATTTTTTAACTATCATACCAATTCCTTAAAAATAGATATTTTAAACTTTTATTATGACAAAATGTTTGGATCTGAAAACATATTGTTCGTTCACATATTCGTGATGTGAATACCATTGGGGCTTCACCAATTTTTCTTTTTCCTCTTGCAAACATGTATATTTTGTTCATTATAACTTTATCTAAGGGTTGTATTTATCTTTCCTTCTAAGTAAATAAGGGTTTACTCTATATTCAGTTCCTTACAAATTTTCTTTTTTATTGAAATTCTTTATAATTTTTCAACTTGATCGAAGCCTCAACTTTTACAAACTTGTTGATTCAAACTCTACACATTCAAACTTGTACAATTCAAATTTTTTTATTGAGATCCTTTATAAATTTTCAATTTGATTGAAGCTCTCAACTCTTACAAACTTGTTGATTCAAACTCTACACATTCAGACTTGTATAATTCAAATTTTTTTTGATTGAGATCTTTTATAATTTTTTGACTTGATTGAAGTCCTTAACTCTTACAAACTTGTTGATTCAAACTCTACATTATGACACCATCAAGTTTTTATCTTAAGTGACAAGTTATATTTAATGATAACCAATCAAGAGTTGACACATGACTTGTGGATCCCAAATGTCACGGAAAACGATTGAAATAAAAAAAAAAGCTTTAAAATTATTTTAATATTAAAAAAAACTAAGATAGAAAAAGACTTCATTACCCCACCCTATTAACCTGAACTAAATCAAAAAACGAATTGAAAAAGGGTTTAAGGAAATGGAGAAATTATTGATTGGATCAAGGAGTGAAAAAGATAGATAGTATGGAGATGAGGGGAGGAGTGGGGAGGGTGAAGTAGATGAAGAATTGGGTTGTGTTCGTCGGTCTTTTTGCTGGTGGTAAAAATGAAATGCAGCTCCTTTTGCTTGGAAATCTTGAGGGTATATAGGCAAACCAGCTCTTTGACGTCGTTTCATTTTGGTATTCGGGTAGTTCTTGATTTCATTGTTAGTTCTGCCTGGTAACTGCCATGATGGAGGAAAAAAATACATTACTAGGTGGAGATGGACACAGAGTACTTGAAAAAAATTGGTTGGGCTAAAGATAAATGGAGAGTGGAGAGAGATGTTGAAAAAAAATAGATGGCACAAATCACCAAAGAGAATAAGCATTATTTCTGTTTGGCTTAATGAGATTTAAGTGGTTTTGAAATTTAGAGATTTAAATGGTTTTTACAGAATATGAGAGAGTGAGAGAATAGGAGATTGATCTAACAAGATTGATAGTGCGACCAAGAAGAAAAGGGAGATGAAGATATAATAGGATTGGTAGTATTTTGATCTTTTACTTATATTTTTATATACTATACATTAATTTATTAATATAAATATTTTAAATTATAGTTTTTTTTTTGGGACTGATTTTGTTTACAAATGAGACCTTCAATGCCATGTGTCTTATCTTGATTGGTTATTATTAATTTACACTTGCCATGTAGGATGAATAATTAAAAGAGAGTTTGAGTCAATAAATTTTTGAGAATAAAATGTTTCAATTAAACTGAAAAATTATAAAGGATTTTAATAAAAAAAATTCAAATTGTACAAAATTTGAGTGTGAGGTACTTTTAGTCGAATAAGATTCCAACTTTCAGTTAAGTTTTGAAAAATAAATCCTTAATGAATCTTCTAAATTCTAATTCTAACGCAAATGACGTACTTTCAGTTAAGTTTTGAAAAATAAATCCTTAATGAATCTTCTAAATTCTAATTCTAACGCAAATGACGTACTTTCAGTTGAATCATTGAAATGAAATGAAAGTTTTTATGTATTAAACCTGTTGCAGAAACACTGCATCAAAAAAATATAGTGTTACTAGATTAACATTCTCTTCTTGGTTTTTGTTTTTGTTTTTTTAAATAAAGAATTCACCTCGTTGATTATTATTATTATATTTTATGATTACAGAAATCAAGTTAACCAGAAACACATTGCAAAACTCACCTAATTGACCACGTAAACACGCATTCATTAAGAAATCTTAACTCCCTCTTCTATTCTACTCTCATTGAATTGTATTTTTTTCCTTCGAGGACATTTGCACCGCATCAGTGACTTTCGATTCTAATGGCGCTACGCAACATCATGGATGCAAAAGCTTATCATTTTGCTTTTTGAACTTCCAGGAACTATAGTTGCAAATGGATGATTTTACTCGATTTTGGCAACTGTAAATGATAAGGTTCTTCGGGGACATCATGTAGCACATGACCGAATTTCAGACCCAAAATTAACGGTCAATTCCAATCATTTTTACTCCCTCCTCATTTCATTTTGAAAAATAAAAAAAATAAAAATATCCACTCAAGCTTACTGCAGTCATGATCCAAACTCATTTCAACTAAGGTACTCATACCTAACCTAACTAGGCTCGTGTTTTCCCATATATAGGTCGAGTTTGATCCAAATATTATTGGGTTTAGTTTGTTTAGCTAATTAGTTTATAGGAGTAAGCAATATGCTAAAAATTCTAAATAGATTTAAATAATGATTTTTATGCTAGGAACTCTAATGTACCTTCGTCTTCAACCATGCCACAAGAGAAGCCTATTCAATTTTTTGAAGAAGAATTGATCACTACAAAACATTGAACCAAAATTTTTGGGCAATTTAACTACGATTGTGGAAAACATTACACCAAAGGTGATGAAAAACTCGATTATGATCATGTACAACATTGTGCCCTAGATTATGAAAAACTCAATCACGATCGTAAAAACTATTATGCTAAAAGTTTTGGCGAACTCGACTATAATCATGGCCAACATTATGCCCGAAGTTATGAAAAACTCGACCACGTTTGAGACTGGCATTAAGTGGGAAAAAATTGACTAGCTTGATCGCAGTAAAAAATTCCTTTGTATCCGAAGATTTAATGAACTCGACTAACCAGTTTTTTTTTTTTTTTAAATCAATATTGATAAGGATAAAAATATATTTGATGTCTTTTCTGGTGATTTGTTCATACTTTGATCAATGTTGATTATTCAATGTTTGTTATTCATATTTTAAACATTATTGTTTGCCAGACTCGATCATGAAAAAAATGTTGGTGATTTATAAATCTCGAACCATAATATTCCTTCATCTCTCCTTGACAGATAGATAAAGAAACAAATGAGGCATTGTTGATGCTCAAAATAAATATTTTTCAATAAGTCTTAGCAATTGGGCTAAACTGCAAAGTTTTTCACTATTATGAATTAAATTCAACACTCTAAAAAAGATTAAGGACTAAGCAATGAAATTATGATGTCTAAATTTGGAAAGAAATAATTTACAACATTAGAATGGAATTAACATCAGATGCAACAAGTAGGGGCAGCATTGATTCCGTGCACTACGCTTTTAAACGTATTTGGTCAGTAGGTTACTATTTATTTATAAATAGAGAAATTTCGACATTGTAATTCGTTGGTTGGTCCCATCAATATACATAAATTCCTGTAATTTATCCTTTCAAGCTTTTTCGTTTTATACTTAATGTGTAGTTTATCTTCCTTTACAACTTTATGTTTTAGCTTTCTTTTTGCAATGAGATCTTAGTTTTATCTACTAAAAAACCTTAATAGTTTTTTGTTTGAAAATCTTTGTAGAGATGGGTTCTTGAAAATCGATCATACGACCGATCGACGGATCAATCAAAATATAAAGAGCTAGTGTTATGATTTATAGAAGCAATGGTCAACCAATCAAAATAGAAATAATGCAAATAGAGAGAGACGTGATAGGAAAAACATACAATACTAGGAAAACACAAGTTGAATAACCGACGGATAAGTAGTCAAAGTTCAAACAGATCAAGTTTTAAGTGTTATCTCGGTATGTCGGTGAAAGAACTTTGAGATGGAAAATTTGAGTGTTTCTTTTGCTAGAGATTAAAAGTTCTAAAGTTAAAATTCTTTAATTCAAACGTTTTAATCCCCTCACAATAGTGTGAGGTTGGTATTTATAATAAAAAAGATAGCATTTGACCACTAGGATCATGTCATTTAATTCAAGTTTGAAAAATCAGATTTAATTTGAAAGATTTAGATTTTATGACTTTAAATGCTTCAATTTGTTAGCAAAGATTAAAAGAAGTAACAATTCAACATTCTTTTAATAGATCCCGTTCCGAGCCTATCAAACCAATTTTTCTAATGCAATACAAAAACAAAACATAGATATTAGTCTTGTCTAAATACCTATATCCATCCTTACAACTCATAACCCGACACTAAGTTATTGTATGGTTTGAGCCTATGTCTAAAAAAAAAAAAAAACATAACATGAATTAGCATAATAACAAAATTAGCTAAATTATTTAATTAATTTCTTGTGGACAAATTGAACTTATATAACCTTAATCAATTTGTTTGATTTTAAACTTTTAATTTTATCAGAATTTTTTAAAAATTCTAATATCTTATTTGATCTTTTTAGATCTTAATTATCTTTTAACTATATATTTGTAAAATTTTCATCTAGTTTTGATTGGGAGATTATTACTACCTCCGCACGGGATTCATCGTCAAAAGAAGAGTTAATTGGTAACATTTTAACTGTAACATGGTACCTACAAAAGCTTTTGGCAAAATTAATCAGTAACATTTTAACAGTAATATGGTTCCTGCAAAGCTTTTGAATATGAAAAAGACAATATTCTTTATCGAATGTGTGATTGTTAGACTATCTATATATACACTGTTTTATATTTTAAAAAGGACAGAGACTCAATATCAAACTTATCCTTCAACTGTTAAGAGTAAATACCCCTAATGCTTCATCAATTGTCCTCTCTTTTTTCTCAGGCGCATATTTACCTTTAATTGAATCATTGAAATGAATTTAGTTTTCATGTAGCAAATCTACTCCAAGAATACTAAACTATTCTCTCTCTCTCTCTCTCTCTCTCTATATATATATATATAAAGCTTAACTCCGTCGTCTATTCAACTCGTATTGATTAGAACTTTTTGTTGTTTTCATCTTCTTTTTCCTTCAAAAAGACCCAAATCTGCAAAGCGTTAGTGACTCTTTATTCTAATGGCGCTATGCGACATCGTGGATGCAAAAGCTTATCATTTTGCTTTTGAACTTCAGGAACTATATTTGCGAATTGATGATTCTACTCGATTTCGGCAACTGTGCATTGATAATGCTCCTTGTGCACATCATGTGGCGATAAGAGTATAAGACCGAATTTCAGACCCAAAATTAATTGTAAATTAAAATCGTTCTTCCCCACTTCCCTTTTTCAACTAAAAAAAAAATCTGAACAACCTCGTTTCAATTAGGATCTTACTTAATGACACGTACGTCCACTTAGTTTTAGATCGAAAAAAAAAAAATCCACTATGAGACAAAAATTTCCGTCTTATTATCTAAATCTAAAAATAACATGGCTGGATTCCAGCATAAAAATCAATTGTTATTAATTTCATTATCAAATCACATTTAATTTTAAATTTAAATTTATTATAAGAATCGATTTTTTTTTTTGAACAGTCAGCAATCAATATCCAATTCTATATAAATAAAACGAGAATTGAAACTCTGATATGATTGGTCGCAATCACATCCTATTAGGCTATTACCAGTATAGTGAAAAATCATTAAACCAAATTCTTCCTCCACAAGTATAGTAATAATCTTTCCATCGCAAAGTCCACACCTGAAAGTAGCCATCACTGTTTGCATGTTGAAATATATGCATAATTCAAAGGATTTTTTTTAATTTTTTTTTTTGTCCTCTCTCTTGTGGATAATCACGCCTGATTATTATGTGTTTGTGGTGACACATATTTTCATATGGTAAAGCGAAGCAATCAACGAACAACGAAAGTAATATAAAAGAAAAGAACTACTCGCTAGCTGCTGGTCATTAGTTTCGAATAGAATATTAAGGGTCAGATAAGGAATAAACTGTGACGTGATCATCCTATTAATTCCAAGATCCTCTCTCCATCCTAAGTTCTGCAGGAAAGGTCGCATTTTGTACGTTACAAAGCAAGTGGCAAAAACAATGACATTTTATGACATGTCATCTTCCTCACCTCGGACGTTTTCAATCATACTTTAAAACTCATATTATATATACTAAGGCATGTGATAGCAGTCACTTTAGAGTTAAAACATTCATTCAAAAAGATTAACTGAGATCTAATTTACTGTGTATGACACGTGATCTTGCGGGCCAGTTTCATGCTTTCCTTAAAAAAAATTGGCACTTTTTACCGTTTGAAATTTTAACATCAAATGCAAATGCAAATTTTTTATGTCAATTCAATTGGGCATGTTCAGAAATGCCCCTTGTGCAATGACTAATTACTGCAACCTATAAATCCATAAACTCGACCCATTTTTTAATTATCGCCCGAATTAAAAAAAAAATCTTTTATAAATAATGCCAAATCAAACATTAAACATTCATGTCAGAACAAATGGGAGCGTTTGCGATTTTAGAAGATAAATAATTATAATTTGTTGGTGGAAGTAATCCCATTGTTTGTACAGCAAATCAAGATCGTAGGACTGGCTTGATCTAATAATTCGCATCCATGCCATAATTTCTCGATTTCATAATCACCTCTTGATTTTGGTGAAGATAGGATTTTCTACTGAGCAATAATAATGTTTTGATTTGCTGTACGCTCCAGTTCCGTCCTCGTTTATTCGTTTCTCTTTAATCGGTTGTTTATCCCTTTATCTCCTTTTCTGATCTTTTATGGTTTGAAAGTAAACCTTTTGAATTCGATCTGAACCACTTTCATTAAAGCAAATCATCTTTCCAAATTTTGGTTATTGATTTGGATATAAATCAGTACCTATCAAGAATCATCATAGAATATCTTGAAGGATACAGCTACCTGGTTAATTGCTATCACTCGTGTTACGAGAAAGAGAATCCGATTGTTATTGTTTGTTTCATTAAAACTCCTTCTTAAAAGTTACAATTACTAATATAGCCTTTTTAAATTTCTAAAATAATCATATTCCATTACAAAGTCTATTTAAGTATGACAATTATCCAGATCGATACTCTTATTAGCATAATCCTTGATTAATTCCTTGTTCATCGTTTATTTATTTATTACTGTATTGATAGTATGTCCACGGATCTTTTTTAGTTTCATCAAATTCAATATAATTCTCATCCTTCTACATGATTTTTTTTTTCATATCTACAAGAAATTTGGTATTCTTGTGCTCTTTAATTTTTTTTTTAAGAATAGTCTCTTTATTAAAAAAAATAATATTTTTGTTGATATTAAATAATAATCTTGTTGACACTCATAATATTTTTAATTAGCGCCTTTATTTGATAAAGAAACAAAGGGGAGCAAGCGAATGAAAAAAAAACATTGAAAACAATAAGATTTATTTATTTTTGTATGCTACTGCACCAAACATTCAAATTGAAATGAAAAATGAAAAAAATAAAAACATTAAAGAAACTCTACATCTAGCAAAAAAAAAAAACAAATATATATATATATATATTAACGAAGAAAGGAAGGAGAAAAATGTCAGAAATAAGAAAAGTCCATTGATTTATATAATCAAGGGTTTTTTTTTTTTTTTTTTTATCGAAAAAGGTTTGATTAAATAGATGTTCTTGACAAAGACATATTAGACATTGAAAAATAAATTAACAGCACCACACCAATGTAGTCTAGTTTTTTAGATAGTGAAGTATTTTTTAGATTTTTTAATTAATCGAGATTAAATTTATTATTTTTTAAGTTAGATCAACATTATATCACGTATAATTTTTGATCGATTTTAAAATTTTAATTTTTTGAATCCATCAATAGTAGATGTGTAATGCCACATAAATGAGAAAAAAGAACACTCAAATGTGATAATGGAACACTTAACTCAATGAGTCAGAAATACTCTTTTTACTGCTTCACATATAAAATTTGATAAAATTTATTTAATTAATTGTAAAATGCAATCATTAAAAAAAAATTAATTTTATTCATAAAGTGTGTGAATAGAGTTAGATTGAGGAGTTTAGATGCTCCCTGAAAAGTGCTATTGAGCCATTGTTAACAAAACCCTGTCTGAAATAACGTCACCAGGGCCACTTGGTCGCCCGCCTTTCATTTAAGGCAGGGAGATGGAATCCTATGAATATGCCTTAAAATTCACAAAATATATGAACGCGAACAGGATCTATAACAGTCCCGTTTCTGTAGAGTCGGTAGCATTTTTCAAAACGAGTTTGAGAGTTACTATGAAAAATAGTTTGGTGTGTACAGGAGGGGACCTAAATTAATTATGACCTAGGCATATCCACGAATACCTTGAGAATCACATTTTTTGGAACCCTCGCTAGCATGATGTCCTTACAAACACAAAGCTAAAGTTTATGGCTTTTAAATTTGCCAACAAGAAATGTCCTTCCATTTCCCGACGAACTATAATAATAAAGCGAATATTATTAATATACAGAGGCACTACGTTCCCACGACAGCATTTTTCAATTTGCTTTTCCATCAATGCCACATCATTGATGAGCCACTCCTCGTAAAATCATTGATTCAGCCAAACCATTGGTTGGAAATCAAACCGCATTGAAATGCATAAGTTCCAATTGTTTATAAGAGGATTTGTATATCATTTGTTATCGACAAATCACATTTGTTAACACTTGTGGTATGGACCATTTAGCGGCTAAGTCATTGCACTATAGAGCGTTACCGATATAAGAAATATTGAAATTTACATTAATATTAGCCATGAATAAAAAAATTAAAATAAAATAATTAATTACTATTTATTATACTATTTAAAATACTATTAACTCAAACTCATTCATACTATTCATAAAAACTTAAATATATTAGTCCTTTTACCGTATAGTGATATTTTTATAGTTTTCAAACATCTTAAAGTTAGTTATTATCAAAGTTTTTATGACATTATATTTTAGTTTTTTTTTTAAATATTATTTTTTTAGCTTGTATTAATTTTTTTTTGTTTTATTTTGGTTCTTTTTTTGTTTAATTTTGATTACTTTGGTTCTTTCTTTTCTTTTTTTTCTGTTTTTTAATTAAAAATTTTAAGATAAAAAATATTTTAAAAAATAATTTATAAAATAAGTTTTTAACTAAAAATCCATTGATTTTGATATTTTTTTAGTTTGTTGATAGAGATAAATAAATGATGTTTCAAAAATTTATAAAAAATATAAAAAATAATCAATCAAATCTAAAATTTTGATTAAAAATTATAAAATTATATAAAAAAATTTATTCAATTTTAATTTGATATATTTATACATATATATAATATAATATAAAATATTAAATTAAACTAATTTTATATATTTTATTCAATCGATAGTATAATACGGTTAAAAAAAATATTAGTTACTACCACAATTTTTCTTAATTTTTGTTAGAGAAAGGCGTCTTTAAACATGCATAATAATTGGTCATGCAAACCTTTTTCTAAATGATTCATAGCACTGGAGGACAGGGTCCAATCCAATGATCGGAATGTAGAGGGACCCACCACTTCCATTAGCAAGATCCATCCAGCTTTTTAACATTCATTTGTGCATCGATGAAAAGTAGAAACAACAAATAAATAGGGTCTCAAGTGGGGGCCACGAACATACCCTTACGCGCCATCTTGATTGTGACACCCTCATCTCATCATCTTCTACTTTCCCATTTTTTTTACAGGCCGTCTGATGATGAAAACGATTGCCTCTCTCCCTCCTTCTCTCTAACTACGCTTCACTTTGACTCTCAGCAAACATAACATACGAGTTCCAGCCAGAAAAACACTCTGTTTCTCTTTCTCTCTCTGGAAAGCTCTCTATATACTTTTCATCAGGGTTTAGCTTCTCGATATATTGCTTTGGAGTTTATAGAGGAAAGGGGAGGCATTAATTCGTTGCACTAGTTTCTGTTTTTGCTCTGCAACTCTTCTGATCTCTCTGTTAGTTTCCTGGATCAAGCCAGGAACGACACGTATTGCTGTGTGTTAGAGAGGCTTACAGAGCTGTTAATGGTATCTTCTGGTTCTGCATTTCCAAACCTGAGTTGTATGTGCTGCTGTCTTTGTGTGAGTGATAAATATCCTGAAAGCTTATAACTTCCTGTTTAGTTTCCTAGAAAATTTTGTTTTTTGGCAAGAATTTATTTATTTACTTCAAAGTTTCCATGTGCTGGATGTCTTTTTTTTTTTTTTTTTTAATTCAAAGTTTGCATATTCAAGTTGAACTCAGAGTGAGAGTGTGAGATGTTAGGCAAGTTTTAATACTTTTTGTTAACTTAAAGCTAATCACGCACTGTTTAATTCTTGCAAAGTTGAGCGAAAGAGAAAGAAAAGTGCTTCCTTTAAGCACATTTGCCTCTACTTTTTGCCAATCTGAGAAATAATGAGGCCTTATTGTTTAGTATTTTTGAAAACGAGTGCGCTTTGCTTTTGAATAGCTGAGGATCTTTGTCCTTTTAGTTTTACATGAGGTGAGGCAACACGCCAGTTATCTAAGATGATGACAGGTCGATTTTGCCTTATCGCAAAATGAGTTTTCATTGACCACCCATTTTTTTTTTCATTCAACGAACAGTTCTCTGCTTCTAATTTGTGTTGCTGTGTTTTAATTGTCTTTTGTCTTCTTGCCTCGAATTTCAACTTTATGCCGTGCAAATTATGAAAGCTTTAGATCATTTGGCACAATTTTTTTTTTTTTTTTGAAATTTATCTTGATTCATTATTCATGTTATGTTTATCTATGTAGATCATAATTTATCACCTTTTTGTTATAAGATTATGCGAATAACAGAGAACATATAACAATAAAGCAAAATTTAGTGACCACTAGATCAGCTAAAATGGTTTTGCAATATTGTATAGACCTGGATAATGCCCATAAACACTCACATATGCCTCGTAGGCAAAAAAGAAAAGGTGCATTTCATGAACCTTTGATTTTAAATACCAGCCAGGAGACCCTCAATATTTGTATTTGTAAATTATTGAGCCAGTTGAATAAGAGGGGCACATATCTGTAGGATTTTTCTTATTCTAAAATTTTTCTTCTGTTTCTTCTTCTTCCTTTTTTTTCCCAATCAATCATTAAAGGAGTTCACAGACAAGTCTCACTTACATGGATATCAGAACATAATCACCGTTTAGTCATCTTGATAAAAATCTAAAATCCTGCCACATTGTGTAGTTAATAGCCTTTTTCAGTTTCTGAAAACCAGTTGGTTAGATTCTAGTGTGTGAGGGAAAATCGTTAAGTAAAGGAGAGCAGAATTGACTTAGCAAATTCTTCAAATTACCCACTGCCATACTCTAATGGATTTCTCCCTTTAGCTACTTGAATTCATGTATCACGTCATCTGGCTTATGATATGCTGTTCTTTGCATTTTCGGTCAGCTACTTGGTTAGAATTTGGTCCCTGTTATTCTTGGAACTTAAAAGCTACTATTTTAACCCTTCAGGTTAGATGATATTAGATTTCTACAGGAAAAATGATAACTGTAAATAAAAATGCACACTTAAGCATAGGTCTTTTAATCACTTTTGAATGTAAATGAAGTGATCTGTCTGCCCAATCACGGGGATAAAAAAAGGTTCATACATGTTACCGTATTCTTTTGCTCCCTTCTGAATCGAGGTATTGCTTTAGTGGGTGTCAAAATTGGACTAGTTATTTTAGGAAAAGAACCTAATGCTAATTGTTTTAGACATTTTGGGTATCTATTGTTTTCTTATAAAATTAAGGCCATGTTTTGAATTTGTGTTTTGGATTTGGTTTTCTTTGGTGCCTATTTAGTCATGTAGAGCTTCCTAGTTTGACATTCAGGATAAGCTATTATTGTTGGTTGATCAAATAAACAGAGATTACAAGTATTTTGCCTCTTCATCATTCAGTTCTACATCAACAGGCTTCGTATATCTATTCCTTTAGTAGCCTTTCTTTGATATACCAACTTATCAACAAACAAAGAAGTCTTTATGTTTGTGAAATACTTTGGTCAATCACTAGTGAAAAATGGAGTTAATATACTTATGTGCAATTTCATAGAATTGCAATGTGCTGTTTCTTATATTATATATATATATATATATTCATTTTAATGTGCTTTTCAGGCCATGAATAAACCTTTGAGTCTGTTCTATGCTCATTTTTCCCTTCTTATCTTCAGAGTGGTCAGGGTCTATGTGAATAAGTGAAAGCATGCAATTGTAGAAGCACACCAGAGCTTTCTTGTTGAGAGGGAAAAAGGTGAAAAAGTAAAAAAATGTCTGGTTTACTCTGCACTTGAGATACAGGTGGCATCCAAATAAACTATTTGGTCTATGGAAGACTACTTAAGGCTGAAAAAGAATTTCCGGAATCAGCAATCATTAGGAACTTCTGAGACGACTGCAAAATCCCAAGCAAGGCAAAGTGTGAATGTGCAAGAGAAGCTGAAACCAGGAAAGCCTAATTTGTTGTATGCTGATCTCCATCATGAAATTACAAAAAACATAGATCATCTCTCTTCAAAGCCTTTGAGAAATCATCAGAAGCAACACAGGACGGCAATTGAGGAAGAGGAGCTTGTCAAGTATATGTCCAAATTGCCAAGCTATCTGGAAAGAGGACAAACACACCAAGAGAAAGTTTTAAATGTTGGGGTCCTTGACTGGGGCCGGCTAGAGAAGTGGCAGTGCAGCCAGAAACAGATGCCAGCCAGAAATAGCAGGCATTCACTTTCAAGCAGTGACTCATCCTCACCTTTCTCAACAGAAGGATCATCTGTCTATTCCAGCGGAGGTCAGAGTTGCTCTCCTGGTCATCAAAGCACACATCGGCCGTCACTACAATTTCATCTGATGTCATCTCCAACCAAAGGCAATTCTCCAGTCAAATTGTTCAAAGAAAGCACTGGAAAGTTTCAAGATGTCACAGGTTCCCAGACCAGCACTGTGATTGGGCAAGCAAAGTTTGTCAGAGCAGATCAGCCTTTTCCCAAAAACCATGACCAGTGCAGGAGAAAAGATACTGACTCAAAGATCAATCCAGAAAGTGGAACTTTGGCTAATGGATTAAATTCTGAAGGGCTGCAGTGTATGAAGACGAAGAAAAAGATGATGATGGCAAAGGCAACCACAAAGCCTCGAGAGGGTGAATTTATGAAGAGAGCAGGGAAATTGCAAGAACAGAAGGCATATGTTGCAGACCAAACAAATGAAAGATTGATTCTTGTTATACCAAGAGATTTCCCCCATGGCACTCGTTCTGAAGTGCCCCATAATTCAACAATGATGTTAGGCCAAAAGGAAGAAGAAGCAAGTCATAGGAACTTTGCAGATATGCCTACGGAAATTTTCTTTCCAGCAGTCCATTCTGACGTCCCCCATTCATGCCCGCTGCCATATGAAAAGGGCAGACACTCAGAGAGAAAATGGCGCTCAGTAGATGCAGAGAATATCAGTTTTTTGCCCAATTCTTCTCAATCAGCACCTCATCAAGCCAAAATAGGAACGAGTCCATCCCATGATACAATTTTAAAAGTAAAAGAACCAATTGTAATGCTGACTGATTCAAGATCAAAAGAGCCTTCTATGGCAGATCAGAAAATGAGCAAATTAACTGCTGAAAAAGTTAGAAGCACATCACCATTTCGCCGACTTAGCATTGGTATGAGCAAGATAAGCAAAAGTTTCAGCTCTAATGAGGGTTCATTTAAACCACAATTGAGCTCAACTTATAATTCTGCACAATCTTGTTCAGAGATTGCTATGGCTTCCATACGCCAGGGAAATCAATGTAGCGATACACATAATGCTACAAGCAGAGCACGGTCAAGCCCTTTGAGAAGGTTACTGGACCCAATGCTGAAGCCAAAGGCAGCAAACTTCCATCATTCAGGAGAGCAATTGCAGAGAGGTTCTATATCAACGCATAGAGTCCGCAAATCATCCAATGTTCAGTTAGATTGTATGGCTGGAACTGCACAGATTGGGATGGGAAAATCAGATAATGTCACTCCTGGTACAATCAGTGTCAGCGATTCATCCAAGGACAAGAAGCACGTATCGTTAGAATTTCAAGCTCTTCTTCGAGTTGCAGTTAAGAATGGCCAACCTATGTTGACATTCGCAGTTGACAATGAAAGTGACATTCTTGCAGCCACAATGAAGAAATTGAGTGCCTCAAGGGAGGATGACTACAGCTGCATTTATACATTCTTCTCCATTCAAGAAGTCAAGAAAAAGAATGGGAGGTGGATAAATCAAGGTGGCAAGGGCAAAGGTCATGATTATATAACTAATGTTGTTGCCCAGCTGAAGGTTTCTGGTTCTCAGTTTTCCAATTCGACTAGACAAAGCTATATGGCTCAAGCTTTTGCAAGGGAGTATGTTTTGTTTTCCATGGATCTACAACAGGCAGAGCAACAAACATTAGATTTTCAGCCTAATGATGAGCTTGCTGCCATTGTTGTCAAGATTCCTGAAGTAATCAGAGGTGGAAATCAGACTAATAAGTGCAATAATTTTTCAGAGGCAAGATGTAATTCTACCTCTGGTAATGTAAAGAATCAGCCTGTCGTTGGCAGTCAAAGCCGAATCAATACTACAGTCATACTTCCAAGTGGCATTCATAGTCTACCAAATAAAGGAGGACCTTCATCATTGCTCCAACGGTGGAGATCAGGTGGATCATGTGACTGTGGAGGTTGGGATTTGGGTTGCAAACTTAGGATTCTTGAAAACCAGAATCAACGTACTAAGAAATCAAGTTCAACCAAAGCCTGTTCAGCTATTGGTAAATTTGAGCTCGTCTCTCAGGTATGCTCTATTGCTTAAACCAGTTAGTTTTACCTCACACGTGTAATAGTCAACTTACATCTCTTCCTCATTTCTATCCAGTGTGGAGAAGAGAACCAGCCTGTCTTCAGCATGGCCCCTTTCAAGGAGGGGATCTATTCAGTTGAGTTCAATGCATCACTTTCAACTCTACAAGCATTCTCTCTTTGTATAGCAGTTCTAGATGGTAAAAAACTATGCGAGATGTCAGAATCTAGCAACTTGTCTGAAGAAAAAACTTCTCTGGAAACAATACTGTCACAAAATGATGGAATAAGGGCTCCAAATGGAATTGTCGAGGAGGTCCCTGCAAGATATGTCTCATATCCACCCCTCTCTCCTGTAGGAAGGGTCTAGTTTGAAGCCAAATGGTCTTCGTAATTAGACACGTCTGGTGTAGATAGATACATTTTCGGTCGGCTGGGTGAGCAATGGATGAAATGAACCTGGATTTAAGTTTCTGCCACTGAGATTTAGTGGTTAAATTAAATGGAAAATAAAAAGCATATATTCCGCTAGGCTTCCGAGATGGTAAGAAAGTAGCCTGTAGCCTGAGATCCTGCATGATATTTTGGGAGTTCTTTGGACAAGAGAATCAGTATTAACTCTACTTAGAGCCATACTATCTTCTTCATCATTGTAAGTGTGCATGATTTTATCAGTGAATGGTATTTTTGCTTTCCACTACTAGTCAAAATTTTGCCCAAAACTTCTGTCGTGAATATATATATATTCTTCATCATTGTAAGGGTTAATATTCTTTAGCAACCCTTCATTTTAACTGAGCTTCAATTAACTAAAAATTTAGACTGGGTCAACATTAGCTAAATAAAGAGTTTGGAATTAACTATGAAACTGTCATTTTGCTAATCATTAACGACAAAAGTGCAAGATTTCGGTTGTAAAGGCCAAGGAAGTAACCATTATAATGTAATGGTCCCCATCCAGGATTTTGGATGTTGACATTGATGTATCGCTTTCTAAGTTTCATTTCAGGAGTGTAGACAATGAGTAATGACCAGCTTTTTTTCGTTTTATTTTTTCTTTTTCATAAGAAAATCGAAAATGAAATGATTTTCTTACATAAATCTACGATTATTGCTATAATATCAATGCGATATATGTGTAGGATACTGTTAATGTCACGTACGTAGATTAAAATCTGGTCAAATATATTCACCCGCGGTGCTATCCGATTGCACCATCGGACCTGTGCCATTGAGAAATATCATTTATAACAGATAGCTTAGAGATTTAAACTACTTTTTTTTTTTTAATAGAACTTGATTCTTCTAATTCTAAAGCGTAAGTTATCCATTAGTTCCTCTAGTTTTTTTTTTCTTTTTTTAAAAAAACAAATTAATTACTTTCTTGACATTTAATTTAATATTAATTTATTTAAAAATATCTTTTTTTTTATCAATTTTTCATAATATCTATCTTTTTTAAAAAAAAGTTAGAAAGAAATATAAAATAGACAAAAAAAACTAAATAATTAATTTTTAAAATAAGAAAACAAACTAATTATAATTTAATCAATTCCACGTAAAATATATATTTATGCCATCACGACTTTTGTGTCGCTGTATAATTAATAAGAAAGAAATAATTTATCATAATAATAAATTAAAAAAGGCGACACCTTCTTTTTGGTTTCCTCTGCTCAAAAGAGGTTGTCTTTTCTTATAGTTATGGTAACTCTTTTCGTTGATTCTTCCAAAATTTTCTCGAACTCCAAATTCTCTCCTCCCTCCAACAAAACAAAACACAGATTCTGTAATTTTGTTTTTTTTTCTAACAAAATTAGAAATTTAAAATTTTTAAGGAGATTTGATCGAGATTATGATTAAGATTCCCCATTATCCTTGCTCCCCAAACACAACTTCAAATTTCAAATTCTGCTTCTCTCTTTAAACCACCTAAGAAACAAACCGAAACAAAAAGATAGATAAATCAATTCAAATTTTGGGTTTTGGATGTTAATTATTATTAATTAATGTTAAATGTCAAGTATTAACCTCGGATTATCAAAATGCCCTTTTACATTGCTCGCCAGACTCCTAAGGTTTCTATCTCTTGATTCTCTATCCCTTCTTTTTTTTTTTAATCTAATTTATTATTGTTTCAATTGATTTTTTTAATAATATATTGTGAAGCTATGGAGAAAAATTTGCTCAGAAACGACAATAGAAATTTCGCTTCTTGCAGAGAATTGGAATCTGCTTCTTTCTGGAATTGCTTTTCAGGTCCCCACTCTCTCTCTCTCTTTCTTTTTAATCGATGCTGACAATTACGTTTTTTAGAAAAAAACTAAATTTGATTTTAAATAAGTTGTTGCGTGATGATGTTAATGGCTTTTTTTTTATACAGTATATACATGGATTAGCTGCTCATGGAATTCATTACTTACATAGGCCTGGACCAACACTTCAGGATGCTGGCTTTTTTCTTCTTCCTGTGCGAAATATCACTTTTCAGAATACATTGTTGCTTGCGAAATTGAACAGCATTTATGTTGCTTTTCTGTTTCATTTCAGGAACTTGGTCAGGACAAAGCTTATGTCAGTGAAACCTTATTCGCCTTCATCTTTGCTTGTTTTGTGTTGGTAAAGTTTTTCCTCATGTTATTAATTTTTTATTTTTTCTACTTTACATATTTTGGGATTTTCTCTGTAATTTGACAGATTATTTTTAGACTTCTGACCAATTTAATCATTGCTGCTGATTTTTTTAATAATGTCAGCGAACCTTGTTCGTTGTTTCTTTTTTCCTTGCTTGTTGCATTTGTTTAATGTTCTGCTTTGTTTTTTCACTTTACCATTAAGGAAAGATGCTTGCATTCAACTTTTACAAGGGTTGGTGGCTTGTAAATCAAGTTCATGTGTAATACACCAGAAATCTCTCGTAGAGTAGGCGAGGAAAGATACATTTTGGATTGTGATGTTAGTTTTGTTTGCTTGATGTTGTGAAATTTCTTAGTTGGTTTTCTCCTGCTTCTAAGCACTTATGTGTGCATCACTTCTTAAGCCTGGAAGAAGCATTCAAGCAGATAGATGACAGTTTCAGAGTTGAATGTTGGATAGTAAATAATGATGATCACAACTCTCGAAGAAAACTATTTAGTTGGAGAATTATGTAGACACTTGGCTTTTAAAAACAATAAACATGCTATTATATGCTCCCAACTGAGCTTCACAAACTAGTGCATTCATGGAATTTAGCCCTTTGGTGGATGTGATGACTCGAACTTGTGATTTCATCTGACATTAGCACATCATTATTCTGTATTTGAAGTAGTTATTCTATAAAACCTTAGAGAAGCAGAATTTTTTCATGCTTTTTTCTTTGACTTAATCGTTCTGCATGTTATGGATTTTAAGTATCTAATCATTAATGACCAGACTGCTATTTTAAATTATATTTGATCCTGGATCTAACAAGAGTTAGTTTTGTTGCAGTGGACCCTTCATCCCTTCTTTTTCCAGAACAAAAAAATCTACACAGTTCTGATATGGTGCAGGGTCCTTGCTCATTTAGTGGTAAGTGATTTTTTTTTTTTTTTTTTTGCGTCGTTGTTGTTTATCCAAAGTCCTTCTGATTTTCAGAAACGAGGCCTGAACTTGGATTTTTTGGAAACAAGTATTTATTATTCTTTATATTTGATGAGCAAGAAATACAAATAACATTAAATAAAAGCCACTATCCAGTCATGTTCCCACCATAGCGGGTCCTAGGAGAGATACTTGTTAACAATCCTGTTGTTTAAAGTCAAAGTTGGCTTTGTAAGATTTTTGTTTCCAGTAATGTTCTTAAGAATCTAAAACTCTCTTTGTAGAGCAAAACTCAATCCAGACACAAGCACTAGCTGTTTAGGGGTGTTATATTACTTCAGCAGCTACAATACTGTATGGGCGCCAGTGGGCTAGCCCAAGTTATCGAACATTGGGCAAGGTCTATATTGGAAAGCACTTAAACAAGCCCGAGACAGTGCCACAAGCAACCGAAGCAAACAATTTACCTTCTAAGATTCTTCTTGGCATTGTTTAAGTGACTGATAGCTATAGTCAGGATATATCAAAATCTAATGATCTCTATTATCAAAAATTAGGAGAACCTATATCATTCACCGATCTTTCAGTTAAGTTTAGTTCTGCTCACTTTTGAATTGTTGCCTTCTCTTTGAAGCACCACTCTCTGATTTTCTTTATATGCACCAAATTTCTAAGATGTCTCAATAGCTTTGACATGTATTTTCTTGACATTCTCAAAAATATTTTGCACCGAGTGACTCTGACACTGGTTTTGGGCTTGTTTTATCTTGTGGAATAACTTGCTAGAGATACTTCTCAGGAAGCTCTTTCACTTGTCTGCATATCCTGAAAGGAGAACCAAAAATGCTTCACATTTTCACTGACAGCAAAAGATGGCTTCTTTACTGATGGAATTATTTTTATCATTTATTTTACTGTGCATTATCCACTCACACACAGGCTATATGTTATATAAGTAGGTGGATCCATGGGCATAATGTTAGTTTCTGTTGTCCTCCTTTATCTGTCTTACAGCTTTCAGGTGTTTTTATTGTACTTTGATTAGGCTTGTCAGATTCTCCGTATAGTAACATTCTATTCAACTCATCTACCTGGTCCAAATTACCATTGCCATGAGGTAAATTTTGGAAACTCTATATCATATGCTATCAGATTCCTTAATTTCTTGACGTATGGTGCTTCCCTTTTACAAAAGTTGTTTCATTATTGTTGTTGTTAGATTGTTGTAATCGAAACAACTTTTTACAACCAGGTACAAATGTCTCTTTCAGGGCTCAAAACTTGCCAGGCTGCCCCATCCAGAGAGTGCAATTGAATTGCTTGTGATCAACTGTAAGTTTTGAAATATCCAACTGTTTTTGGTTATTATTTTTATTTTACTGGTTTGTCAGTTCAATTTACATGATTGCACCTTGTTTCTCCCTTGACTCACATTAATGTGCAGTTTCCAGAGGGGTTAACTATGGCTGTGGTGATTTAATTTTTTCATCACACATGATATTTACCATCGTCTTTGTGCGTGCATACCACAAATATGGCACGAAGAGGTACATGCAATGCTCATCCTTGATGGATTATCTTGGCTGTTGGCCATTCTACTTTATACGAGGATGGACTTTCACTTCTCTTGGCAATACTTGGCCCATAACTGCAGGTGCATCAAGCAGTTTGCTTGGTTACTTGCTGTGGTTCAGAGCCTTCTTATTGTAGCATCTCACAAACATTACACGGTTGACGTTGTTGTTGCATGGTAAAAGGACTAGATCTTCTCCTGAATTTAATTCCCTAGGAACTGTCTGATAGATTTGGATTGTTTATACTGCAGGTATACTGTACATTTGGTAACGTTCTTTATTGACAAGAAGCTGCCAGGTTAGTTTTTCATATTGCTTTTCTTCCAATAATAACTTGATGTTATATTTCATGGGTATACATGAAAGAGATTTTAAAGGAATAATCTCTTTTGGAGTTGATTGATACATTTTTGGAGGAGAGGAGTTGACTGATACATTATTATTCGGCGTCTAATGTGTTTCTTAGATGGAATGTTTATGTTTGAGGGTTGTGCTAGATTTTGATTTACTTTAAAACTGTTCGAGTGACACCAATTATCTTCATTTCAGATTTAGCCGAGCGGCCTAATGGATTAACATCTCTGCCACTGCTACCTCAGATTAGAGAAAAGGATAGTAAAAACAAAGAAGAGCACCACATAGTACTAACTGGGGTATCCGTTGAGACTGAGGGTTGATTATTGGTTAATGAATGCTACTAGTCACTATAACCAGTTTTGCCTTGCCAGTTGTCTTTAGGTAATTTGAAATTGTTAAATGTCTATCAAATGGAGAGCACAGTTGGATTATGAGATTGAAGCTAGGAGCATAGATTAGCGGTTAATTGTACATAAATGTCAGCACCAGCGGAAGATAGCTCTGCTGATGTTACCGCATTGAATATGTGCCTAAAATTTATGTTTGAACTATTGCGTCCCCAGCGCAGCTCATTTGGCTTGTTAGATAAACCTCAGTAGCTTTATTGTTTTAAAAAATTGAATGAAATGTTTTAGCTTTCTCAAATTCAACACTTTCTCTGGATTCATTCATTCTTTTCTTTTGTTTGTGGAATGGTTCATAGTCAAATGAAGTACAGCTTCCTATTTACATCAGAGAGAGGGAGGAACAGCACTGTACGTGGCACATCTTGTCATGTTTAACCAAGAACGCTGAAATTCTTGGTCCACAAAAATCTTTCATGAAGCATGAAAGATTAAAGGGACCGTCCCTATGTTGATAGTTCTCATAGATAGCAAACGACCTTAGATTTTTTGAGAATACAGTGACAAGTAGAGACAGCATGTGCTCTACTTTTTCAGGTAATTGGGCTTGGCATGAGCCAATGATGCAATATAATAATGCTTCTTGTCTGTGTCCCGCAAGGGCCACCGCTCCCTGCATTAAACTTCTTTTTCGTTCTCCTCTCTTTTCATGGGAGGTTGAAACGTAACATTGGAGGCATCACTTGTTACATCACATGCCTGGCATGGTTGCCCTCCCTATCGAAGGGCTCTTATCCTTAAGTAATAACATATGGCTTTTTTGCACATTGTGATGGTGGACAAAATAATACAATAGAACCTCCATCGTGTATGTTTCAAGAAGTAATCTCAAGCAATTCATTAAAAACAATTAAGCATGACAAACAGTTCGGATAGGATAAGGTCATGCTTAATTAACGCCAGTCAGAGAAAGGAATATAGATGCCAGGTATAGCTTTTGTTGAACATGTGAAGGTGGTCCATGAACTATAGTGATCTTAATGTTTTATATTATTGTAGTACAACCATAAGAGCAGGGGAGAGGGAAAGAAAAGAGAACATTAAAAAAAACAGGAAGTGATCTTTGCCCCAATGCCTCTCAACTCAGAGACTTCCTTGCTCATCTATGTTTTAAAGTTCCCAAACAGATCCATTGCAGAATCCTCAGTTTCTGTGCTAAAATCTTAGTTAAAGCAATATGTTAAAAGCGAAGGAGTACTGAATGATGGGTTCTTGCACAGCCACTGTTTCTTTACCCATGTGGGCTCGCTCATCAGTGTTTGTTGGGGTGGAGACCACAGTGCGTGTGTGTTCTTTCATTGACTGAATGCTGGCAAATAGGTCCACGTTGAGTCAATTGAGCTGGAAAAAAAATTTGGGCAAGAAGAATCTGACCTTAGGTTCATGATGTGATGCATGTCTCCCCAAAGACCTCCATTATTCCTTGGCTTAATTTATTATGCAATATTGCTTTGGACCTGGCCTGTTCTTCTAACATATAAAGTATGTCCATAATGTTATAAAATAAATAGCAAGAGCATTTTTATTTTCAGGTTGGCATAGCAAGGCGTCTTGATGGGAACAGAATGCAAGGATGGTACTTGAGATCTTCCATTATGAGATCCTATCTCGTGTTGTTTGCTTTGTAGTAGACATTTTGGTTTGGGTTCCTTTAAACTATTTTTAAACTTGGCGAGAAAAGTGTCACAAGTTTAGGTGCATTGCTTGCAAAATCGAAGGACACAAGTAGGGAATTTTGGTTAGCATAGTAAACACTATGGTTTGGCCTTTGGCATCTTCGAATTGTTTAAGCAAAATCAACAAGTTGTAAGCTCAGCTTGCTGGCAGAAATGGGCGCAAGTGTTTAAAGCACGAGGTCATTATTGCCTATAATTTGTTACTTAAAAAAAAATTAAGAAAGTTGCTAGATGAGGCAAGGGTACCCCAGTCAAAGGTTTGAAAAGTTGAGACCTTGATCAGGCAACCATGAGTTATATCCTCTTGTTGGCTGATGTTGGCTCTTCTGAGGCCCCAGCTGTTCTTCGAAGATTTATTATGAATCCTCGCGTTTGATAAGGAGTACGGAACGTTACTGACAGATAGAAAACAAAAATTGAACATGTTTTGCTTGGTGAAGACGGATATAAATACGAATATCTCTTAAATAAGAAAATACGATAGAAGAAGACGGAGACATAAGTTTTAATGAATATTTTTACCTTTTTATCCCCATTAATATTTTAATATTACAAATCAAACCTTTCACTTATCAATCTTTACTATTCATTTTACATGAATTATTTTTTACTCTTAAAAGTTAAAACTGCTTTTAAAAAAAGAGTCAAAAATATAAAAGAACGGTTTGACCCTCCACCACCGCTCAAGATCAAGTGCCAACAGTTTGTATTTGACCAAAAGTTTAAAGGGTTAATACTTCCTTCCATACAACGTTTTCTTATTTATTTATTTATTTATCTATTTAAAAAAGTCTTTATATTTTGATCATCATTACATCCTTATGTAGTTTTCATTACTAATAATATTAAATTTTGACACATGGCAGCATGAAATTTTCCATTGAAATGTATTTTGAATACTAATTTTTTTTAAAAAAAATTACTCTGATCTCTCTCTCTCATATATATATATATATTACAAATAAGTCTTTAATTGAAAGTTTTTTATCATCCTTTTTATAGTATATAAAATTTAGTCTCTATATATATATATTTTTTTTCAATTAAATCCTGACATGTCAAATAGTAAATTTGGTTAAAATTCTCATATTATCTTAAATATAAGAAGTATTTTTAATTTGATGTTGAATTTTTTTTCACATATAATTTTTATAATAACGTAACAATAATAATTCAATACTTACAAAACTCTGAAAAAAAAAAAGAATATATGAAAGCAGAGAACGATTAACTCGATGTTTAAAGGATACATGGATAGGATAGAGAAAAGGAAGCCCAAATTACCATCAATTATAGGGAACCCACTAACCACTAACCATTTCTGAGGTTGTCCAAATCTTAAAAGATACAAAACATATTACCTTTGACCCTCTCTGACCAAGATGTTCCCCAACTGTGGCCTAAAGCGTAACCCCATTTTCCCTGAAATTCATACCTGTAATCATCAAAGATTTGACTCATATTAAACACGTCATTAGGGGCCAAAAAAATAAAAATAAAAATAAAGACAACATAGTAAATCTCTAATAAAAATGTAAATTATTTCTCATAAAAATGATTATTCAAACAATTGCACATGGTGGCATCTACTAGATGTTATCAGTGTGTTTGGAAGGGGAGACAGTGAGAGGAAAGAAAATAAAAAGAACTGATCATGAATTTCAAGAAATTTTCACTTGTTTGGAACACAAGAGAGAAAGTAAGAACATAATTAAAAAAAAAAAAAAAAAAAGAAAATTCTGTATGTTTGCTCACTTCTGCTATTCTCTGTAATAAAAATTGGGTGGAAAAATTATAAAATTATAACTTTGTTTTTTAAAAATACTATTTGTTAGTTTGATCAAATGAACATAATAGTAATTTTATTCTTAAAAAAATTCCCTCTTTTTTTATTTTTATGCGTTCGAATTAAAAAAAAAATTACATTCTCGTCATTTTCTTTCCTTCCATTTTCGCCACTTCCAAACAAGAAAGAGAGAAAACGACTTTTCTTACATCTCATTTTTTAACCGTGATAAGGGATGACACAGACTTTCTTTATTTAAGTCATACTTAAATGCAACTTTACCTAAATCATAGTTTAAAGAGAGAGTTATGCATAGGGAGCATTGTCGAATTGAATCTCCTTTCTTTGACTTTGACCCACAATAATTGCCATTTGCCGCTCCCTTCTGCCGAATTGCTACAAACACCCAGCAAGTTTTAAGACATGTAGGTACTTCACGCTTTACCTCTGCCTGTAATTTCACCCATCAAAGCGAATTGGACACGTGTCCAATTCTTCCGATCAGTGTATTCCACGCGATTAATTTGAGAGTGGCGTTGATTTCTATTTGGTGTACTTGCGAAGACAAAACTGACGAAAACCTAGGAAAAAGAAAGAAAGAAAAATAGAAACAAGGAGTAGTAACGAAGTGTAAGTGGTGAAAAAAAAATGCAGAGAGGGAAACAACTTTGGATCCTAAAAAAGTTTGTTTTCTTTTCTCTCACTTTCTTGCTTCCCAAACAATACCTCCCTTTCACTCTCTCTCTTCCATTCCCCAAGAAAGAAAGAGAAGTGTTATAGTCTGTGTGTGTGTGTATATAAGAAAGTGAAACAAAGTACTGGACTGCAGACTCCTACTACTTCTACTCAAGCTTTAGGCTTCTTTAGTACTTCGGCTCCATTGAGAGAGAGAAAGAGAGATTCAAATACTGAAAAACATTAGTACTATAAAGTAAAAAAAATTTTGTTCCTTTTGTTTTGGGTTTTCAAGATTTATTTAAAAGAAGAAACAGAAGTAGTAGTCATACAGTAGATCATAGGAGGAGGAGGAGGAGGAGGAGCCGAGGAGGAGGCAATGGGAGGTAGGTGCTCCAAATTATCACTTTGTTGGTGGCCTTCCCATCTCAAATCAAACCTCAACTACTCCTCTGATCTTGGTAATCTAAATAACTTTCTATTACTACCAGGAGTACTATTTCATTTTCCTTCACCTTCTCTCACAGTATTTTCTCCTTTTCCTTTCTTTTATTGTTTGTAGCTAGGGTTTGCTTTATTCTCCTTTATTCCTTTTGGGGTTTTAGTAAATTAATACACAAACTTGTATGTGCAGAGAATGGGGAGTTATTGCCTGGTGGGTTTAGAGAGTACAGTTTGGAGCAGCTAAGAGCTGCCACTTCAGGGTTCAGTTCGGACAACATAGTATCAGAGCACGGAGAGAAAGCTCCCAATGTAGTTTACAGAGCGAAGCTTCAAGAAGATGATCAATGGATTGCTGTTAAACGCTTTAACAAGTCTGCTTGGCCTGATTCTCGCCAATTCCTTGTCTGTAATTTCTGTATATATATATATACACTTCTTTTTTTTCATGCTTGCTCTTTAATTTTTAAAGCTTTTTGTGACTTTGCTGTGATTGGGTTTTTATCATATAGGAGGAGGCTAGAACAGTGGGGCAGTTAAGGAATGAAAGATTGGCCAATTTGATAGGGTGTTGCTGTGAAGGAGAGGAGAGGTTACTTGTTGCTGAGTTTATGCCTAATGAGACTCTCTCTAAGCATCTATTTCATTGTAAGCTCAGCTTTGCTTTTCATCCATAATTGCTTTTGGGAAATAGTTAAGCATTAGTTGGAATTAATTATAATGTGTCAAAAATAAAAATAAAAATTGAATTTGGGCTCAGGGGAGAACCAGCCGATGAAATGGGCTATGAGGTTGAGAGTGGCTCTTTATTTAGCGCAAGCTTTGGAATACTGTAGTAGTAAAGGAAGGGCCTTGTACCATGACCTTAATGCTTATAGAATTTTATTTGACCAGGTACTTGCTACATTTTTGTATCTATTATCAAAAAGCCACCTTTCTCAATTTTATGATCTGCTCCTTAATTTGAGTTAGCACTTTTCAGGATGGAAATCCGAGGCTCTCATGCTTTGGCCTAATGAAGAATAGTAGAGATGGAAAGAGCTATAGTACGAATCTGGCATTCACTCCTCCTGAGTACTTGAGAACTGGTAATAAGTGAAACTGATGTGTTTGCTTACTTGGATTTGTATGCATTGGGTGCCAATATTTGTCACTGGACTATTGATTGAGCTTAACGTAGATGTTTCTGTATGGCAGGAAGAGTGACACAGGAGAGTGTGGTTTATAGCTTTGGCACCCTATTGCTTGATCTTCTCAGTGGAAAACATATCCCCCCAAGCCACGTAATATATATATTCTCTTTGCACTAATATTTGCTTGAGGTGGAATTTCATATGGATTTCTCTTGGCATTTCTACAAGATATTTTGTACCTGGAAAAGTAGTTTGTGTTTTTAATTTAACTTGAAATTGAAGTCAGAATTTTCTGAGGAAACAGTTAGCTTGAATAGTTGACATTTGGATTGTATGGTACCTGATCATTTCTGTAATTCAGAAAATTTTTTTTAGCTAAATACTGCTTTTCTTTAACTTCTTTGGCAGGCACTTGACCTTATACGTGGAAAAAATTTTGTGATGCTGATGGACTCTTGTTTGGAGGGTCATTTTTCAAATGATGATGGAACTGAACTGGTGCGTTTAGCTTCACGGTGTTTACAGTATGAAGCTCGCGAGAGGCCCAATGCAAAGTCTCTTGTCACTGCTCTCGCTCCTCTTCAAAAAGAAACTGAGGTGGGCCTTAATTCATTATTCCTTTGCTAGACAATGTGCACATGTGTGCGCCATTTTATTGGTATTTTTTACAGTGTTGCTCTGTGAGTTTATGTTTTCATTATGGAAGTTATATTGGTGCATTCGTCAATATGTTATACCATCTCAGTTACTGGTATTCAGCAGGTTCCGTCCCATATTTTGATGGGTATTCCACATGGAACTCAGTCCCCAAAGCAAACAATGTTGTTGACACCTCTAGGTGAAGCTTGCTCAAGATTGGATCTTACTGCAATACATGAAATGCTAGAAAAGGTGGGATACAAGGATGACGAGGGAATTGCCAATGAGGTTGGTATCTACTGCATAGTTTGTTTAATTTTTGGGAAAAAGCTTTCATGCCCTGTTTTGAACAACGCCTTTAATGTCTCTGATTTGTCTGATAGTTTGATCTGCATATTGGCAGCGTTTCTTTCCACAGAATAGTTATCCATTTGTTTCTTTTATTTCCGTTACTTTTCAGTCACCAGAGATTACGATTTCTCATCCAGTCACCTAGAGGTCCACCTCCACCTATCAGTTTGTTCTGATATTTCCTTCGCATTCCTTGTTCCCCAGTTGACATGTCAAATATTGCAAATCTCAGAATTTAGAAGTGCCTTTTATTGATCATTTTAAACTGCTAGAAAAGTACTAGACTCCTTGAGCCTTGGCATATAAAAGTCTACTTGGAAACTTGAGGGATGATTCCCTATCAAAACAGAATGATTTCCTCCCATGCTGACAGCTTTATTGTACAACATGGTAGTGAACAGAAAAGTACTTTGATTACCCTTTTCAATTATTAAAATTTAAGCAAAGTTGGCTTTTTTCATTATCGTACCTGTACTTTACACCAAGTATAATTGAATTTCTTTTGCCTTGTAGCTTTCCTTCCAAATGTGGACAGATCAGATACAGGAAACGCTGAATTGTAAGAAACGTGGTGATGCTGCCTTTCGCGCTAAAGATTTTAATACTTCCATTGATTGTTATACTCAAGTAAGTCATATTTATTGACAACTGCAGAGTCTTCCTTCGTTTTCTTCCCAACATGGTGAAATGCATGGTTGCTACACATTTTTACTGATATATGATATGGAAGAGATAAGTCATATTTAAGTGCTAAGAGTTTGTTCTTCAACCTTCCGAATAATTTAATGAAATAGTCAGCTATGCCCTAAAATTTTGTAACTGAAGAAGGCTAGGCATGCCCTTTATAAGAAAGGGAGCACCTATTATTACTAACCATGCTGTTTTTCGCAAACTTTGTTTCATAATCCTACCAGCATTTCAAAAGGCTATAGATTAAAATATTAATTTTAGTTTTGTTACTGATTTGATGGAAAGCTATAGAAACGTACTTATGATTTTATCTGATGTTAGGATGTACCTTTTTTTGTTTTCTGGCTGTGCAGTTCATAGATGGCGGGACCATGGTATCTCCAACTGTATTTGCTAGACGCTGTTTGTGCTACTTGATAAGCGACTTGCCACAACAAGCCCTTGGAGATGCTATGCAAGCTCAAGCAGTCTCTCCTGAGTGGCCCACTGCCTTCTATCTTCAAGCTGCTGCCCTCTTTAGCCTTGGGATGGACAGTGATGCACAGGAAACTCTAAAAGATGGCACATCTTTGGAAACCAAAAATCATAGAAACTAAAAGTGTATAGTCTTTGGTATTTTATTTTATTTTATTTTAAAAAAAATTATATACTCCTTGTATTCATCTCTATTTGTTTTTTTTTTTTTTTTTTTTTTTTTGACATTTGAATTTCTGCAGCACCACAGGTTTAACTGTATTATTTACATGCTTGGTGTATGTGTCATTATCATTTTGATCTAAACTCTAAACAAGCCTTTTGCTTCTTGGCAACTTGTCTATAATAGGATTAAATCATCCACCACAAGCAGAAGCAAACTTAGCGTGTTTGGTGATCCTGTTCCGAGTGGTTTTCATCTGGAAAAAGGATCGAATCCGTACTTTTTGGGTGCTTTGGAATACTACAAGGCTTCTGTTTATACCAGAGCATGGGTGGGAAATAAGCGCATGATTACTGGGACGTCTCTCTTAGGAACCAGAGTCACCATCGAGGACCAAAATCTGTGCAATGAAATGGAACCAGCCAGGAGCCCTGTTTTATGGATCCCTCGGACAGAACATCTGGACTAAGCTGATCAGTGGTCTCTTGAAGCCACTCAGGTCCGAATGGCCTAGTTTAACGTCAAACTTGCACAGTTGTCTAAAATATGGCCGAATAACATTACTTCAAGGTAGCACCAATAATTGCCAAAGAAATGTCCATGGCAGACTTGAGATGATTCAGAGCACCAAGATCAACATGTGCCTTAAGAAATTTGTTTGCACTTATTGTTGAATATCTTTGAAGTAGATGCAAAAACTCCAAGATGAAAGCAAGAGAACACAACTCTTTTATTGAATATTGTAAAAAAAATAACATTAAACAAAATAACCGAGTAATGTTCAATTAATGTTCATTAAGCAATGTTAAATCTTACACCAAAACTGCAATTAATTACGCACAATTATGCAAAAAAAATTAAAATGAAAATAGCAATAATTATATTATAAGTACATCAATTTTTAACTTTTTTTTCAATCAAATATATGATTTTTTTTTCCCAAAAAATTTAACATATAAATTAACTATCTATTAACTCTAGATTATCAAATTACAATTCTAATTTTTTTATTATTATTAATTAGATACATAAATTTTAATTTTTTCATTTGAGTAAATAAATTTTTCAAAACTACCAATCAAATATTTCAATCAAATTTTTTTTTTTTTTTTTTGTTGACTGATATATCTAATACTCTCAAAATACTAAATTATAAGTTTTTTCCTCCTCTCAAACGCTCACAAGCAATAAATCTTTTTGATAAAAAAATCCCTAGTGTTTTCCTTTAATTTTCATAGCTTAACCTGATTAAGTTTTTTTTTTTTTAATTTAAAAAAGAAGAGAGAGAGAGAAAAAGAAAGAATACTTAATTGATAATTTTAACATTGAACACATCATTAGTTAAACAAAAAATTAAGAGAAATACATGATTGGCAAATGTTTTTTTTTAAAAAAAGTATATTCAAACAAAAAAAAATCCATGTACTTGATTGAAAAATAAAATAAAATTGATGTACTTATAGAACAAATATCCCCTTGTAAATAAAAGAGATCTTGAAATACAGCAATAAGATGAACTCTCATCAGACCCTAAGGCCAAAAATTAATCTTCTTTATAGTAAAAGCTAAAAAATAGATTCAAAAAACTGCCATTAATTCTTAATCAAATGAAGATGACATAACAGATTAGAGATGAAAAAAAAATGACGAAACTATTTTTAGTTTTCCTCCACTGCCCATGTAGAAATTCAAGTAGAACAAATTTCAAATCCGAGCAGGTCCGAGTTTCACATCGGACGTTGACCAGCACTAAGCATCTGGCCGATAATACCATTCACCTGGAAAACATAAAAGCTTTGATTATATAAACATCAAAACAGAAGAGCTTGCAGTTGTAATATAACTCAGACTGCAAAATATGCAGGCAAAGATACTAAAATTGTACAGATTGTTTTAACAGAAGAATGTAATGACCAAAAGCACCGAGGCATTTTCAATGCAACCGCATGTATAGTTTTTCAGGTACAGAGGGAAAGCATATATCAGCATCAAACATGATATTACAATTCCTCGCATTTAACTATAATTACTATGAATGTTAAAATTTATCAATAAATATGGAACATTTTGATAGCATATGCATACAGTATTCACACGTTATAAATATCAGCCATTTTATAATTAAGTGTCTATGGATATGCTGAGAACAATTTAAATGATGATAGTGACAGCCAAAACATTAGAGAAAGTTTAATCGATCTGATTAAAACTACAATTACAATGGTTTAATGGCAAAAATTGGCCCCCCCCCCTCCCCAACTACTAAGATTTGCTAATTTCAAGCCTTTAATACTAATTTGAGTTAATTACAACCCAAACTTTTATTTTTTTGGCAAATATGATCTTACCCGTTATCTTTAAATGTCAAAAGTTTGATTATCAACAATCAATCCTTTGACCATTAATAATTTCAGTTTATTTTTTTAAAATAGTTTACTGAAAATATTATTTACATGAGATTGAATAGTAGTTATTCATTAGATTTTAAAATTAATAACACTCATAAAAAATAAAATTAAAAATTAAAAATACAAATAATCAAATAGAAAACATAAAAAGTACACATATTTAAATTAAAAATAAAAGTACTAATTTTTTTTAATCAAATATTTCTATTAAATTCATAGTGACGTAACCATTAAATTGATTAGATTAAAAATAAAATAGAATATTTAAATCTAGTATTAACTAGATTATCCAGGTTATAAATTTTTAAATTTTTTCTAATCAAGTATGTTTGTTAAATTCATGCTGACATAACTATTAAATTAACTAGATTAGAAATAAAATAAAATATTTAAATGTAATATTAACTAGATTGTTATTAATGTAAATTTTTAATTTTTTCCTAATTAAATATTTTTGTTAAATTTATGCTGACATAATCGTTAAATTGACACATCAGCATGCTAACATGTACTTTATTTCTAATCAAGGATTTTTATTTTTATACTAGATTGTCCAGGTTATAAATTTTTAATTTTTTTCTAATCAAAGTATTTCTTTTAAATTCATACTGACATAACTATTAAATTGACTAGATTAGAAATAAAATAAAATATTTAAATTTAGTATTAACTAGATTGTTGTTAACGTAAAAAATATTTTTGTTAAATTTATGATGACATAATCATTAAATTGATACATCAACATGCTAACATGTATTTTATTTCTAATCAAGAATTTTATTTTTATTTTTTCTACTTAAACATATTTAATTTTTTTTTATTTGATGATTATTATTAATTTTAAAATCTAACAAATAGCTACTATGCAATTTTATGTTGATCATATTTTAACTAAATTAACTATTTAAAAAAAAACCTAGATTGTTAACCATTGACAGTCAATCCTTTAACCGTTAAAAATAACGGATAATGATCACATTTGCCCAAAAAAAAATAATTAGGGGTCCAATTAATCCAAATTGATAGTAAAAACTCGAAATTGCCAAATTGTAATAGTTTGGGGGCAATTTTTGCCATTAAACCCAACTACAACTGAATGATGAATCCACCAATTGAGACAATACAAAAGGTTGAATGTTCCAAATGTGGAGGTCTAAGCTAGCAAGATATTGCTTGATGGAAAAAAGGAAGGGTATTGCAAACAAGCCCTGAACAGAAATGACATGAAAAGCAGCAAATGACAGATGAAGCTGATTAAAGCAAGTAAGCAACAAGATATTATTACTTGTGTTGTACACCTCAAAGAACCAATACTTGTGCAAATAGACAGGTTTGAAAAAATTGTTTCACGCAAGTGCATTTAAAAAATATAAGCATACATAAATTGGTAAAAACAGATACTTGTTGTTTAGTAACTAACGTTCTACAGCATTGATAATCATTAAAGATTGTATGAATTGAACGGGTAGTTGAAAAAAGGCAAACAACCTACCGCCCAGTATTTTGAAACACATCTGTCAACGCAGCTATTTTCACCCATATTTAACTCAGCCTCCTTGTGCCTGAACAGGAAAAAAACATCAAAGTTGAAGAGAAAGCCAAAAACAACGAAAATGAAGGTAGAGTTCAGATATTCTCATACAACACTTTCATATGGATCCCTACGAACAAAAGAAAAGCAAGGACAGAAAGTACCTCTTGTCAATGCACTTGTTGAAACATGTATTAAGAAGCCTGGGATAACAAAATAAAAGGAGGAGCTCAGGAAATTAGGTATAGAAATTGGAACCTTCAAAAGAATAATTTTGGAAGCATATATCACCTGCATGACCACATGGATTCATAATCCATAGTCTAATGTATCAATTATCAAATTCAGGCACTGAGTAATACTACATTTCAGATATGATTCCATATTCAATTAATGCTTGAAATCCAAGCTTATGTAATACCAGAAAAGATCACATGAAAGATAAAAGATGATAACCACAACTAAATGGTTCACCTGTAGAAGCCTAATCTAATTATTCGATTGTCACCTCTTATTAGTCATCAATAACAAAAGAAGAAAAGATTAAAAAAGCATACAGACAATCATTTATATCCTTCGATCAGTTGTGTTAATTCTATGTAGGTATAAGACAGTCCTCAAGATAGCCACAATGTCTATCAAAAAATCCCATCGAATAACATCAAAAAAGGAAAAAAAACACTTACAGTAAACAACAAAATACTACTACTTGAGTACCCATTGTGAAAAATGAAAATGAAACAGGCATCAAAATAATCCTACTGAGTACCCATTTGTGAACAATTAAAATGAAACAGGCATAAAAAACAAGAAGCAAACATCGCAACTGTTTCATAAACAAATGCCCCCAGATCCCCAAATATCCCCAATGCTCATGCTTTGCCCTCTTACTAGTAAAACACAAAAAGGATCGATTTGTTACCTATTAAACAACTCGACTCTGTATTCCATCTCGGTCTCAGCCATGCCATAGGCCTACACTACCATTATCAAAAACCAAAAACTCAAAAAACTGATAAATTTCCACTTAAATAACAATGATAACTTTTCAATCAATATATATATATATATATATAAACTAAGCATTAATCATTATAAATAATCAAAACCCAAAAGGGTATCCACTTCACTTTCTAAAAATCCCATAAGAGAAGAGAAGGCTGAAATGAAAAGACCCACCTGTTCTTTGGAAACACCAGCAGGTAGACCAACGTTGTTGGCAGCCATAATATTTATACCCTGTACACACAACTATTACGCAAACTACTATCAAACCAGAATAAACCTTTCTCCTATAGATTCTAAAGTAACTTATAACGAAACATCGAATCCAAAACTTACTGTGTAAGAAGAGTAGAAGGAGCCGCGAGATGGATACGAATTAGGGTTTTAAGATAGAGAGAGGCCACCGTTTCTTCTATTGAGAAAGAAAAGGAATGAGTTGATGATGAAGTCACATGCTTGTTACCCTAAGAAAATAGAAGGTCCAACGAGAAGAGGCCACGCAAGCAAGCCCGAATGAAGTGGAGGGTGCAAACTGTAAATTTGCAGCAAAAAAGAGACACGTGTAGCCATCTTCCGTACAAATCAGAACACCAAGTAAGACCTTAGTTACCCAATTTTCCTTCTTTTTCTTTAGGGTTTTAGGGTTTTGGATTGGGGCTACATAATAATAAAAGTACTGTAAGAGGAAGAAGAAGAAGAATAACAGTGAAGAAAGACAGAAGCACAGAAATCAGACCGTCAATAATAAACAAGTAAGAGACGAGATGCTCTCTATCGAACCTGAAACTTAAAAGAACTGTTAGTTGAAATTGATTTTATTTTTATTTTAACAGCAATGGAGCACGGTTCTGTAAGGGATCCAAGCAGTGCAACCTTCTCTTTTGTAGATGAAGATCATACTCTTGCAAATTCTGTCAGATTCGCCTTGAATCAAGAGTATCTACTCTTCCTTGTCTCTAATTTTTTTTTTTTTTTTCTAGCCCGAGTTATTTCTTGGATATATTTCTGTTTTAATTAATGTTATGACATGTGGTTTCTACCCTTTTGCAGTCCAAGGGTATCATTATGCGGATACAGCATCCCTCATCCTTCTGATTCTAGGGTTAATATTCGAGTGCAGACTACAGGTAATCAATTTTCCCTCCTTTCTGATGACACTATGCTTACATGATTAGAATTCTCGACCTCGATCCTAATTTTCATGACTAGATTATTTTATGATGAGGACGATTGATAAATAAATGAACAGAACCTTTTATTTTCTGTTGTTATAGAGTTCGGATTCCTTAAGCGTTAGATTTCCAGTTTCGTTTGCTGTATGGATTATTTGGTTCCTTTAACTTCTTTGTGTATTCTTGGCTTGTACATGTACATTAGAGTCGAAGTGGAATTGTTCTATTTAAGCTATCAGGAACCTTTCGTGGTCCATGCTGAAATATAATTACAACAATTCTTAGAATCTTACAAGCAAATGTTCGTTCTTCTTCAAGACTTGCATCTTTTTCGTTATATTATTCTAGTTTGTAATTGAAAGACATACGCATTGCACTAATACCCACCCCTTTGTTCTTGGTAACATTTTTTGATGAAGGTGCTATTAAGATGTTTGTGCAATTAACCAATCAATGATGAAACATTTATCTTCTCTGTGAAGCGTTCCCAAGACCTTGGCCATTTAAATGATTATGCCCCACTGCAATTTTCTTTTTGGTTTTCACTTTCCAGTTTTTTGAGTTTCGATTTCTTGCATGCATCTTTTGCAGGTGATCCAGCAAGGGAGGTGTTGAAAGATGCATGTCAGAATTTGATGTTGATGTGCCAGCATGTGAGGAGCACTTTGGACAAGGCTGTTGATGATTATAGAAGCAATCCCACAGATATGGATACCAAATAATGGTCGAGATTGATACGACCAATTGGCGTCTTCATATATGACTTGATTTTATGGTTGTAGACTTGTATCTGAATACAGCATGATGTATTTGATCCAATTCAATCATTGGTTTTGATATTATTTGGTGTTTCATCATTTTGGAATTTGGATACAAGTTTCTTCATCTGTTACGGACGGCGGAAACAAATGTGATTGGTATTTCTGCCATTCTAGTGTTAAACAGAGACAGAGAGCTATTCATCTAGCAGGCAGGATGAAGCCTTTTTTTTTTTTCCCTTCCGGTTCTCTCATATTAAGTTGTGATTTGTCCCCGTTTTATTTCCACAGAATCACAGAGTGGTCCAAAAACTTACAGAACCGCTGCAAATGCAAGTGTGGAATTGGAATTTAACTAATAGGTAGTGCAGTAGTATCAGTCTTTGCCCTTGGTTTTTTATGCATGATTAGGGATGGTAATGGGTTGGATATAAAACAGATATTCGTTTCATTCGGTTCAATAGATACTGATTAAAAATGTCTAATGGGTAATAAAATAGATAAGATAAAAAATATATATACCTGTTAATATGGTTTTTGCTCTTTACTTTATTAATATATATAAATTTATTATTATTATTGTTATTATTAAAACATATAGGAATCTAATTGTATAAACTTTAAAAATTAAAAATCAAAATATTTTAAAAAAAAACTTTGAGGACCAAATAAAGTTATAAAGAAATGGCAAAAATATATTAAAAAGAAGTTTTCAGACCAAAAAACTTTTCTTAAAAAGTACATAGACTGAAATGAAATATTTTTTACAAATTGTTTTTCATGGATATTAAATAAATATTAAATTGATGGATAAACTAATGGGAGTTAAATATTAATCGGATAAAAATTTATATAGTGATTTTTTAATATATAATAAGTAGGATGTGTTTTTTTTTATGAATAGGATGAGAAATTGAATTAATGAATCATATATCTCTATATTGTCGTCCCTAGGCATGAGCATCGGATAAATCACCCAAATTTGGAAACTATTGCTCGCAGCAGGTTCTTAAACATAGTTAAAAGCTTCAACCAAAAAAACATAGTTAAAAGCTGAGGGGGAAAAAAATGAAAAGGACAACACGCAGGATTTATATGTAAAAGAAGCCAATAATTTATGTATAATGCATAATACAGAAACGAATACAATGAAGCACCGGGTAAGTTAGAGACGTGGCACAACCTACAAGCTAGACAAGGAGGAATAGAGCATCAAAAACAGGCGCTTGATAGAATGGATCCCTGATGCCAAGAAAATACCACTACTTACTTCTCAGTTCAAGAGAGGACTTTGAAGTGAAAGAGCCAAGAAATGACAAAGGCCACCACCATGCATGCAAGCAAGAAGTTCATAATGCGGCGGCTATGCCAAAATGTTCGGGTCTCCACCAGGATCAGAGGACCTGCTGGTGCTGATGAGACTGCAGAACCAGCAATTTGTGCCTCATGTGTCTGCTCGCCTGCAACACCCAGTGCAGTGGCACCACAAATCTCACATGTCCTGTAAAAACAGAAACAAATGCAAATTAAGATAAATTAGAAACTCAATCTAAATTGAAGGGCCATAAAAATAAACATGGAATCTCAAACAAGGTAACATGTTGAGTTCAAAGGTATATTTTGTATGGTGACGGATTAAGTTGTTCCAGTACAAATATCTTATGAACTAAAACTATTTCTTATGACTGGCATTGCAAAAGAGCCACTGGGGATTTATTAGTTTCTCAGAATGTATGATGGAAAGCATTTTTTTGCTATTTTCGCTAAACCGCTATGTTGGCAGTACGCAGCAAATGTGTAGAAACAACAAAGGCAACATGTCAAAAAAGCATACTTGTGTAGCTAAATAAGAAACAATAACACTCTGACAGTGGGTATAACCACCATAGCAGGACGAAAATCTCTAAGAAATGGCTGATATATACAGAGAAAACCAAAAGCAATGGGAGCCAGATGAAGATTTCTGTTCTATATGCAGGTGCATAATGATTCACAAAAGGAAGACAAAAGGAGAAGTTTGCATAACAAGCACTCCTGATGTTTGGAGAATCTCCCTAAACTGAATTTCATATTTATTGCAAAAAATCTCCTGCCTGTTTCCGTCGTATCATTTGTTCAATATCAGGAATTAGAAGATGGTTAGATGATGGATGTCATCAAGAAACTTGACGTGAATCAAAGCCGTAAGGAGTACAATAATTGAAGCTTCTTACTTCAGTAAAGCAAGGACAACTGATTATGTGCATAGATAGAGATGGAGACAACAAACCCAAAGAAGACACATACTTCTAGACATTCGTAGAAGCACAATTTCTGCAGTTGAATTTAATGCATATTCGTAGAGAAGCACTTGTCTACTTCTCAGAGTCAATACATGCACATAGAGACAAATGTATCAGCTTGCATTGGTCCCCACACTTCAAGCTTCCTAAAATGTAACCATGAAAATCCTTCTAAGCTGTGATGCATGAGGAAATTTAGCTTTGGTTCAAGTCAGGGTGACCACAAGACTTACTACTTCCAAATGATTTCTACTTGGCCTTCAATTTGACAGTTCTGTTCTCCCTTATTCAACTTGGTCACAAAAAAGCAAAAGAATAAGGACAACTATAACCACAGCATGACAGGAACAAGAGCTAGCAGTAGATGCAGAGTGGTTAGATGGGCTGATGTCAAGCACAAGGAGAAAACTGAGAAAGTTTGTCTAGGTACATTTGGAAATTTGAATGTGCTGATATGTGATTAATTAGATTAAAAAACAGGTTTATCGAGGTTAGGCGGTCACTGATCAAGAAGAATCTAACTCAAGTATTACAAACTTATTATGCCTTGGTTACTTTTCCACTTGAAACAATAAAGAACAATACTTCTCTCATTTAACTAGTCCCAACCCTCAGCTACTTCCATTTTTCTAAATAAACCAAAAAAGGTTTTTAACATATCTCCTGTTGTTCTTACTCCAAAACTGACTCTATGTTTGTTAAATTCCTTTTTGTACTATGCTCCTCAAGTGGAGGTTTCTATTATGATCAAAAACAACTTAAAGTAAATACTACTAAATACAGAAGTGGGAGAAGTACATTTAAAAGTTGATAGTACGAATCAGATCAGACCAATAGAGTTAAGAGGATCCCAAGATGCTATCGCAAACACATCAAGCACCAACATGCTGGATCAAGCAACTTGGAACTAATATTTCCTCAAATTCCAAAAACCAACAAAACTATAACCAGAATTTTTTAACCAACAGAACATAATTATAGCACAGAAACACACTTCATAACCATAATGCAAGAGTTCTTCAAAAACATCAGATGGATATCCTAATTTTCCGACAAAGACTAATGCAACAACAGAAGATCACTTTTTTAACCAAAAAAAAATGAATAAGTTGAAGTATTTACTTACGTGTTACCCTTGATATTGAACCAGGTCTCTGCACATTTCCTGTGAGCAGCACCCAGATCACCCTTACAAGAACACCCCAGCTCAATAGCTACTCCACTTTCTTGCTCACTAGTCCCCAAACCCAAGTGGCAAATTCTACAATCTCTCCGAGTCTTGTTGTCCAAATGCACCTCCAAATCCAAACCTCCACTCTCCAAATCCACCTCGGACAAGCAATCTGACACTGAAGAGTTCCTACGAGCCCCAATCTCGCCAGAGAGTGATATGTCACTGCTGCTGCCACTGAAACGGTGGCCTCTGTCAAAATGGGGAGTGTGTGTAGCTGGCATTTTGAGATAACCCAGAAAGGAGAAAATTGATGAAAGTCCCCGAGGCTGGGGTTTTGCTTAAAGGGTTTGAAGGCAAACGCTTAATCAATTTTCAAGAAAAAGAGACGTAGCAGTGAGAGAGAGAGAGAGAGAGAGAACAAGTTTGGATTTCAGGACAAATGGAAGGGTGCTAAGGGAAGCAAGGGAAGGTGGTGGTGTTTATACTCTTTATTTATTAAAAACATCACTCTCTCTCTCTCAATATCTGTGTGTCAGTTTAGGGCAGTGTTGGTGAAAAGGAAACGCAAGGAAACTGCTGTTGTCTTGGTGGTGCAGAGCAGAATTATTATGGAAACTGTGGGGTATAATGAAATGGAAACTCAAGTTTTATCTTCTCTCTTCTTCTTGGTGTTAACCAAATTACCTTCTTTCTTTTGTTTTCTACAGGAGACGAGGATCACAACAATCATGATGTCTTTTTCTTATTTATCTTATCTCTCTCTCTCTCTCTCTCTCTATCTTAAGAAATTAAAAAAAATTCAACTGTTGATTTGCCTTTTTGGCTCTTTGTATTTCCATTTTGCTGCTCGTCTCTTTACCACTGCTGCTTGATAATGTGAGGTATGTGAGGAATGTTCCTGTTCCTAGCGGCTGACCAACAAATAGGAACAGAACAGAACATTGAGTGGCCATTTTCGCCTTCACCAACTATTTGAAGAGTAAGATTGCTGTCACCTTGCTCTCTCTTTTCTTCTTCTTCTCTCTCTCTCTTATTATTATTATTTTTTTTTAACATAAAAGTCCTTGCATTGATTATGTAAGCAAATTCAATACTCCATATTTTTGTTTTGTTTACTGATTTGTTAGCTAGGCATTAGTATGTAAATATGCACTTTATCTGTTATGTTAAGTAATGCATGTGACACCTTGTCACATACAATTCATCCATTTTAAAGGTCGTAGCCATTGGAATTCATTTGCATGTTATGATGGAATTTCCAACCAGTCTGGCCCAGTACAATTAATCGAAGATGTAATTGCAATTCGCTAAAGCACGGACAATTAAAATAAATCTAGAAGGGAAAAAAGGAAGGTCCTTAAAAAAAAAAAAAGATTCAAAAACCCTAGAACAATAGCTGTGAATGACTGGTCTTATTCAAGAAGAGCTAAAGGGGTCTTGAGCCCCGCAAGACGAAAAAACGTGCTTATTTGTTTTATCTAATTTTGTTATGTCAAATTCCACAATAAGTCACTCTACTCTCTGGCCTTCCTGACCTGACATTCAAGTTTTGGGATGCTGGGCAAAATTGAAGCCTTCCTTTTTTCGTCCGGACCCTACGAGGAGGAGGGATTAGGCATCCATGATATATATATATATATATATGTATATGTATGTATGTATATGTATATGTATATATATATGTATGTATGTATGTATATGTATATGTATATGTATGTGTATGTGTATGTGTATGTATGTATGTATAAACCTCAAGTTGATAACTTTTTCACTGTCGGCAATGGGCTAGAGATCACAAAATTATGTAATATCTATGGTTCCCAAGTATTTTCTACTGCAATTGTTTCTTCCTTCATCAATTGACAATTTACAACAATTTGTACAACCAATTATATCCTTCATGATAGGTGGCTAGCAGCTAGCAGTCAGAAGCAGCTCTTATATATTTATGATTTATTGAAGTTGTTTATAGAAACAATCAGCAACAGCAAGCATCGATATGGAGCCTGAACAAAATATTGACTGCTGGTGCATTCAGATAGATATCACAAGCTCTTTCTAATTTCCAAGCTCTAAAGCGAAAAAGGAGTTGATGATTGCTGAGGGACAACACTTAATTGAAATAATTGTGTTGGAGAGCATTCCGAAACGCAGAATTTAAACAGGCATGCATAGAAAGTACCAGTAATTATTATTATAATCAAATGACAGAATAATTCTTCTTCTTTGTAACTATAATACTGAAAGATGATCATACATGATCCATAATTGATAAACTCTTATAAGTTGATGATCCGATGACAGAATCAAATGGAAGTTGGAGCACAGGCGACATCAGCACCAGAGATGGCAGATTCGGGTGAAAGGGCTCCACCAGAAACAGGTGCAGGGGCGGCGTCACCATTGCTTCTAGTCTGGTACATGGCACGGCGAGGATTGGCGCACAGGTTTGGTAAATAAACTCCTGCATGTACGTAGAGAATATTATTTTGTGTACGAAATTTTTGTCACATGAAATGAAAGGAAAGATAAATTTTTAGTATATGTAGCCATGTAGCTAGGTACCTTCTGCTAAGGCCAAATTGGTGTAGAGATCAACAATATTGGGGCAAGCTTGGTAGCATGACTCTGAGCAAAGTTTAGCCAAAAACTGAGGGTGAAGGAGAGAATCTGATGAGATACCAACTGTGTTTCTATGGAGGCCACATGCAGTCATGCATTCGTCAGTCTCAATCCATTCGTTCAGTGTATCAACAAAAACCTCTGATGTCTTGCATTGGTACTTAACACTCCCATCTTTCGTCGCGTAATTCTCTAACAAGCATCGCTTCCCAGAAGTTGCAATTGAGTATGAGCAGAGATCAACTGGCAACTGCTCACATACAAGCTCACCTGGATAGTTTGAACCATGTCAAAAAATAAGAAAATAAGCGAGTAATAGTACCAGTATACAAGGTGATATAGTATATGAAGACATTAAAAAAGATATATAGATTGCTAGAAGGATTTACCAAGAGCTCCATTAAGGAGAAGAGAGAAAGCCAGGAATGCAATCAAGGCCATATTTTTTGTTCAGGAAATTTGGTGCAAGACCTTGATCGATATTGATCAAGCAAATAGAAAATGGAAGTTGGTATGAGAAATTAGGTTTATGAGGGGGTGTTTATATAGTAGAGGGAGTGTTAGGTTAGGATTTAGGAGGATACATCGCAGAGGTCAACAACTTTCCAGGTATTCTTTTGCTAATTTAGTTAACAAGAAAATATGTTCTTGTTTAACGTTTCCTATAAGGCATTATTTGGCAACTTAAAGATACAACATTAAGGTAATTAATTTAATTCGTGATGTTTTGGTGGCAACGGAAATCAACTTTGGTTAGACCTTTCATGCTACATTGTTGTTGTCTCCAATCAGATATTTCTCTTTTGTTTAATTATACTCCGATCACCCAGCTGTCCTCTTAAAAATATTCAGCCAATGTGGACAAATTCTTTTTCAAGAAAATGGGGAAATGCTTCTCATTTATTTATTTTATGGATCCTATGCAGAGCTGTCACTTAGGGAATGGTTTCGACGGAATCTGAATCCCAATACCCTAAAATAACTATCTTTTTTGTTAATATTACCATTTTAATTTTATTTGCAATTGCAAATGCATGCCCTGGTAGTTTGATTTGATGGGGATTTGTATCTCATTTTGCTGTTTCCCTCATGAACGATCCTTCAGTTTTTTTCCCAATTCTAGATATCTTCCTATTTTTGTTTGGCTCCTTCAACCTTTTTTATACTGAGAAAAATAACGACATAAATTAGATAACCATTCATGAAATTATCTTTCGAAATAAAAATATAAATTTTTTTTCTGAATTTCACTTCCTAATCATTGCACATCAAAAAGTTGTTTCTTTTTGGTTGCATGCGCATATGAAGTTCTTTTCAAATTCAGACTTTGCTCCATCCTACACATGGAAGGAAAAAGATCAACCGACGTGACCGCAAGATGTTCCAAAAAAAATGGCACGAGAAAAAACATCTGCAAGCATCCGTAATTTTCTTTAAAATCATGTCCAGTAGGAAGATACTCTTGACAAAATCATGTCACTCCTCGTCAGAAGAAAAAGGCAATACAATGTAATTACTTTAAGATGGTGGAGAATTCGATACAAGTTAACAAAAAGATGGATCAAGGCATCAAGCCGACTGCCAGACTTGACTGACTTTGTTTGTAGATTACTACGAGATTACAAATAAATGTTGCCAAACCAAAAAAAGAAAAGAAAAAAGAAAAAGTAAGTAGAATAAATGTTGAGAAAAAGTTGGTATTGTACTTGTTTCTTTATCACTAAACATTACTTCCTGATATTCCCGTCAATTATGCTGTCGAAAGAAACAAGAACGGGATCCCACTTCGGGAAAATCTTACAGAGCAAAGTCCACAGTACTCAATCTTTGTTGCTTACACCGTTTTCCAATTCCATTACTTCAAGTTTGTCTAATCTAACAACGATTACTTTTCATAAAATGTCTAACAAGGATGTTCTAAAAAACAGAAACATCGAACACATCAAAAAAATGAGTTGATCCAAAAGCATGGGATAGCCAGACACACACCTCTCAGCTAAATGCAATTCTTACAACTCGAGGAATCACCCCAACAAAGGCAACAGAGAATGTATTGCCAGGCTACCACTTCTTACAGAAGAAAAGCAAGGATTAAGCTGCCTGAACTTCAGTCTTTGCAGCGGTCTCTGTTGATTTTGGTAAGCTTTTCTTGCTTTCAATTGATTTTGCTAAGCTTGGAATGTACTTCCAGCATCGCTTGTGAACTCCACTTATCTTCTTGGGAGCATCAGCAATTGGTAATCCTGTATTAAATATTGATAAGATCAACTCTACCTCCATGTAAAGCAATATTTATATAGAAGAAAATACAAAGACAACGAGCAGTTCTAGTTACAAGTATCGACTAAAATAGAGAAACAAGTCAATTTTCAAGAGGTCAACACCACAGACACAGATAACAAGCAAAAAGGGAAGGGTGGGAAGAAAACTTGAGCAGATTCCGTCATCTACAGTCATGCAACATGCATATAGTATCAGAAAAGAGGAGATAGCAAGTGGTAGAGAAAATAGAACATCATTGAAAAACCCATCAGAAATTATCAAGTATGGGAAAGTTTCAAAATTACCCAAGAAAAGAACTTCAAGGAACATACTTGTTCAAGATCCACAAAAGTTTTTAACTCCTATCATAAACTACCATAACCAACATTTCTATTTGGTTCTTAAAAAAAAAAAAAAAAAAAAAAAAAAAGCAGGATAGATGATTCCTACTAGATCCGAGACTGAAATACTGTGTGCCTTTTGAGAAGGGAAAATAGAAGAAAGAATTTTTGTCCAACCATCAAAACCCCTAGAACCCAAAGAGCGTTAAAACCTGCTCAAATAATAACTGTTTTTAGCGAGTGTTTTCCTGGCATATTGAACACTGAAATTTGAAAAATTATGGTGAATAAATTAACTTTTCTTTTGATCGCATGAAAAATAATTCAGAAAGGGCTTTTTGTTCTCTATGAATTAAGACAGGTAACACGTGTCAAGTGATTATGGTTTGCACAATCAATCACAGGTAACTGAAACAAATCAGTAAAATGAGAGTGGGCATGCTGCACGCGTAGCACAAAGGAAAGCGCAAGAATACCATGTGAGCCAGATTCTTGTTCTAACAAGGATGTATTGCAAAGTCTTGTTTCCAATAGAATTGGAACCTACAAACAAAATCAGAATTGAGAAAAATGCATTCCTTGTTCCTGCCTCGATTGATTATTATGAGATGTTTATTGCTGAGACACCGTCCCACACTTATATCCCTCTCCACCAATCCATTATTAACCAGAAAGGTCACTAAACTTGCATTCAATAGAGATTTTACTTTCTCGTATTTCCGTGACAGCAATACCAAATCTAAAAGCTCCAATCAAACTTTGGACCCACCTATTACTTTAGCAAGAAAGCTTGAAATGAAAAACACAACATAGCATTTACACACTTCCAAGAACTTCCATCACACAGACAAAAGCAGCACATCTTTCAGGATATATTTATAATTAATTTTTCAATCAAAGAAAACAAAACAGCAGGCAGAGGAATGTCACACCTAAAAACCCAAACTAACATCAAATAATGAACAATAATAAAGTTTAGAAAATAGCATAACAAAGACTGACCGTCTTTGTGAGCTATCCCCCACGCTTTTCCATGCCTACCATCCTGCAATGATCAGAAACACATTAAACCCATAAGAACCACAAACAAAATGAAGAAATAAACTCCAAATTCACCATAATCTTATTATCTCCAAACACAATATTTAAAAAAAAAATTCAATAACCATAAAATCAGACCAACCAAAAACCCTAAACCCTGCTAAACATCGATTTTTACTTGTCAAAAAATGAGTCTCCACTACCTTGTAGAGATTGATTTTGGTGATCTCGTAAGATACATTGGCCCAATGAGATTTAGCCATGTGGTATCCGATTCCCCAATTAGGCAAAAACTGAATCACCTCGAAGAGGTTCTTCTTCTTTCTTCGTTTCGGTTTTGAAGTCTCATTTTTAGGGTTTTGGGCAGTTGCTGAAGAAGAAGTAGAAGTACTAAAGGGTTTTAGCAAATTGCTGAATGATAATCTGAATAAGTTTAGAGTTTCATTTGTAGCTGATACTGCTACTCTCTTTGTGAGGAGACTGCCAACCATTCTTTCCTCTTAGATTTTCTTTCTTCTGCTCTCCCTGTCATTCACTGAAATGGGGTTTTCTCAATTCTTCTTTCTTTTTATTGTTCTTAAACGACAGCGTAGTGTCAAGTTGGTTTTAGTTCTCTCTTTTCTTTTCTTAGATGGCCTCCAACTTATCATGTATTTGTTAATTGACCCATTCAAATTTGTTATAAGAATGAAACGACATCGTACTAACATCGTAATTTTCAAAATTACGATGTTTCATCTTTTTTATCAACCACCTTCCTTGATTTCAACTTCACCTAAATCACTTCGAAAATTACACGTTTTTAAGGAAAATTACAAGAAAACTATTTTTTACTGTTTATTTTCTGTTCACTCACGCTCAAAAACTGTGGATTATCTCTCACGTGAACTGCTTGTCTTTCCTCCCATGAAGATTGGTCGTTCGTTTGGTGGTCGTAGGCTATTACTCTCCTACCCTCCTTTTACCGTCTTTCCTAAATGATTCATCTATTTTTTCCGTCAATTCACACCTTCTCTCTCTCAACTCATTTTTATGCCCTTTCCTTTTTTTAATTTATTTTCGGTTGTGCCATTGGGTGCTTTTCTGACCTTACCTTAATGCCCTTCTTTCATTGGTTTATTAGCTGCCACTGGTGCCTTCTTTTGCAAGTATCATTTGTTTTTTTGTGAGTGTATTTAATGCACCACAATGATGCGCTGCACCTTTTGGTTTAAAAAATATATCATCTCCTTAATTTTTCTCCATTTCCACCAATTTATGCGCATCTCTCAACTATACATATGTATGTATGTATGTATTATGGCTGTTATTCTCCATCCTCCTTAAAAAATCATGAGGCCCATAATTTTCACCTGTTATACATGTGTATTATGGCTGCTATTATATAATTTTCTCCTTCTCTTTTCTCTACTAGCGTCTTTGATATAAAATCTGGAACGTAAATTTCGTTAAGTTGTGTTTTTTCAATGATCACATCAGTGTCTTTTTTGTTTACTAGAGTTAGAATAATTTAATTTTTTTCATAGATGGATGTATCGCATGTCATTGATAATTCAATGTTTTTTTTATATAGATCTATTATACATTATCAATTATTCAACGATAAAAATCAAATTCATAAATAATAAAATCATTTAAACTTCTTAAAATTAACTATTATTTAAAAAAGAGAAATTAATTTTATTTTTATTTTTTAACTAGATGGATCCAATGTACATAATTAATTATCTAACAACAAAAACAAGAATCTTAAATAAAAAATCATCTAAATTATCTTAAAGCTTATTATTATTAAATAATTTTTCAAAGTTAATTTTAATTCTTTAAAAATTGATTTTTATACTAGATATATCCATTACACATCATTAATTATCCAACAATAAAATCATCTAAACTTTCTTAAAGTTAACATTAATGAAAAACTAATTTTAATTCTAAAAAAAAGCTTGTAAAAAATAATAATAAAGGATAAAATTTACCCAAAAACTAATATTTTTTGCTCTAAATTGTCTAAATTGATAGTATGGATCTTAAATTACCATAAGGTCCATAACCCAATAGTTTATGGGTAATTTTTGCTATTAAACCTTCAGATTAAATTCTTTGATGGACAACTAGAAAATTCGTTGATCTTTTAAATACCCTCTAGTTTTTCTTTACTCATTTAGTAAACAAATTAGATTGATTGAATTCTATTTGTTCTTCTAAATTTTATAGATTTTTTTAATAGATAGGTGTAGGAAAGAAAGATAAAAAAGAAATAGAGAGGAAAAAATGTTATTTTGGGTTATTGTTTAGTTAATTAAATACAAATGAATTTGTTGCAGATTTGAATTTTTTTTTTTTTTTATGCGAGGAATTACTCTTTATTGTCTTAAATTATTTCTATTTTTTTTTCTAAATTCTTACTTGCGCAGGCCTATGTTTTTCTAATTTATTTATTTTAAAATTTATTATCATAGATGATTAATCTTTGTTTTTTATTTCTTAAATAATCTAGAGAGAGAAAAATATATATGATATGTTTCTATAATTTAAAACAACCATATATTTTAGATTATATTACTTTTATTATTTAAAACTTATTCCTTCAATTTGTCATTTTTTACATAAATTCTCATCCAATTGATTTTTTATTTACGAAAAATCCTGACTTTTTTTATCTACATATGGATTTTAGAATTAAATTTTAAAACATTGTTATTTTATCTTTTAAAATTTATAAATGATATAATTTTATATATGAATTTTTAGAATTTTTGAATAATAACTTGGCATGTAAGGTTTGCTCGCGAAGACTAGCCATGTATGGAGTAAAACAAAAGAAAGAACAAAAAAAAAAAAAATTCATATGTTTTATTTGCTGCATCTTTACATAATCAAAATTTATAAAAATTAATTTTTTAATAGTTTTTATTTTACTCTATTAACTTTAAATTTAGTGAATATATTACTTACAAGCTAACTACTTGTTTTTAATATTTTTATTTTATGTTGTAAACTCTAAGCCCAATCAATATAGTTATTATACGCGCGCGCGTGTGTGTGTGTGTTATATTGTTGATTTTATTAGAAATTAAATATGCAACAACTCAAAGCATAAACCTTTTTCTATTTATTTATTTTTGGATATTATAGAATCAATTTCTTTTAAATTTAATAATTAAAATTATGTTTTTGTGGAACAAGCCAATTATTTTAATGTATTTTTTTATTCTGATATTATTGATGATTTTATAATTAAATATATCAAAATAAAATGTAAAAAATTTTAAAAACTAATTTTATCATCAACATTAAATAAGTATCAAAACAATTTTCTCATTTATTTATTTTTATACAATTTTTTATGTCAATTGTTACTTTGTTTTAACGACACAATCTTATAAAATAAATATTATGGTTTTTTATTTCATATTAAATTTTTTAAAAAAATTATTATAAGTTTTTAATTAATAATTCATGGATAAAAAAAGAATTAATCATGTTTTTTTTTACAAAAATTATAAAAACACATGAAAAAGAATTAGTTTAATAAAAAATTTTGATTAAAAAATAAAAAAATTGTATGAGTTTTTTTATCTTTTATTTACTATATTTTCACAAACTTTGAATATAACAAATATTGTTAAATTAAAATGATTTTTTAAATTATTTCGTCTAGTCTATGGTGCAGGTAAGAAACTAGTGGAATTTAATTAAAATGGCTATGATAATGACTTTTAGTTTTTGTGACCTTTTAGAATAGATCAAAAACTAGACTGTAATCTGATAGAAAATTAGTTTGAGTATACTCTTAAATGAAAGGTAAAAAAAAGAGCACCTGCGTAGTTGGACGACCACAGAACAGAAGCCACCCGCTTCACCTCAACTTCGTCACATGCTAAAATAAAAGGCATCGGTTTGGACTTCTAAAATAGAACAATAACATTATTTCATTTCAAACCATATTATTGATTAAAAAGGATTAACACCCTCGCAAGTTCTTAAATAATATGTCAATTTTTAATCTGTACTTAAAAAAGAAAACATCTCTACAATATGTTATTATATTTTGAGCTAATTTCTAATCTATTCTTTTAATTAAAATTTTTAGCTATATTGAGTCAAATTAAACATGTGATTTGATAAAATTATTTTTGTTATTTGATACAAGTGATCCATATCTACTAACATAAAGATTAATTTCTGAAAATTGTTCAAAAATTTTGATCAGAAGGATAGAACAAGCTCAAAATATAAATTTGAAAAATAACCATAGAATCGATGGAACCCACTATTTCTTTATCCATTTTTATTTACTACTTATTTTTATTTACTATGTTTTTGTTTGATACCTAGTACCGAGACAGATTGGAGGCTTTTTTTTTTTTTTTTTTTGTAAGGACGAATTGAAAATTTGGTATATTATATAAAGACAAATGAGAGTATTAATCCTTAAAAAAATTCATCAAATGGTTGGATACTTTATATTTGGTTGATGCATTTAGATTGAAAAAAATTATCAAATTGAATGTTTTTTTAGGTATCTTTGATGGTTTTTATACGAAGATGACAAAATCATAACAACAAATAAAAAAACGTTCAAATAAGATTTTTGCAATCCAAAAATATTTTGTAAAAAATCATGATAAAATGACAAGTACCATCACACCATCTCATAATCCTCGATTTCAATTTCAACCAAAGGACTGAAATTTTGTTTTATTCTAGTTTTGTCATGATTTCTACACTTTACTCATATGCCCTGATACTAAATTTGAAATAATCCTAAATTTCTATTCCATACAAACAAATCCTAATCTAATCTATAATTTTTAAGTAGTTCCTAAATTTTTGAAGTTATTAAATTTTGAACAAATTTTATTCTTCTCTATTATATTTGACGGTTAAAATATTAATTGTTGATTAAAATACTTAAAACGATATCATGTTAAACATTTTAAATCTTTCTATAATTAAAATTAATTTAAAAAATATCAATACTATTTAGATTTAAGAAAACTTAGATGATTTTATTGTTTATAGATTTGACTTATGTTGTTTAATAATTAATGATGTGTAATGGATTCATGTAGTAAAAAAAAAAAAATCTAATAGTTTGAGGTCAACACTTTGACCATCAAACACAATAGAAAATAATATAATTTGGTTAAAATTTAATTAATAATATAAATCTTATTTTACCATAATTTGAATAGTTTGAAGATAAATTATGTCATTAAACTTCTAAAGGCAGTTATCGCCAACCCAGTCATTATAATTTTATCATATTTTTTCATTTATTATATGAGTTTATAAAACAAAAATCATATCATGTTTGGGTTGCCATGTTTTAGAACAATATTGAGAAAACTCACAAATATAATTTTTTAGATATTGAATATTACAATTTTTTAATATTATTCATTTTTCCATGTCCTAACATTGGAAGCTCAAACCGTGCTTTTCACTTATATAATTCCTTGAGGTTGATAAAAAAAGATGGTAAAATTTCTTCTCTATTTAAAGACTTGATTGCATAATTAAAAAGACTAGGATCAAAATGCTCTTCTGCGTTTGTATATGGTGAATCTGTAAGACCTGTTTGTGAATCACACTGACACACGTTAAACTACCAAAGGCACACTTAGACTTATCAATTGATTTTTTGCAAAGAGAAAAAAAAATGTTGGTAGCCGCCTTCTTTTTAAGCTGCAAACTAATCTACCTTGTATGTTCCGGTCAATTACGTTGTCCGTTATTTTAAATGTCAAAATGATTTTTTTTTGTTGATATTTTGTTATTAAATAAAAAATATTATTAACTACTTAATTTTGAACTTTTTTTATAAATTATATAAAAAAATATTTTATTAATATTTTAACCTTTTAATTTTGAATTTTTTTAAAACTTTTTTTTATAAAACATGATAAACATTTTATAATTTTTTTTATAATTCATAAAATTAGGAGAGTCAACCCTTAATCATGCTCATTTTAATTTATAAAACGTTGTTTTTGTTAAAGCTTGAAATTATGTTTTTTTACAATATCATTTTATAGAAAAAAATTCAAAATTAGAGGGCTAAAAATATTTTTTATATAATTTATAAAATTTTAAAAAGTTTAAGATTAGGAGGGTCAACCCTTGATCATGCTCATTTTAATTTATAAAATATTTTTTTACGGCTTGAAATAGTGTATTGTTAATTATATTTTTTTGCAATAACATTTATCAAAAAGTTCAAAATTAAAGGGTTAAAAATATAAATAAAATATTTTTATATAATTTATAACATATTAATAAAACATTTGTTTTAAAAAAGTTCAAGATTAGGAGGGTCAACCCTTGATTAAGCTAATTTTAATTTATAACATATTTTTTTTAAGGTTTGAAATTGTGTATTGTTAATTATATTTTTTTACAATAACATTTTTAAAAAAGTTCAAACTTAGAGGGTTAGAATTATTTATAAAATGTTTTTTATATAATTTATAAAATGCTTATAATATTTTATAATAACAATTTTGTTTTAAAAAATTCAAGATTAGTGAGGTAAAAAATATTTTTAATATATTTTTTTATTTTAAAAAACATAATTAATATTAAAATATCAAAATGATGTCGTTTTATTAACCATTAACTCAAACTCAACAAAAATTATATAATTTAGATTGTGTTTATCCAATATATAATATTTTAGAATTTATATTATGAATTCGAAATTTACAAATCATAATATAATGAGGGCGAAATTTGCCATGAAACCCACATCTACTTGCCTCCATGCCCCGTACACACATATCTAGCCTTGCCATGTGGTTATTTGGAGAGAAAAACAAGTGGTAGCCTTCTTTTGAATCTCCCTAGACGTTCTAGTAGGCATAATTCTCCATAGAATTTGCAAGGTGTCAATTGAAAAAGACAAGTTTTTTGCATTTGCCGAAAGATTGACACACTGATGAATTTTTGGATCTCCCTTAAAAGTTCTAGTGGGTAATCTCCATAGAATTTGCAAGGTGTCAACTGAAAAAGACAACTAAGCTTTTGCATTTGCCGAAATAGACACTGCTGAATTATTTATCTAGCAGAGCAAACAGAATTATATGACTACAATGAAATAATTTGTGAAAGCAGGCATCTGCCTCTTCATGATTTGAACGAAGAAGGATAATAGATTACCAAAAGTTTAGTACCCAATTTCACAACAAAATTAAAGAGTCACAGCAGAAGCTGCAAATTCATTAATAGCCTACAAAAGAGAAACCAGCAACTGGAAGTTGAGGTTTCAAAGAAAATCTACTGATAATCGTCCTGATAATCTCCTTCTTCCTCGTCCTCATATTCCCCTTCCTCATCAGCTGTTGCATCTTGGTATTGCTGATACTCTGAAACCAGATCATTCATGTTACTCTCAGCCTCAGTGAACTCCATCTCATCCATTCCTTCCCCTGTATACCAATGCAAGAAAGCCTTCCTCCTAAACATGGCAGTAAATTGCTCACTAACTCTCCTAAACATCTCTTGTATCGATGTCGAATTGCCAATAAATGTGGATGCCATGCTAAGACCAGTGGGTGGGATATCACACACAGTTGACTTCACATTGTTTGGAATCCACTCAACAAAGTAGGAAGAGTTCTTGTTCTGCACATGCAACATTTGCTCATCTACTTCCTTGGTACTCATCTTACCACGGAACATGGCTGATGCTGTTAGATAGCGACCATGTCGCGGGTCAGCTGCACACATCATGTTCTTTGCATCCCACATTTGTTGAGTGAGTTCAGGAACTGTCAAAGCTCTGTACTGCTGTGAGCCACGGGAAGTGAGTGGTGCAAAACCCACCATGAAAAAGTGAAGACGAGGGAACGGTATCAAGTTCACTGCAAGTTTTCTCAGGTCAGAGTTTAACTGACCAGGGAACCTCAAGCAGCATGTAACCCCAGACATAGTTGCAGATATCAGATGATTCAAGTCACCAACTGTCACAACAATGGAAAAACAGGCTCAGTAATGAAGTAAAATAAAATGAAAAGCAACTTGTCGAAGACATTTTGAACCAAACAAAATTTGCTAACCATCGGTGATGGACAATTCGTGAACGCTTGGCATTACGAACACAACATTTAGTAATTCATTCAATTAACAGACTAAAAAAATGCTTAATTATTCCAATCCACAAAGCCATAGTATCCTATAAAACAAATAAACAAAATCTAAGAGATAACTGAAGGCGTAAAATGTGAACTTACAGCTAGGAGTGGTGAGTTTGAGAGTCCTGAAACAGATATCGTACAAGGCCTCGTTATCAAGAACCATACACTCATCAGCATTCTCAACAAGTTGATGAACAGACAAGGTAGCATTGTAAGGCTCCACAACTGTATCAGACACCTTTGGAGAAGGAAACACAGAGAACGTCAACATCATTCTATCTGGGTACTCTTCTCTAATCTTTGAGATCAAAAGCGTTCCCATTCCGGACCCAGTTCCACCTCCAAGTGAATGACACACTTGAAACCCTACATAAAAAATAAAATAAAACCAATTAAAGCCCATAAACAAAATAATATCATTTTATTTTTCTTTTCTTAATTTGTTGAAAATAGATTATAGAACCTTGCAAGCAGTCACAGTTCTCGGCTTCTTTTCGAACAACATCGAGGACCGAATCGATGAGTTCAGCGCCTTCAGTGTAATGGCCTTTAGCCCAGTTGTTTCCAGCACCAGATTGGCCGAAAACGAAGTTGTCAGGTCTGAAGATCTGACCATAAGCGCCAGATCTGACGCTGTCCATAGTACCAGGCTCCAAATCCATGAGGACAGCACGAGGGACAAATCGACCGCAACTAGCTTCATTGTAATAGACATTGATTCTTTCAAGTTGGAGAGGGAGTCGCCATGGTAACGGCCGGTGGAGTCTATGCCGTGTTCTGCACAGACAACTTCCCAAAACTTAGCTCCTATTTGGTTGCCGCATTGCCCACCTTGAATGTGAAGGATCTCACGCATTTTTTGCTTTTGGTTTTTCAAGAAAATGAAAATGGGCAGGCTATTAAGAAGAGAGGATTTTGAATTCAGAGAGAGAAGATGAGAGAAACGGCCGAATGGAAGGTTTTATAGAGGAAAGGGAAAGCGAAAGGGAATAGGGTTTTTCTTCCTTTGAAATATTTTATTTAGAAATGACAAGTTGGGCTGCTATTTCAAGGTCTCTCTTTAACGGATAGGAATGTAGCGGTTAAAAGGTAAGTTGCAAAATTTTTTGAAATTCAAAATTTCAAATTTGTGGGTTACAGCTGTACATAAACGACACATCTGATTGATCGTAAAAGAACACAGCCAACCATGCTTCTTACAGGGTCAAAGAACAAGAGTTAATTATTATCTTGATCCCTGTAGTTTATTGAAACTAATTAAATAGTCATTATAGTGTCAAAATATAATTAAATAATTACTGGACCACCATTGATCATCCTAATTTAATTAACCCTTTTTTATTTTATTTTTCAAAAATACCTCCATACATTTTTAGAAAAACAAAAATAAAAATCGGAAAAAAAAAACATGAAACTGATATTCATTAGAAAAAATTTAAATTATAAACGGATTGGAAACATAAAAATATGACTCTAAACGATCTCAATGGAGTTGAGCATCATGATGATCAAGATTGGCTCATAAAAATCAAATTTAGTTTGAGCCAAACCGCAGTATCACATCGAGTTTCAAAATAGTGTTCAAACTTGATTTTTTTTTTTTTTTATCGAATCTCAACCTGTGCATGAACAAAATAAAATCAAATAAATATGAATAATAATGCAATTATTAAAAACAATAATTTTCTACCTCAATACTGTATATTAATTTTAATTTGAATGTTAGAATCATTTAGTACTTACGGATTTTATAGTTAATTTTCATTTATTATATAATAAAGTACTATATTTTTATTGATTTTTTTAAAAAAATATGATAATTTAAAATATTTTCTTGTCTCAAATAAATTTTTCTTTTTTTTTTAATTTATATATGTCTCAAAATACTTGTCTGGTCAAAACTTTAGATAATGTATTTTTTTTTAATATCTTTAATTGAAAAAAAAAATCAATTCTTTCTTCAAATTCCTCTTCTATTTATACTTTCTCCTTACACATACCTTTAACATAAATTTTTTTTTAATTTTTTTTATTACATGAAAATAATTCGTTTTTGCAAAGACTTAACTACATGCCAGAATTTTAGGATTAAAATATATTCCATTAATATGTTAATTTTTCATAATTGTTTTAAATTTGATTGTTAACTAACTTAATAAAATTTTTTTGATTTATCACCTTAATTTTTAATAGATTTTATTCTCAAATTAATATTGGTTCTATGTAATGGAAGAATAAATTTGATAGCTAACGATTTTAACAAAAAAGCAGATATTTTAAAAAAAATACGAACAAAAAATACTAATATAATATAGTAATTAATAACTTTTTAAAACTGTATAAAAAGTTAAATAAAATATTCTTTAGTGTAGAGGGAATAACATTTTACGTTCACAAACATTTCGAGTCTGAATAGTAAAATTGTTCAAGTTTGTTCATGAAAAATGATCAAGTTCTAAAATTATAATCAAATTTGGTTTGTTTAACTAACAATTGAGTCCTCAAATCGAGTTCGAATAGTTTGATTTGTTTTGCAGCCTTACATAGAGATTAAACATATAGTTTAAAAAGTAAAAGGATTAATTAATTTTGTTAAGCTACATGGACCGAGTGAAAATTAACTCTTAATTTTCTTGTTTAACAGAATCTCCGATTTTCATTTCCTAATGAGAATGAACATATTCTCCAATTATGTTATAAAAAGAATCCTTCTATCCCATTTTTGCAGAAAACTCTTTTATCTAACGATTGTATAAATAACCCTATATTTCAACCCTACGTTTAACTTACGGGCTTCCTTTCATTATGCAGATAATTATGTCTGAGAGACAGGATCATTTTACCCGTTCCGTTTTTCTTCCCATCAGCAATTGAGTGTTTGATCAGCCACAACATAAGGTAAATCTTTTTAGCAATTGTGAAAAATAAAAGAAAGAAAAGCAAGAAGGAAAGAAATTGCTTTAGTACAAAATAATAATAATAACTACTTTTTCATTTACTCACCAAATTTTATAGCAACATAAGGTAAATCTTTTTAGCAAAAAGTAAATCTTTCAGAAAGTATACTTTAAGAACCAAAAAAAAAAAAAAACACTAAATGGAACCATGATGATTACAACTATCCAAACAAAAGAAAAGTAAAACCTTAAGCAAAAAAGAACAAAAATTAATTAATTCAAAGTTTCCACATAATTTCGCATGTTTATGGTTCACTGTGCATATAAAGCAACTGAAAATTAAGAAAATCTTCCATAGAAAGGCGTATGCATTTTTATAAGATCACAGCAAGCATACGAGGATAATAAAGGCTTCTTTTTTTCCGAGAAGAGGCCGTCCCCTGTTCCTTGAATAGACAAGCACACTTGATGCATGGTTAGCTCTAAAAATCAAAATCAAAATTCCACAATAGAATATTGACAAATTATGAGAAATGACCCAATAAATATATATATATATATATAAAAGAAACATAGCAAGAAATAAACGATAACCCCAAGCCCAACTAACGATGCATATTTCTAGCCCTCACCTTCCTTAAAAGGGCACGACCTTGGACAATCAATTTTTTTTTCCCCCTTCAAGTGTTGCACCTTAGACAAGTCAAGCGCTGGGTTCGGACTTGATATGTCAGAATTATCAATTTCGACAACACTTATGATTTTAAGTTTAAAAGAAAATGCCATCGCCTAACATGTGACTTTACGGAGTGCATCCAGCAGTACAAAGACCCAATGACACACAACATAAATATTAGTTATATTAAGGTAACAATAACGGCCTAAATGCTATATTTTGTTCCATCCGGTGTTCAGAAAATCACGAATATAACCTTTTCTTATCCCAGTAAATTCATAAGAAACGTTTCATTATCCCAAGCCTACAGGCATCCTCATATTGTCCAACTTTCGCCAATTGCCTACTTAAGCAGAAATTGAACAGCTTAAAGCGCCAGAAGAAAGTGGATGTTTCTCTCAACATTTTCCAACATTGTTCGCTACCCTAAAGTGTGCTTCAAGGCCATGTTGTGGAGAAAGGGAGCATAATTATAATTTTTGCATCAAAACATTTGAAAAAATTTAAATTGATTTTGCTTTGTAGAAAGAGACTCACGCTATTCATTATTCTAAGTTTTGACTGGAGCTTCTTAGGAGGGATGTCTAAAAGTATTGTTATTCACTAATTTTTTTTCCCTTCAATCTCAAGCTCAAGTAATGGAAACCCATTGAAGTCACTACTGATGAATAAAGCGTAGATCATTGCCAAAATTGAAATAGAGAATTTGCACTAGCAAAAATAAGAAACAAGAGGAAAATGCCAATACTCTTCACACGTCAATTGACAAGATGGACGAAAAAGGAAACAGCTTTCAACTTGTTAAGAAATCCCAGCCCTATATTAAACGTGTGAATCTTGGAATCATTGTTTAATGAGTTCATAACGGTAGTTTGTCAGACATAAGCAGAAGATATGCCAAATAACATCATTAACATCTTATATCTCAATTGAGATGACAAAGGTTTGTGACTAGACAACACAACCATTGACTCATGATAAACAAATTTCCAGGTATATTTTTTTGGTCATCCTGAAAGAGTCAAGAAACCACAGCGCCACACAAAAGCAATTACATAGGATGTATTGATCAAATTAATATCCATTAGAAGAGTGGCAGAGATAAATCAAAACATATTAATTGCTAAAGGATACAGCATAGCATTCGTTGATACTTCTTATTAAAAGATCGACAGAACGTTACTATGAAAAAAACAGTAATACCCAAGACAACAGAGTAATTTATTAATATGCCAACAAAGCAAAGTTCTTAGCATCCAATAGCTTGAACAGTCTCACAATTAATCTGCATGTTAAGGCAACAATCGTCTATTTTCTGCATCACGTTACTGTTAAGTGGTAGGAAGAGGATTATATTTGGACTGTAAAAATGAAAAGTTCCATATCTCACATTTTCAGCCTCTAGTATTTTCTTTTTCTCATGTTGCTCCTACATTGGTATTTTTCATGTCTAGCAGCAGGTTCATTTTAATTAAACGTATTTTCTTAGTACCATTCATCAACCTGTTTTTTGGCTGTGACACCAGGGATTGCATCCTCGCATGTGCATTATTTTCCTCCATCATTGAACCATGCTTAATCTAAGACCACATGTCTGACACCAACTGCTGGTTACATTTATGCTATAGTACTAAGCACAATAACTTATCAATGATCACCAATTCTCATACACCAAGTCACCAGCACAACGTGTATCTTTTACCTTCATGGTATTTTGCTTTATCAAGAACCATTTCTGCTAAACTTTTTCTAATTCAATTGGCAAGATTCCAACCCACAGTTGTTTATACTGGGGGGTAAAGAATTGTCCTAGTAGCATTCACACCTGTTCTCTATGGTATAAAATGGGGAGAGGGAAAAAGTAATGGGGGGATGCATTTCACCCCAAAACTGGGTGAAATATTTACCTACAATTATATAAGGTTGCCCCTCAAGATTCAAATCTTGTTCGTTCTTAAACAGTCCATCGAAACACCATTAAAATTTACCCTTGAAAATTTACCATCTAAAATTTCATCTTCATTTTTCAACTTCACACCGAAGGGTTAGTTAATAGAAAATTTGACAACGATTTAGATAACAGCAGCTAGTATCTGTCCAGCATAGCCATTCAATATGATGTGGTCCATTGATGTGTCCTACTAATTTGAAGAATTAAAACACTCTTAAACCCATAAAAAAAGTCCACAAATCAATCAATACCTAAGCATCGGGAAGAAAGATTGACAGTACAACCCCGATGTTACAAATGAAGAAAAGTGACCATACAGAAGTCATTATTTGAGTGGAAAATTCTCAGAATCTTCAAAAATAAAACTACAAACCTGGTAAAAAAGATGAAGAAGCAGGTTTGAAGTCCAGAGGATGCCTCCTAGCAAAAAGGCCGCAGCATTGCTTTGAGCAAAGCACCAATTTTTGTTACAAGAGAAGGTAAGAGAAGTTCACAAAGCATAAGAGGTCCATAAAAGAATCACAATTGCATAAATCAACCAAAATCGATATCAACTGAATTTTACAATAACTTAGTAGGGTTTTGAATCCGTAAATCCACACAGTGATCTCAAATATTAAGTAAGTTTAGATGGTTTACATGAAATCAGCATTCTTCAATTACTTTGTGATGTTGGCAACATTTTAACTGGTAGCTAACAATAGGAAAAATCACAGAAGCCAAGTTATGACCACTTAATTATCAATCAAGAGGATGAATCAGAAGCAATCATCCAGGATTTTTGTTGATAATATATGATTTGGGTCTAAATTGTTTCTGTATCTCACTTTCTGTTAGCAATTAAGACCACAATTTATGAATGTGTTCAGCCATTAATGTAAGTGACTTTCTGTGGCCAATTATGAATGACAACCAAAATTTATTTCAACCTAATTAGCTTGACCAAGCAGGAGTCAGGTCGATTTTAGTTTGACGAGCTCATCTTAAAGCAGCTTAAATTAGAGAATGTGACTTTCTAAGTGACACCCATATTTTGAAGGGGGAGCTTTGCAGAGTTCCTTGTTTGCTTTTTCTTTTTCCCAGAAATTATATACCAGTGAAAAACCTTGCTTGTGTGTTCCAAGCATCAATTTGAACATACTGAAGCTGGTGTGTTCCACAGCATCAATTTGAACATGCTGATGATGTACCAATAGACTATCAAGCAGTTGGACTAAAGCTAATAGTTTCTTCCGAGCACATAATCTAAGCCTATAACCAAGTTGTATTTTATGCTTCGCAATTGAATGCTCAACCTAGAGAAACAAGTTTGGTTTATGATCCTTTACGAAGGCTTTACAAAGTGTAATTAACCAGCATACTTAGCTTAACAAGACATGCCTTATCATACTGCAAATGCAGAAAAGATCAGCTTCTCTTCTAAACGTATACTATAGAATACTGAATATAGTCCAGCCAGTCTCACCAAAAATACACGAAGCCAAAGGAATAGTAAACCCTCTTCCCCAGATAGCAGATGAAAATAATCTTATCATGTCCAACCCAGGAAAACAGCATGTGTTTCTTTTTATTTCTTTGCTTTTTTCTTCTTTTGTACAAATTACAATGCAGTCAACTTTACAAGCTAGGTTTAGGCATTGCATAATGCCCATCCTCTCTATCCTAGAACATACTAATCTAGTGCTAAAAACATCATAATTGTAGCAGCCTGACTGCATTTTACGACACAAATCCTATTTGAAATATCCATTTACATTTGATTTTCATTTTTATTTTTCTTCTAACCCACAGTTATTTTGTATTACCACTTTCCAAGTCAATGGGTATGTTAAGATCGATCATGTTTCATGATTTCCTTTAACTAGTGCCCTCATATGTCCATCAAATTATCAAAGTTCTCAAGTCCAACATATTACGTTTTAAAAAATACATAACAATGGAAAGGTACTATACAACAGATTCATCACCCCCACTTCCCAGGTAAGGAATGCCGAAGATGCTTGGAGGATAATAGGGAAATCATCTGACCAAGATAAAAGCTTTTCTAGAAGCCTCTTAGTTTTGAAAAATTAGCTCAGCCAATTTATACTTTGTGGACAAATTTTCTAAGCCTCTTAGTTTACTAATATCAGGATGAATATCCTGGTCATGTTCGATAATCAAATGCTTGATCATTAAAAGGGTGAAAAATCTACACAAAAATTTCTAATTCGGTGATAAAGAAAATTCAAATCATCAATACTAAACAAAAGTTCGCAACTTACATATGTTTGTTGAACACAATCTCACCACATCTAAAAAAGACGACTGAGTAAACCTTTCTGCTGAACTTTCAGTCTTTTTGTTGTATGCTTCGCCCAAAAAGACAGGTCGAATTGAAAATATCTATTATAAAAACAAATTTCACCAGAAAATAAAAATCAACACTATCAGAGTCAATGAATTGTGGCAGCATTATGCAATGCCTCATGCTACCAAAATAATCAGCATTACTATAATTTCAGCAATGAAGCTACTGGAAAGCAGCATTTTCAATCAATAAAACATAAAATCTGTTAAGAAATTTATTGGAGTCACTAGCTAGAAGAAATGGAATCTCTGATAGCATGGTTGATGGGATATATTATCCTTCATTGAAGGCACCAACAGTCAGATATTCAAGATGTAGTTGAAACTGCCCAAGAAATGGAGACAAAGACAGCACTTAGTACCCAGTCTTCACATAAGAACATGGAGGTTAAACTCACTACCTTCTAAGCAAGAAACCATCACACCATTCAAGTATAAAACAGATGAAATTATCTCCACACAGCACACCTATCGTTTCCTTTAATAGCAAATTCATGTCTCACAGTTTAGACTATCAGTATACTTCATAAATCAACCAGCCTCTTCTTAATTATCTACTCTCCCCTCAAAATTTGCTTCCAAGATGTCAGTGCGCATAGCTTCTCAGATAACACAAACTATCCAACAAAACTTGGTTCTGGACTTGTCTAAGAACCTCAGAACACTGAGTCAAATTCCTAAATTTGCTAAGAATTTCAAAATCACATCAATCCCCTTGAATCTTTAAGAGTTTTATTCAAGCAGAACATAATTGCATCTCAGAAAATTTTGCTGCAATTGGTAGCAAAAATTGGCAATGAATTACTATTCTTCTTAATGCGTAATTTCCAAGCTTTATTCTTTGAACACTAAGAATCAAGTGGAAAGATTTGCACCAGTCCAACATGAAGTAAAATGTAAAAAATAATAATGCAGGGCCACCATAAAGATTGATCAACCACATCAATCATAAATTAAATGGCACAAGCAAATTATCAAGTATTGTCATGTAGTTCCAATTGAATAAGAAACAATCACCTTCGCGAAGAACCTAAAGAAGTTCCACGTTCACCCATATAGACATTTAAAGATCGAATAAATAAATTGGAGAAGGAAAAAGGTTAAATCAGCTGGTTGGCCAAGAAAGAATGAGGACAATTAGGGATGTCTTCAGCACATAACATGACATAAATGAACATAAAGAGAAAAGGGCTAGAATTTGACTAATTACAACCATCCACAATTATCTCAAAAGTTGACAAGAAACTATTGCAATCATAAAGAAGTCATGAAGTGCTAAATTGAAACTTCATTAGATATAAGCAACAAAAACTTTCTTAAACCTTATAATTTCAGTACTAAAAGATTCGTTTATTCCAAATAAGAGATGTCACATGTCTAACTAGAGCCATTAACAAAAGAAATTTGAGCCTACTGTAATGTTACTGCCATCTTTAGAGAAGTTCAGAAGAGTGGCAATTCCCTATCAAAAGAGTTGAGGCTATAGAATTTGAGTTTGATCTAATTGCACATGCCATCAAAAACCAACTAAAACCCAGAACTTTAGACTAGGAAGAAAACCCCATCTCCAGACAAGGAGATGGCAACAGTGCCACTGTCGTTCCTCAAAAGAAGTTGGGTTCTACAAGCAATTAATTGCAGGTTTGATTCCAAAAGCACAAGTTGGACACAATACATGTTTCAGTACCCCAAACCCAGCTAAGGAACCAATTCAGTTGAACTTGAGACTTAGTAGGGTAGAGCTATGGACTGAGCAAAAGCATCAAAATTTACTAGATATACTGGGATCATATTGATTAGAGGTCCAATTCAAAAATCCTAAGAAAATGTCATCTCAAACACCTAAAGGAAGCAACACATGCACAATGAACCAATAAGACCAAACAGAATTTTATCTGGAAAAAAAAAAAAAATTAAACTAGACAACGAATGTTAACATAAAACTAGCCCAGTTCTAAAATAAAGATTTCAATATCAAAAACTAACAAACTTAACTGCCACTGAACTTCAGGTCTGAAAACTCATCTTTAATAAGGCAGCAACCTGAAATGACAAGACTGGCATAAACCATCGGGAAATGCAGAAAATGGGCAATGGAAGGTTGAATCATCAATGTCGCCAAGTTCAAAATACCAAAGGAACAAATTCAACTGCAACAAGTTCAATGCGATTCAATTGCCAGGCACCATCATGACTTAATGGTTAACGTCCCTCGAAACTGGCATTCCTTGACTTGCTTGTATCTTCAAGTGAGGAATGATCACTGGAAGTTCTACAAAATAAAGCAGAAAAAAAAAGGAGTAACAGAAGTTTCTGACAAATAAAATCTGAGAAAACATATTGGTGGAACTAACTTACGATTTGTGCTTCTTTGCATTCTGCTTGATGGTTACAACCATATCCATAGCCATCTTTTGGTGCTCCCTCGTTTGTGAATGCAAGTCCAGGCCTTCAACTGTTTTGCAGTCAACTTTACAAATACGACACCAACCCATGCTCGGTTTCCTCTTTCTAGAATTATCAAAAGACTGCAAATCGCCCTAAGAATGACAAAGCAAACAAACAAATAAATATAAATATTGAATGTAAAATGCAAGCTAACAAGTAGAACTTTATGAAGCGAATTCAATTAGGACATGCATGCTCTTACCATGCCTATCCGAATCTAAAGGTTGGAATTATTCTTTCAAAGAGATCCTTAAAAAACAAATTAACAATTTAATATTTTAACAATATAAAATTAGAAAATTAATACTCACTGCATAGCTTCCACCAAAGCTGCTTCTAAATCCAGGCTCTCCAAGTCGATGGTGATAGAAGTTCCCTGGCCCAGCCAATTCTCCCATCTGTGCATGACCAGGGAAAGCACCAAAGCTACCTGCTTCTCCCAACCGCGAATGACTAGGCAGGTTATGACCCAAATGTTCACCCCTACGCATATGGGTGGGTCGACCATCATGACCCATCAAATCACCACTGAAATGCTCACCCATGTGCAAATTACCAGGACCCTCAAGCTCACCCCCACGCAAATGGCTAGGAAAAACTGGAAACCTACTATCACGAAGAGAACTAGAAACTGGATCACCAAATCGGTGTGGACCTCTGCCATCAATATCATCTAGGCCTGGAAGGGCACCAAATCTCCTCGTCGGCATGCCAGGGTAATCCCTACCTGGACTTCTTGGGGCCAAATTATCCACAGGACGGTGATCATATCCGGGAATAGGGGGGCCAAGAAAACCAGGACGAGTTCGAGCAAAATCTGATCGGCCTGCTAGACTGTCATGAAAACTTAATGATCCTTCTCCATCACTGGGATGCAGTGCTCTATCATGATGATAGGGAGGAAAGAATCTTGAAGGAGGAGCAGAACCGCCCAGTGGTTCCATGTTCAACCCCGAATCATAATTCAAACCATGGGATCCCTTGTCAAGAGGTTTTGGTGCTCCATCTGCACCAAAACCATGAGGACCCCTATCAAGAGGCCTAGATGAGGGAAAGTGAGCACCAAATTTTGGAACAGGCTCGGTGTCCAAATGAGGGGGTCTAGGGAAATGCTTCAGATCTTCTTCAAACTCTCCTTGATGAACAATGCGACGTGCTGGATCATGTGGAAAGGGATTCAAATGCTCATCTGGGAAAGACCTAAACCTATCTGAATTGGGGACTTGGGCCCCATTCATTCCCACCGCATTTGATAATATGAGTGGTCTACTGTCTGGATAGTTGGGCTTCTGATTTGCAAACATGGTGGCTTCATTGACATATGAAGGTGTTTGCTCACCTTGAGATGGGGGTGCATGAGGATAAGGTCCTTGAGGAGGACCATAATGACTTGGTACATGTCCAGGACCCAAACGCCCATGCTGAGTTGGAGGATGCCCAGGCAAATGCATGTGATGTGGAGGTCCAAGAGGAGAAGCTTGTACCGATGAAGGTCCAACTGGCCTTTGTTGAAGAGCAGAAGGCCCGTGATGAATTGGAAGAGGCTGCAGCTTTCCCTGGTCAACAACTGAAACTGATTGAGATTGCAGGTGACCATTTGGAGGAAAGCCTCCAAAACCTTGAGAAGTCAGAGTTTTGTCCTTCTGGGATTTCATACTTTGTTCTTCAAGGTGAGATGAGGCAGTTTCCAGCAAAGGTCCATCCTTACCCTCCTTGTGTTCTGACACAGAGAGCTCCACCTTTTTGTGGTCAGCATTGGAAACATCTTTCTTCTCATCAGTACCATCTCTACGCTCTTCTTTCACCTGCTTAATTGAAGAGACTCCATTTACAATTGCAAGTGATTCTGGAATATCCTTAGCTTCACTTGTGGGTTTATTCTCTTCATCCACCGGCTTCAAGTTGCTTTCAGATTTTATGGTTTTTATCTCACTTGCATCAGCTACAAGACCAGCATCCAAATCATTTAATTCCTTTTTAATAGTTTTTTGAGCAGACGATTCACCTTCTGCAACTTTCTCAATATCACCTTGCCTTTTAGAAATTGGTCTTGAAGTAACTCCTGACTGTTGCTCAGAAGACAATTCAATATGGTTATGTGTCTTTAAAATATTTCCAGATTGCAGGTTTGCACCAATCTGAATTGGCCTAACCTGCATGCCAGCAGTAGATTGTGGATATGACTGTGCTGGTACTCCATGAGATGGCACTCCAGGCCCTACTGCAAGACTTTGAGCTTGATGAGGATGTGCACCATGCGGTAACAAAACATTTTGTTGTGGATGTGGATAGGCATGAGAAGGTTGCTGGAATGACTGGAGTGGTCCTTGGGGGCGTAACTGAGTCTGTGGATGCAGCTGCTGCTGCACATAAGGACTTTGCAAATGTACTTGATTGTGACCTTCACCCCATGGTTGCCCAGAAAAAGGCTGCTGGTGCTGTGCATATTGCTGATGCATTGGTTGCGGAAATGGCTGCATACCTGGGCGTTGTTGAACAGGAAGTCCAGGTTGATGTGCATAAGAATGAACTGGCTGCTGTTGTGCAGGAGAAATGTTTGGGACTTGACCTGGTGAAGGCAGCAAACCTGGTTTTTGCAGGTTTTGAACTGCAGCGTTAGATTGTGGTGGAGGTAATAAAGGTGGCTGTTGAGGGAACTGACTGTGCATTTGAACAGGCTGTTGTGACTGAGGTTGAGGTCCACCTTGAGGATGCTGTGGGTCTCCCAACTGCATTTGTTGGTGAATCTGGGGCTGTGGATAAGAGTGATGGCCTGTCACAGCATAGACTGAAGAATGCTGAGGCTGAGTCTGGAGATTGGGATTTACAGGCTGATTGGGCTGAGAAGCAAGGGATTGCAGAAGGGGCTGCGTTGTTTGTGGCTGAGTTTGTACATGAGGTTGAGGAACAGGATGCTTTTGGGGGTGAAGCTGAGAGTTAGCCTGTGCTTGAATTTGGGGCTGTGGATGCTGCATCTGTGAGGGAGGCTGCTGATATTGAGGCACATGTTGTGGAAGAGACTGAACAGGGTGGGATTGTGGATTGGAATGAGCCTGAGGAGGTGGATAGCCATGTGCTGGTGGGTGTGTCTGCAGTGGGGTCAGAGATTGTTGCTGAACTGTAAGGTGAGTTTGTTGCTGTGGATTCACTTGTGCCTGGTTCTGAGGTTGAGCAGTAATGGGTGCCTGAGGTTGAGGTTGGGGCTGCAGCTGGGGTTGGAGGGCCTGAGCATGCGTGCTCACCTGTGGTTGCTGGTATTGTGAAACTGCTTGCTGTTGATATGGGTAGTATTGCTGATAATGTTGTTGGTATGGGTCATATCCGGGATACTGCTGGTAATACTGTTGATACTGCTGTTGCTGTTGATACCATTGTTCAGCAGTAGGCGCAGCAGCCTGTACTGCAGTCTGGGCCTGGGTAGTTGTGTTGATTTGCTGGGTAGTATCTTTTCCAGGAGTCGAGGTCATAGAGTTTTGAGCCTGTGGAGTAACTGCTCCAGTTTGAATGGCAACCTGAGTCTGATCACCACTCGTTGATGCACCTGTGCTTGCTGCATCCTGAGCACCCTCGGCAGGTTGTGCTTGAGGCTGCACACCCTGTCATTGTACAATAAGAGTATAAACCAATCTAACAAAAGTACAAAGCAACTCCACAATTAAATCCTAAATAAAAAATTTCTTGGACTAACCGGACAATTTTGAGCATGTTCCTGCACTTGACTATGCACAATTTGAATTCCACACCTGTTGCAAACTACAGGAGAATTACCAAAGGCACATCCTGAACAATGAGATTTGCAATCGGTCAAAGGACCCTGCCAGGAGCACCCACTCCTATGATATAAACAGTGGACGGTTATTTTGCCAATGGTTTCAGCAAGTGCTCTGTTCGATTCAATAAGTGGCTGCAATAAGCAATAAAAAACAAGTTCATCAGACGTAGATAACAGCACCGCCCCCTCAATTACATTCAATACCATGATACGCAAGGAAAAACCTTGGAATCTGCTTCTGTCACCAGGTAGCCATCATAGGGGCAGGCTCGAGTAGTGCTGATGACATATGTCAAACACGGTTTGCAGTACAAGTGAGTGCATTGTGACTGTAACGCTTCATTTGGGTACACAAGAAGGCGACAAACCGGACAAAAATACTCCCCAGCAAGAGATTGAATGTTGGGTATACACTCATTATCAAATCCCATTGTAAAGTATCGATCTTTGCTTCAACTCCCAACCAACATCAATCTATCCAACCTAACAATACATGCAATGCAATTTCTCATATCAAACAACATTTTTTCAAAAAATTATTTTAGCCTACACAATAAAATCGGCTTCCCAGTGGCGTAAGAACTCACGTACCTGAATCTCGTAGATTAGATAACCCTACAAAAAAGTAAAGCTACAGATTATTTAATTGAGAAATCAGAAATGGAAAGCATTAGGGTTTTAATTGAAGAATCCATAAAAGTGTGTAAATTTAACGCGAGTATACAAGGCATTGGTAAGCTAAAAAAGAGAGAGCATAGATTCTTGAGAAAGATTGTTCAAGAAGGAGAAGAACCTTACTGATTGATTGACGTGTGAAGCCTTCTAAACAACAAACAAGACACGAGGGGCGCTGTGCTTCTTCTGATTATACATGTATGAGCCAGTGAAAAGGAAAATAGAAAGAAAATGAGAGACCGACTGACTTTAAGCCTTTAAGTGTGTCGTGCGTAATGCGTTTATGTTTCTTTTGCTGGGCTACACGACGTCGTTACGTGGTTTAACTAATAATGTTTTCCTGATTTTCACCCCTTTTTTTTTAAGTGAAAAACCATAAATTTAGAGTCAATATCTTTAATTTTTTATGTGACTTTTCCAATTATAATCTCAAAAAAAATAAAAAATTGATTTAGTTGATTTTTTGTTTCTTTGTGGCAACGAAACAAAGAAATCTTCTAATGAATTACTAATAACTCTTTTTGCCACCTTTTTCTATACTTTCACTCTTTTTCATCACATATTACATGTCTTTTCTTAAAACCATGATATTTTTAAAAAATTACAGATAAAGTTAGTTTTAGGTAACAAAAGACCCATATAATCTATCAAAATTTCATTGGTCAATGTATTCATATCGTGAATTCTTTTTTCCTAAAAGTTTCTTTGTACTTGTTGAAATACTCGATTAACATGGAAATTATCTATTTATCATTAATTATTTTGTTTTTTTTAAGGAATTTACTGCTATAAACCTTCATTTTTCCTTTTTTTTTAAATAGATTCTTTAATTCTTATAGTATAATTTTGTAGATCATCGATCTTATATTTTTTTATTGAAAAATAACAATTACTTTAAAATTAAATAAAGTATAAGCATATCATTATTTTAACATTATAACAAAATAAATTATAACTCGGACGTTTGAAAAAGTATTAGAACATCGGTAGTGTAAGATAATCTTTCAAGTAATTGCTGATTATTTCGGTAGAATTAATCACATGATTTGGCTCTTTATTTTTTAGATTTTTTTTAATGTAATTAATCCACTCTTTTTTTAATTTATTGGATCCTTCGCTCTCTAATTTTTTTTTAATGGAGCCTCTTCGATGGGTTTCTAGCTAATTTTTCTAAACAAACGTGACAAGTGGCAAAAAAAATTGACACATATGATGTCATATTAGATAAAATTGTCGAGTAGCAAGAATTAAAACAAAAAAAAATCTAAAATTCGCCGAAAAGAAAATGAAAAGAAAGTTTTATTTCTTAGGTATAAAAACACAAACTATTCTCTAACCAGATCAAGAAAACCCATTCTTCTAAAGAAGAAAGAAATCATCTCATGCCAAAAGCGATGACAAAAGAACTGCATTCACCATTATAATCTTTCTCTTTTTTCTTCTTTAGAGCACTCGTAGATTCGTGGATTTGCTTATGTAGCTTCCTCGGACGAATTATATATGAATATGACTTAGGCAATTAAGAGTTTGGTAAAAAACGCGAGAACGCAAGTGATATTGTTAGCGTTATCATTTTCTTACTTACGGAGGAAGAATTGATGGTTAAAAATTGGAATAGGTAGAGCACGGGGAATCATTGTTCTCCTTGGATATTTCAATACCTTTTCGTCTTCCAATTGAAATCGGTAAAACAATAAGCAATAAGCAACGAGCAAGTTGGTATTCAACAAGACAATACAAAAATAGATAAACATCCATATACCATTCGGTAGCTTCACTCTCTTCTTTGTATCCGTTATGCAATAATTTTTTTTCGTTCACCTAAAAAAGAAAAATAGAGTATTCATGTTAAACCCAATGAGATAGAAACTGAAAGCCAAACTTTTTTGATGTATTGTGTTTGCTTATTAAATATGATCCTACTCACCACCTTTGATCATTTTTTTCCTTTTTACTGACCTTCTAGTCCATATTGAAGTTGAATTGTTGAACTCGCATGGGTAGTTTTCACACTTTCGTAGTCTTGGAATTGGATTCTTACATAAGATATCCACATAAGAGAATGATTAATTTGTACACATCAATAAGAAATTTTTTAAAAAATAAAGCATAAAAGAGGGGGAAACAAGGAGTTCATTGATGAAAACAATTAAGAAAGGTAAAAAGTGAGATAATAAAAAGTGGTAGTGATTGAGAATCAACATGTAGAGGAAAGACACCGACGTGATCTAATTTTATTTGTAGTAGTAAAAAATAAAGAAAAAGAGCCAAGGACAAGAGAAATGATCGATTGATGATGCTCCTACACATCACTTGCAAAACAATCTAACTTAGACCTAACAAACGCACTCTTTCTCTCTCTTACCACAAAGACGAGACTTAACAAGTATTTTTTTCTTCGCACTCCCTTCTCTCTCTATATACATAGTTGAGAAAACGTAGAAAAAATTAAAAAGCAAGAAAACAAGGGCGAATGGTATAAGTAAGTGAGGAGAATGAGTGGTTTTTATAGAATTTTAGTTTTAAATATCCTCGTCCATGCTTCTTCCTTACCCTTTTCTCTCTCTTTCTTGCATTTTTACGTGTATATCTTCTTCATGCCTTATTAGACTCTCGAGTTAGAAAAGTTTTAGTTTTATTGCTTGGTTAAATCAAAATATGAGAGAATGAGAATAGTTTGTGTTTTTATAACTAAAAATAATTATTTTCTTTTCATTTAGCTTTTCAAAAAAAAAAATCAATTCTTTGTCGCATGACAATTTTATACGATGTGATATTTTACATGCCAACTTTTATCACCTACCATGTTTGCTTAGAAAATTAGTCGAAAACCTATCAAAGGAACCACATTAAAACAATTCAAAGAGTAGAGAGATTCGATAAATAAATAAAGAGTAGATGAAACATATTAAGAAAATCTAAAAGATAAAAAGACGAATCATGCAATTATATCTTTTCTATGATGAAAAAAAACCTACAAAATTCTAAAATTTGAAGGAAAGACATAGATGATGGTAAAGTGATGTTAGAGAGAGAATGTGAGTGGTATTAAGAAAATCTAAAAGACAAAGGGACAATTTATGGTGGTAGAATGATGTTAGAGAGAGAATGCTAGTGATTCATTTTTCATAATTTCTTTTTTCTAAGCAAAAATAGTTGGATTAAATTAGGTTAGACTAAAGTGTGTTTATTTTAAACATTTTTATGGTTCGCGAGGAGGTTGGCTTGAGCATAATAGAAAATAAGAATATGATAATTTTAATTTTTTTTCTTTCAAGAATAATCTTAATTTATTTTTTATTTCTATTTTTGATTAATAATTTTAGGCGTGGAAGGCCATGTGTTTGAATATGATTAGTATACTTTTGATCAACTTATGTTGTAATATCAAATTACAACATGTAATAACATCCTAGGAACAAAAATCTCTCATTTTATATTTATAATGCCTTACATAAGAGTAACCATCTCGGATAGCAACGAGACCATACCTAGTAACAAAAATCTCTCATTTTATATTTATCTATGCACTATGAAAGTGATAAAAACATACAATAACGTAACCAAAAGAACTTTGAGTAACCCTTCTATCAACGTACATCCTATACATATTTAATCCATCTATATTTAATTTGAAACGAGTATGTGGGAAGAGGGTTTCATTTCAACGAACAAGCCTTTTGAGTGTTTTATTGAGATAACAAGTAGATCGAGAGTATTAAGTTTATGAATTTCAAACGTATTAAGAGGGATTTTAAGTTTATAAATTAAAAATATATCTAATAAGCATAACTTTGTATGGCTAATCACCAAATCTATTGACATGAGGATGTCATCAAATCTTATTTTACATCTACTCTTCCATATTTCCTATATGGCAAACAAACAAGTTACAACATGACATGTAATTGTTTGTATTTTGGTTAAGCACATCCAACTTTGCGAGAAGAGCATCTAAAGAAGAATATTAATTTGGTATTGTAAATATTCTTGCAAAATAATTCTAGATCCGTACAACAATCTCATGCCACAAAAATAACTAATTTAAAGATTTCTCTTGTTATAACTAACGAGTAACTACATATAAAGACCATAGGAATTTTTTATCTCAAATCCTAGAATCAACAAAGATTGCTTGATAAACCCGTTTTCAAATAAATCACTAACATGAATAGGTATCAATGAATTCCACATTTTTTATGCCAATAAACTTGCTAGTTGTTATTCCTTCTATTCTTTAAAACATTTTTGTTTCAAGACTAACCTCAATTAGTAAGAGTAAGTACCGATCTATCAAGCACACAATCATCTAAATGAATATCTTTCCCGGTTTATGAAACTGGACGGGAATAAAATACAAAAACTCCTTTATATTAGACAATGCATCTCCAATAGTAAGTGATTTATTAAGTAGAAGAGGCAAGCCAAACTTAACTCCATAATAATTGGACGTTTAAAAAAAATGTATCAAAATACTACATTTCTTAAAAAAGGCAACGTATTTAGTGATTGATTTTTACATATGAAAGAGATTCTAAACACAAGTTGGTCTATCCAAAAATCAAGATCACCGTATCTAGTCCTCATAAAAGTAACCCACGAGTGTTACCTTATGTATATGACCATTCCAATTTAGTCGGTAGAGTCTCCATCACTTATAAGAAACCTTGAATACCCAAGCCCCCTTCCTCAATAGGTTTATAAATAACACGTTAGGAGACCCAAAGATCTCGATTCTCACTAGTTGCACTCTATAAAAAATTAGCTAAGATCTTTTTTACTCTTTTGATTGTTGATTTAGGAAAAGGAACAACGACAAGTATATGAACATGAATGTTGTTAAGCACCAAGCACCAAAGGATAACAATTTTGCTTTCTAACCACTTACCTTATTCGCCAACTTCGGTTTAAGATCATGGAAATACATGTGTTTCAACCTATCGGTAAAAAGTGGTACCCCTAAATATTTTAGAGGACACTATTATGAAGTGCACCCAGTCCAAACTCGAATCCGATTTATTCTCTCCCTAGGCATTCATTTTGGAGCATAAAATTCACTTTTAGCAATTTTGATCAATTGACCGGAGGCTTATTCATATTGAATAAGCTAACCTCAAAGATTTTTTAAAGACCTTTTATCACTACTTGTAAACAACAAAATATCATTTGCATAAAAAATAAAAAACAAATATTACACATGGAGATTTCCCATTTTCTCGCTTTATGAGAAAAAAATTAGTCCAGTCTTAATCGCTTTATAAAGGTTAAAGGATAGAATTTATTGAACAAGGATAAAAATAAATGGCGATAAAAGGTCACCTTGTCTTGATCCTCTACTAGATTTTAAAAAGAACCAAAATTTAATTCTTAAAATCCGATAGAGTACCATACACTCGCTAATACATCTATAACTAAATCACATGACAGATTATTAAAATCGAACTCCCCATGGTTTGTAACAAACATGGTCATTTCACTTCATCATATGCATTAAACATATTTAGCTTAAATAAAAGATTACCACCTTTAATCTTTCTATTTAAACGAGCCGACAATTATTAAGTCATATCAATATTTTATTTGATACTTCTTTTTACGAAGTAGTATATTTTAAATAAATGATATTTGGAAGTACAACCACCAATCTACTAGCGAGAATTTTAGAAATAATCTTGCAAGTAAATATTAAAAGGCTAATTAGTCATAAATAACTCAATTAAGTAGGATTCAAAATTTTAAGAATGAACATTAAAGCGGTAGAAGATATGCCTTTAGGTAGATATCATCTCCTAAAGAAGTCTTGAACATTTGAGACGACTTCATGTTTTATAATCTCCCGGACTCCCTTGATAAAAGTGACTTGTAAATCCATCCCAACCCAAAGCATTAAAAAGATTCAAATAAGAGATTGCCTCTCAAATCTCAATTTTAGTAGGCAAAATAGTAAGCATATCATTTCAAGTAGAGGCGATTTTCTTATCCAAACCTACAAATAGCTCCTCATACATATTATACGATCCTACTAAGAATAAATTCTAAAAGTAGCCAACATCCATATTCCTTGCGGAATTGATAACTTCGGAGAAGTCGTCATCCGACATATGTAGTTTAAACTTAGTCTTCTTTGCATTGTTTGCTCAATACATGCATGAAAAAAAGCCGTATTATGTTCCTCGTCTACTCTTATTTGATCTTTTCAAATCTTCACATTTCTTATGTCTCGCTATATGTTTGCGGAATTTTCATCCAGTTTAAATGGTAAGGTAATTGCTACCTTTACATGAAATCTATCATAAAAAGAAAAATTAATTAGTGATAGTTTTATGATGATATTCATAAACAAGTTCTCGTTTACGAAAACTAAGTCCACTTATCTATTTTTGAGAGAAATTATTACACAAATATGGTCCACCATCTAAGATCATGGACTTAATGGATTAACTTTTTATACATCATTTTGTGATGAATGCATCACTAATAAAAAGATTCACATTCTCAATATAATCTACTAAATATATTATTTATACAAATTTAATTATTTATAATAATTTTATTGGTTTGATTCATGATTTTAGGTGATGGACCAAATCCATATAATATATATACATTTTTTATAATGAATGGTTACACAGCTAAGAGGTTAATGTCAATAATTAATGATTAATAGAATGTGAATAGAGTCGTATTACCAAAATAGACTAAATTAGCTATCACTATAAAAATAAAGGGTTATTCTAATCTTCTCTTATAATATATATATTTTTTTAACTTCAAATATTCCAAAGTAAAAATTTGAACTTGCAATTTTTTTAAACACGAAAAGCTTAGTACTATTAGACCATAAATCTATTCCTTTTGTATAATAATTTCTTTTAATATGATACTTCTCATAATGAATATTGAAATACAACGTTACGAGAAGCCCAGCATTAGCAAAAGTTTAATTTCAAATCTTAAATCATTTTAAAACCATCATGCATTGAGCTAGAAACAAAATGGCCTGTCAATACAAAAATAAAAATGTCTGCCTGTCAATGCAGCATTGCCCTGAAGATTTGGAATGAAATCATCTTGTTCTTATCTGCCTGCCTGCCACGCTATGGTGGAGAGGATCTAATATTATTACCATTTTTTTCTTTAGAATTATGCCATGATTAATGATAGAGCCAGTATATTTTTCATTGCATTAATGCATTGTGAACGTGGTTGGGCTTCCACGTTTCTGCAAATACCAAACTCCACGGCCCGGTAGCGACATGTAACATGTCTCGCTCGTATTCTCATGGGTTGCAACGTGGCCCACCTGAATTTCTGTGTGATTTCCCCTTCCTTCCTGCTTCCTAGTACATTTTCGGCTTGTTTCAAAATTCATGTGAAACATTAAATTAACATTTTCTTTGTCTAAAAGCAGTAGAGAAAAATGCACCTACTTAGCTAAAGAAATTGCTAGTTACATCCAAAAATATATTCATCTCGTGAAGAAAAAATATGAAACCAAATAAGCAAAAAATTATTTATATATCTCATTTTTTATGGGAAGAAAAAAGAATAAAAGAAATATTAAATAATTTATAATTTAACTAACTATAAAATAGACAAAAAAATAAAATAAAATCATGCGATCTCTAACAGCTTTTATTAAAGAAAATACTACAATACAAGTTCAAAAAAACAACAACAAACATTCGACCACTATACTATAAATTCCTTCCTTAAGAAGTCAATTTCCATTTTTAATAGTACAATTATAAGCTTATTTAATAGTTTAATAAATATATATAATTTTTTTAGTTTTATTTTTTTCAGATATTCCTTTCGTACATTGAATACCAACTTTAATAAATAAAATTTCAAAATTCTAACTCTACTCGTTATCAGAAATTCATTTTTGAAAACCAACTTGAAACTAGTTTGTGACAGGCTGATTCTTTAATTATAAAAATGAACTAAAAAAAATAAAAAAATCGTTACATTTATTATCATAGCCACATGACGAATTCATGATCCATATCTTCAAATTTTCAAAGCAGAAAGCAGCACGGATAAGTTACGACGATCCGTCGCTGTCTGTCGGGTCCCTGGTGCCGTTCCTTCACCTCACCGTAACCAAACCGAAACACACTTTCTATGCTTTGACCCATTAATAAGAATCGTAGGTGAGCTCTCTCTATTGTCTTCAAAACATTCGCATGCCTCTCTTCTCCTTCTAACAAGGTCACGTCTCGAATCCCTGGTACACTTGTTGTCTTCTCCAATTCTTTATGTCCTTCTTTTTATTTGATTTTTACCATGCAATTGATTTGATCACACATTTATCTTTCTTTCAGGGGAAATGACAAGAGTGGATTGATAATTTATTCTTCTCTTCTTCTTGTTAGTGTTAAGATGGAGTTTTTTCTTCCGAATCTCTGTTTTCAAAGATCATTTTGGTTCTTGATTTCTTTAGTCTTCCTGCTGCTGCTAAATAGTGGATTAGTGTTATCTGATCCCAACTACTTAATTGGGCTTGGAAGCTATGACATCACTGGACCAGCTGCTGATGTTAACATGATGGGTTATGCTAACACAGAACAGATTGCTTCTGGGATTCACTTCAGGTTGCGAGCTCGTTCTTTTATTGTGGCTCAGCCCCAAGGGAACCGTGTTGTGTTTGTTAATCTTGATGCTTGTATGGCCTCCCAACTTGTCACTATTAAAGTTATTGAGAGGTTGAAGGCAAGGTAGTTTTCACTTCTGAATTTTAATTTGAATCATTTGAGCTATGTTTTGATGTATTAAAGTGAAAAAGTTTCCTTTTGTTCATATTGCAGGTATGGGGAACTTTATACTGAAAACAATGTCGCTATTAGTGGCATTCATACTCATGCTGGTCCTGGGGGCTATCTGCAGTATGTTGTGTATATCGTGACATCTCTTGGATTTGTGCGTCAATCATTCGATGTACTTGTTGATGGCATTGAGAAATGCATAATTCAAGCTCACGAAAATCTCCACCCTGGATCGATTTTTGTGAATAAGGGTAAGGGAACATATATTATTCTTGTGGATTATGAATTTGCTAATGGGCGAAAAGAAACTGTTATTTAAAATGCCAGAAAAGGTCTTGCTTGGCTTTTGACTTTTGTTAATGGATGATCTGTGTCATGCCCTTTGTTTTACATGAATGTATCACCTCACTAGTCTTACAAGTTTCCATTTTGGTGTTAGAAATTTAATGTTTAGATGCTTATATCTATCTCAATGGTCATCTTTCATAGAGGCAGTTTTGGGAAAGGTCTAACAAATCTTTGACTTCCAATTTTGTGGCGTTCTGGGAAAATCACAACCTTCTATATTTAAAGAGTTTAATAATTTCTTCATCAGGTGCCATTTTAGCCTGTGCCATTCTTTTAATCAATAATTTGATCGGAACCTGGAATTCATCTACTTCTTGTTTCCTCTATGGTTGTACCATGTGCTGTGTTGCACCCATGATTGTATGTTCTCTTTGCAAAAGTTGTTATTACATACTTTCTTTTTTGGCAATGGGCATTGTGGTGGTCATATTGCTGAATATAATCTTAGAGAGGCTTTGCCTTCTTACTTACAGGAGAGATCTTAGATGCTGGTGTAAATCGCAGCCCTAGTGGATATCTTAATAACCCTGCAGAAGAGCGCAGCAAATACAAGTATGATGTTGACAAAGAAATGACTCTTTTGAAGTTTGTAGATGCTGAGTGGGGCCCAGTAGGTAGCTTCAATTGGTTTGCGACCCATGGAACTTCTATGAGTCGTACAAACTCTTTGATAAGCGGGGATAACAAGGGAGCGGCAGCACGATTTATGGAAGACTGGTTTGAGCACAATGGTATTGGAAACTCATATTCTGATGAAAGTCTAGCTGATGGAATCCCTCGAAGAGTCTCAAATATTATCCCAGACTTGCATGATAATCGTAAGTTGCTATTTTCCTTTTTTGTTTTAAGTCCAGGTAGAGTAATTTATGAAACGACAATTAACACCTATTTGGTTTGTGGTTTCGGACAAGCACTTTAGGCTCTGTTTGTTTGGGGGAAAACAAGTTTCATAGGAAAATCAATTCCCGAGGAAGCTATTTTTCTGAAAATTGTTTTCCAAGAAAATATTTTCTGTTGTTCGGCAATTATATGAAAAAGGTACTGAAAAATATATTCCAACGTTTGTTTGATACAAAAAATTAAAATACAAAAACTTATATGTTTGATATATCAACAAGTTTTGAGAAAATTTTAAAAAGACATTCATAATTTCATAATATAAGATACATTTAGAAAAATTTAATAAATTTTCATCAATACTAACTCTAAAATTTTAATTCAAAAAATAAAATGTACTTTTTTAACAATAAAATCAAATCATCAAAATTATTTGGGACAAAATTAAGTCAATATTCATATTTGGTAAAAAAAAGATTCTAAGTAATCTTAGCATTATTATTTTAGTAACTCAATTAAGAATTTTTTTTTTAAGAAATTGAAATGATAATCTAGTCTAAAAAATAATTTTATAAATTATTTGTTATCATCTATAGATAATTATTTATTTGATTTCAAAAGATTAATGTTGGAATAATTTGTAACTAATTATTCATTACAATTACCAACAAAATTTTACAATTGATTAAAATTATAAATTATCGATTTAATTGCAAATGAATAGTGTTGAAAAAATAACGTATTTATTGATGAATTAATTAATTTTAATTTCTTTTTACAAAAAATTATAGTCTTGTAACAATCATTTTCAATCATTTAACTATAGCTTAGGTAGTGATTGAGACAATAGTAAAAAAATGAGATAAGTTATTAAAATATTTATTATAAAAATAATTTTAAGGTGTAAAAATGCTTTTTAAGAATATTTAATGTATCTATAAATCAAAAAAATCAAATATTAGTAAAGATAGAGAAAAAATAATTAAATAATTAATAATAATAATTGATAAGAAATAATTAAAAATTAATATGATATATTTTAAATAAAAAGAAGATAGAGAAAAAAATTGTTAAAATATATTGAAAGAGAGTTATGTAACGAGAGAGCGAAACAACTCGTGAGAAGGAAAATGTTTTCCTCTTTTGAAACTAGAAAAACATTTTCTCAAAATTACTCTATCATTTTCCGTTGACTAGAAATCATCTTCCATTGACTTTTTTCCTAAATGTGAAACAAACATCGGAAAATGGAGAAAACAAGTTCCGGGAACTTGTTTTCCCCCAAAACAAACGCAGCCTTATTTTACCTGCTAGAGTTTTTAGTCTTCAAATAAACAAACCACAATTCTCTTCCACGTGGGTTTAACTCAACATGCTCAGCAAAAGCCTCTGTCCTGATTCTAGCCATATTATCTTTTAGAATTGTATAGTTCAATGGAATCATATTATCTTTAAGGACAAAAAGGATTGGATTAAAATATAGAATGAAAGAAAAATGATTGATGGAAAACCATTATACCATAGCAGTTTAGTAAATTCCGGCAATAATGTGGTTCTCATTTTCCTCCTTTTTGTGAAAAATAAATAAATACATAAATGCCATTCTGGGCTTCCAATCTTAATTAACCTCATTGCCAGCTCAACGCTTGCAGGATGTCTGAATTTCTGCCTTATAATCAGGAGAAGATGATATTGAAGGAAAAAAAAATCATTGCTTTACTGCTTTATACAAAGAAAAATCAAAATAAGTGATAACACTGGACCACTTGACGTATTTCTAATACTTAAAAAATATAGAATGTGCAACTTGGATGTGATATCTTGTAACCAGATCCAGCATATCAAGTTGCATGGTCGCAACAGGGAATTTGATGGACCTGAGAATTGAAGCATAAAACCAAATATTCTACCTTTTCTTCACTAGATTGGAATCATAGGACAAGGGATAAATAGCTTCTTCCATTTACTTTTGATATCTGTCTACTGCAGACCATGAGCTACTGGAGCTTGCATCATCCTTCCAGTCTTCTCCCGGCCGACCAGCAACCAAGATTCTTAGTGTTGCAAGGCGTGTCAGGGGTGCTCTGAGGCAGGCTGACAAACCTGGATTTGTGTCTGCATTTTGTCAATCAAACTGTGGTGATGTTAGCCCCAATGTGCTTGGAGCTTTCTGTATAGACACTGGACTACCTTGTGACTTCAATCACAGTACATGCGGTGGGAAGAACGAATTGTGCTATGGCCGAGGGCCAGGGTACTGAATTTTGTGCCATCCAATTCTTTTGATAGTAAAATACATGTCTTTTGACCTGTTGGGATGCTAATTTGTGCTTTGAACCTAACCTGGCAGTTACCCTGATGAATTTGAAAGTACCCGTATTATTGGAGAGAGGCAATTCAGAAAAGCTGTGGATCTTTTCAACACAGCATCTGAGAAATTAAATGGAAAGGTTGAATATCGCCACTCTTTTGTAGACTTCTCCCACCTGGAAGTGACACTTCCCAAAAAGGGAGGAGGTTCTGAGGTAGTAAAAACATGTCCTGCTGCAATGGGTTTTGCATTTGCTGCTGGAACAACAGATGGACCTGGAGCTTTTGATTTCAAGCAAGGAGATGACCAGGTGACTTGTGGTTGTGATATTTATTAGTCTTAAGTTGACGTATTCTGTCATGATATTTTTTGGCTGTCTATTTCTCTTTATTGTTGTCTGTTGTCATGTTATATCAGGGAAATGCCTTCTGGAGACTGGTGCGCAACTTATTAAAAACACCAGGAAAGGAACAAGTTGATTGCCAGCATCCAAAGCCCATCTTGCTTGATACTGGTGAAATGAAGAAACCATATGATTGGGCAGTGAGTTGCATTCTTGTTTGTACATCTTACACTATTAGAATGTGGTGGTTTATAAAAGTCCCTAAGCAAGTTGACACTGTATGTGCTCCAAAATTTTATCATTAACAGCTTATGATAATCAACTTAATTGCTGGGTTCAAATCCTAACTTTCTCGCATCAAACAACTTAAAAACTGGGATGGGGATAGTTAACCATATGGCCTCATCAAGTAGAAATATTGTAATGGGTAGAGCTGTCTTCATTCTGCGCATTATAGCAGGAACTTCTGTGCTTGTTCGCATTATGTGTGCACAAAATTGACTTGTTGATGTTGTGCTAAATTCGAGAATGGCATAGTGTTATCAAATAACTTGATTATCCGTTCCCAGATGGTATGTTCTCTCTCTGTATTTTTTTTTTTTTTGGAATTGAATGTGCAGTCTACATACAAATGACTAATAAATTTAATCGATATATGTCCTGAATCTGGGTACAGGCAACTGTTTAGCTTCATCAAGTTGCACGTCATGTAATCCAAGTTTAATTTCCAGCTATGCTGAATATTTTTTGGTTGATGCCATTCTAATAAACACAAAGAATTCCATGAGCACCAGGAATAAGATTTGCTCAATGCATGTCCATGAAGTCTCAATCACACCTTAATATATAATGTGATGGCACCACAAATTGGATAAACCCAAATAGTAATCTATTGAAGGATTCCTTCCATCTTATATGCAACATTCCTTTTTCTCAAGAGACAGTTTGTTTTTCATGATTTCAAGTTTTTTGATCATTGAGGTCTTCTGCCATGTCATGTCTGCCTCAATTGTCTGTAAATATTCTTCTACTGCTGGGAATGCTAATCTTTGTGTGTTATGAAAGAGGAAGAAATAATTCTTCTATCTTGTGTTTGGTATTCCAATTAGTGACACTACTCTGGTGCTGATGATTTTTGGAACCTCTGCAACTTTACTACTGACCAACCTGTTTGTTCATGGATTATGCAGCCTTCAATACTTCCAATCCAGATTCTCCGTATAGGGCAGTTAGTCATCCTCAGTGTACCTGGAGGTACCTTTCATTGCTTCTTTCCTTTTCTTTTCCTGTAAGGTTATGCTTCCATTAGCAGATCATGTTTAATAATCAAACTAGGCTCTGAAGTTGAATGGATGAAGAAACTGCTAATATATTATAGCCATAGATTATAGAACATGCTAAGATCCGGTTTTTTGTCTTTTACCAAATGATGGTGTGACTTTTGAGCACACAGCCGAGGTTGTTACTCAGGCTGGGATGGATGACGTGCGGCCATCCTGAGTGTGGTCCAACTTTGTCATAAAAAAGTCTGTTCTCTGCTCAAATGAACTTATTTGTGTAAATGATCATGTTGCGTGGTGGGTTGAACTTACATCATGCAGAAAAAAAAAATCCCTGTAATATACATAATTATGTTTTCCTTCAGGCTAGTCCAGCTTCATGTTGAGCAGGGCCAGTCCTGCCATATGTGAAGCAGGCAAACTTCATATCGCAGCCTGTGCCAAATCTTTAGTTCCCCAACTCTTCTTTGCATTTCGATCAGTGTACCTTTTGTTCCTAAGAACACTATTTTGGCATTAAACATGCTAGGAGGCATTCTTTCTTTGTTTTGATTTGGATGGCTATTTAACTTGTTGATGATAGTTTTTCGTTGAATTTACTTTCCAAGCATCCTTTTTACTTTGTTTTCTTGATTATATGCTTCAACCAATATGATTTTATGAGTTCATGAATTTTCTGCTTGATTGTTTCAACCAGAATTTACAACCATGGCTGGGAGACGTCTTAGAGATGCTGTCAAGACAGTGCTCATGAGTGGTGGGAATAAAGAATTTAATAGTAATGTTCACGTCGTTATAGCAGGATTGACTAACACCTATTCACAGTACGTGACCACCTTTGAAGAGTATGAAATGCAGAGATATGAGGTAAGTGAATAGTTTTCATTCTTAGGAAATAGGTCTCTGTGAAATGTAATGGTAATAGCTGAGACATGTAGTTTTGTAATAGTAATAGCTGAGACATGTAGTTTTGGCATTCAGAGAAATATATATTAGGCAGCTTTACATGCATGGGCAGCTGGTTCGTTTGCATGCCATCTGGTTCAAAATTGGAAGTTCTCTAAGGCTTTCAAGCATCATTCTTGTGATTGGTATCGGATGATCTCAATACCCATTATTCCATGCCATATTATCACTATGAATTATCAAGGGCAAAACATGTAAGATTGAATTGAGAGTCATGGGCATTGTTTTAGGAATTCTGTAATGTGCTATTTTTCACCTCTATAATCGCTTGTTCATTAAAGTGATATTGTTCCCACTTCCCAGGGTGCCTCCACACTCTTTGGTCCGCACACTCTCAGTGCCTATATTCAGGAGTTCAAGAAGCTTGCGACTGCTCTCGCTACGGGCCACTCTGTTGAGCCCGGTCCACAACCCCCTGATCTTTTGAATGAGCAAATAAGCTTACTTACACCAGTTGTAATGGATGCAACCCCTCGTGGTGTACACTTTGGTGATTGCAGCTCTGATGTTCCCCAGAACTCCACTTTCAAAAGAGGTGACACAGTCACAGTAGTTTTCTGGTCAGCTTGCCCCAGGAATGACCTAATGACAGAAGGCACATTTTCCCTTGTGGAGATCCTCCAAGGTAAGGATAGTTGGTTCCCAGCTTATGACGATGATGATTTTTGCCTTCGTTTCAAGTGGTCAAGACCTTCAAAACTAAGTACTCGTAGTCATGCAACCATAGAATGGAGGATCCCTGAACCTGCCAGTCCTGGTGTCTATAGAATAAGACATTTTGGAGCTGCCAAGGGCCTTCTAGGTTCTATTCGCCATTTCACCGGTTCTTCTAGTGCTTTTGCTGTAACATGAAAAACATTTTGTTCTTGTACATGTACTGTACTTCTGTCCTTGCATCCATTTTGTTATATATAATATTTGCACGACAGATGGTTACCATGTTGCAGCACTTGAGAAACTCTTTAATTCCTGAAGTTATCATGTTAGATTCAGCAAGTTTTTGTACTTCCTGTAAAAAAGTATGGTTTACCATTAATCCTTTTTGAAGAGACGTATGTTGGTTGGTAACAAATAAATTTATTTTGCTCACGCTTCAATGGCCACACGTCCCATGGCTGTAAATAAAAAAAAAGGACAAATATCAACCTTTGGAGGTTAGTTTTCTTCCTTGTTTTTTGAGTTTAAATTTTAGAATCAGTATATAAGAAAATTTATTAATTTTTTTGAAAATTACTAAGCTGGTAAGAGAGGTATATTTTTAAAATATTTTCTAGAGAAACTTAGTTTCTGTCAACATAAATTTATTTTAAAATGCCCTTGTTGTGGAATTTAAAAAATAAAAAATAAAAACTAATTATGAATGCACACGTTTTCAAAGTTTTGTTGAATTTCCTACTCTTGACATGAATAGCCCAAAAGCCCTGAAGATATAGAATTAGTGTCAGTATGCATGACCTGTTTCGAAAATATCAGTGCATTAAAACTAGAAAAAGATAATAAATAAATAAAAAAATCGTTGGTTGTTATTTTTTAATGCAAGTCGTTCATCAAGAAGGATTGCACTATTATAAGTCGCTAGATGATGTGAAAGACTTGACAGATTTTTTACGTTAATCGATACATCGTTCGTAATTGCCATTTTGAATATCAGGAAGTAGAGTGAAAAAGAAAAACCCAAACTTTATTTTTAAAATCTGTTCGAGAGAAATTTAGTTTCAGTGAACACAAACTTATTTTAAAATACTCTTACTGTGGAATTTAAAAAATAAAAAATAAAAACTGATCATGAATGCACACATTTTCAAAGTTTTGTTGAATTTTTGATTCTTGATATCTATATCCCAACCATTCTGGAAATATAGAATTAGTGTCAGTATGCATGACCTGGTCCGAAAACACCAGTGCAATAAATTCAGAAAATAATAAATAAAATAAATAAAATCGTAGGTTGTTATTTATTTATTTATTTTTAATGCAAGTCGTTCGTCAAGGAGGAATGCACCATTCATCAACTACAAGGAGATAAATCATTATATGTGGTGAAAGAATTGATAGATACGAGTACTTCGTTTGTTCGAGGAAAAATAACTTTTATAGAAAAATTAATTATTAAGGAAGCTATTTTATAGAAAATTATTTTTCTAAAAAATATTTTCTACCGTTTGATAATTACATGAAAAAATTGTTAAAAAATATATATTTCTAGCGTTTGTTTGATATAAAAAATTAAAATATAAAAACAATATGTGATTTTTAGATCAACAAGTTTTGAAAAAACTTCAAAAAGGCATATTAATAATTTCACAATATAAGATGCATTTAGAAAAATTTAATAAATTTTTATAAATATTAACTCTAAAATTTTAATTTTTTAAAAAATAAAATGTACTTTTTTAACCATCAAACCAATTCATTAAAATTACTTGGGACAAAATCAAGTCAATATACACATTTAGCAAAAAAAAAAAAAAATTCTAAGTAATCCTAGCATTGTTATTTTAGTAACTTAATTAATATTTTTTTTTTAAGAAATTGAACTGATAATTTATTCTAAAAAATAATTTTATAAATTATTAGTTATCATTTGTAGATAATTATTCATTTCGTTTCAAAATATCAATGTTAGAATAATTTGCAACTAATTATTCACTTCAATTACCAACAAAATTTTACAACTCGATTAAAATTATAAATTATTGATTTAGTTGCAAATGAATAACGTCGCAAAATAACGTAGTTATTAATGAATTAATTAATTTTAATTTTTTTACAAAAAAATTGCAGTGTTGTAATAATTATTTTTCAATTATTTAAGTATAGTGTAAGTGGTGTTTGAGATAATACTAAAACAAATAAAGATAAATTATTGAAATATTTATTATAAAAATAATTTTAAGGTGTAAAAATGGTTTTTAAGAATATTTAATGTATTTATAAATCAAAAAAATCAAATATTAGTAGAAATAGAGAAAAAATAATCAACATAACAAATAATAATTGATAAGGAATAATTAAAAATTAATTTGATATGTTTTAAATAAAAAGAAGATAGAGAAAAAATTGTTAAAATATATCGAGAAAGAGGTAAGTAATGCAAGAGCGAGATAGCTCGTTAAAAAGACAATGTTTTCCTCTTTTTAAACAGAGAAAACATTTTTTAAAAAAATATTTTATTACTTTTTGTTAATTGAAAATCATTTTCCATTGACCTTTTTCCTAAACGCGAAACAAACACTCGAAAAATGAGAAAAATAAGTTCTTGAAACTTGTTTTCTTTGAAAACAAATACAGCCATCATTTCGTAATTGTCGTTCCAAATATCGAGTAAGTAGAGTGGAAAAAGAAAAACCAAACTGTATTTTTAAAATGTTTTCACCATTACAAAAAAAACCTAAAACAAAACGCTAAAGTACTGTAGCTATTTCTATTGTTCATTCACGTTCACTTTTTTTTCCTTGCCTTGCCTATAGCTCGGGTTATTTTTTTTTCTCTCTTTCTTTTTTTCCCCTTGCCTTGCCTTGCCTTGCCTATAGCCCGGTTTTTTCTTTCTTTCTTTCTCTTGTTGCTTTAAGCCTCTCTTTTGGCTTTAAATTAATTTTACATTTTAGTCCCTGTTTTGTAATTTTTTTATTTTAATCATTAAAATTTTATTATATTTGATTTTTAGTTCTATAATAAATCAGTTTTTTCCTCTCTTGTTGCATTTTTTAAGCTCTTCTTTTGGCTTTTAGTGAATTTTATTTTTATTTTAATCCCTATTTTGTAATTGTTTTTATTGTGGTTATTAAAATTTTATTATATTTCATTTTTGTACCTATAATAAATATTTAAATTTATTTTATTTTTATTTTAGTTCTTGTTTTGTAACTTTTTTATTTTGATAATTAAAATTTTATTATATTTAATTTTTATTCCTATAGTAAATCAATTTTTTTTCTCTTTATGTAGTTTTTAAGCCCCTCTTTTGGCTTTTAGGGATTTTTATTTTATTTTAGTTCATGTTTTGTAACCTTTTATTATTTTATTCATTTAAATTTTTAAATTTGATTTTTTGTCCCTATAATAAATATTGAAATTTTATCATATTTGATTTTTGTCCCTATAATAAATAATTTTTTCTTAGTTTTTTTAGTAAAATTGTTCATAGTCTTATTGTTTATAAGTTTTTTTTTAATAATTCTTTCATGATCTTTACTTTGTTTTGATCGTGTGTAATTTTATCTATCATTTTTTTTTTTTGCCAAATTCTTGATTTGACAAAGTTTTTTGTCGTTTTGTTTTGGGTGGTTTCTATATCTCATTAACAAGTTACACTTGAAGAATATATGGTAAAAATTAATCATCTAAAATTCAAACAACTACTATATTATTATTTTAATTATCAGTTATTTTATATATTTCTAATAAAATACATGTTTATATCAAATAATATTTAATTAGTAATATTATACTACTAAACTTTGCTATTGGCTTTTCATTTAGCTAACCCTACGAAAAAATATAAGATATATGTTTTAGTTCTTTTTCTTAATTTTTTTTTGGGTGATCTTTTTAAATAATTATTTTTAACTTTTGTATTTTATATGAATGAATTCATAATAATATTATATAGCTCACTTTGAATTTTTTTTACATGATCTTTTTACATAATTATTTTTAAATTTTGTACTTTATATGAATGAACATATAAGAATATTATATACATTCACCCGTGACAATGCGTAGGATATATGCTAGCTCATCAACTATACGGAGATAAATTGTTATATGTGGTGAAAAAATTGCTAGATTTTTGACATTAATCGATACGTTGTTTTGTAATTGCTGTTTTAAATATCAAGAAGTAGAGGGAAAAAAGAAAAACCAAACTATATTTTAAAAATCTTTTCGAGAAAAATTTAATTTCAGTCAATACAAATTTATTTTAAAATACTCTTACCGTGGAACTTAAAAATAGAGAAGAAAAACTGATCATAAATGCACATATTTTCAAAGTTTTGTTGAACCCCTGACTCTTGATATGAATAGCCCAATCATTCTGGAAATATAGAATTAGTGTCAGTATGCATGATCTGGTTTGAAAATACTCATGTAATAAAATCGAAAAATAAAAATAAAAAAATAAAATTATTAGTTGTTATTTTTTAATTCAAGTCGGTTTATTAAGGAGGAATGCACCATTAATTAGCTATGAGGAGACAAGTCTTCATATGTGGTGAAAGACTTGGCAGATCTTTAACGCTAATCGATATGTCGTTTCGAATCTCAGAAAGTAGAGTGGAAAAAAACTCAAACTATATTTTTAAAATCTTTTCGAGAAAAATTTAGTTTCAGTCAACACAAATTTATTTTAAAATACTCTTATTATGAACTTAAAAAATAAAAAATAAAAACTAATCATGAATGCATACACTGTTAAAGTTCTGTATAATTTCTAATTCTTGATATAAATAGCCCAACCATATTAGAAATATAGAATTAGTGTCAATACGTATGACCTCCTCCGAAAATATCAATACAGTTAAACCGAAAAACAATAATTAAAAAAAATAAAATCGTTCGTTGTTATTTTTTAATGCAAGCGGTTCAAACAAGACCATTCATCGGTTACGAGGAGAAAAATTTTTATATGCGGTGAAAGGCTTAGCTTATCTTTTGACGCTAACCGGTACGTCGTTTGGTAATTGTTGTTCCGAATATCGGAAATAGAGTGGAAAAGGAAAGCCCGAACTAACTAGTGTTGAATTCAATTTCACCAGAAGAATCAATCATCATATTAGACTCAAAAAATTTGAAAAGGCTTCTCCAATTTCTTGAATTACAGATTTCTCTTAATTTTCAAACTCAGGGAAGTTCCAATCTCAGAGAGCAATCGAAGGAAAGTATATCACTCTCTCTTTGTGTATAAGAGTTGAGAAAGAAAAAGAAGAATCGAGGAGGAGATGTCGGTGCAGGAATACCTAGACAAGCACATGCTCTCTCGTAAAATCGAGGACGCCGTCAATGCCGCCGTCAGGGCCAAAACTTCCGATCCCGTTCTCTTCATAGTAATTCTCTCTCATTTTCTTTCTCTTTTTCTCTGCAACCAAACAGGCAGGCAGGCTGACAGATGGATTCTAATTTTATTTTATTTTTAATTTTTTGCTAATTGTTGTTTGAACTGTAGTCAAATCACATGAGAAAAGCGGTTCCGTCAGTGATAACGAAGATAAATGGGAGGCAGATCCTGGATAGCAGAGGGATTCCTACTGTTGAAGTTGACTTATTCACCAACAAAGGCAGCTTCCGTGCTTCTGTTCCTAGCGGTTATGTTACTGGCGGTTATGTTACTGGCATGTAAGCAATTTCCCCCTATTATTTCTTTTCAATTTCTACAGCCTAGCCCCTTCATTTTAATTAATTTCGTCAATGCTTTCATTTAAAAACAAAAGAAACACAGCATAATTTTTGTGTTTAAGAGCTTCCTGTAGCAAAAATTACAAAATTGAAATGGCTACAGAACAATGTGTTAAAACTTTAAGCCATGTTCTAATTTGATATGCGTGATAAGCCTAGAATTCATCTAAAATCTTGTGTAGTGAGTAATTTTGGTTAATGATCTCTCCTAGGTATGAAGCTGTTGAACTGCGAGATGGGGCCAAAGGAACATATCTCGGAAACGGTGTGACTAGAGCTGTTAGGAACATTAATGAGAAGATATCTGAAGCATTGATTGGTATGGACCCGACACTTCAGTCTCAAATCGATCAGGCCATGATTGACTTGGACAAAACAGAAAAGAGGGTAATGCTTTCTTTTCTTACCTTTCTTTGATCAGTGTAATCAGATGTTTCTTTCTCTTTGTTACTGCTTCACTGTCTACAATACAGAAAAGAAGATAATGCATTTCATCTTTGTAGATAGGAAATACACTCTGAATCTGGGAGACTGGTTTGTGATTTTTTGAATACTGTACTCAAATGTTCTTCTTAGAAGGAATGATTTTGAATCATGAAAAGTTCGGGCATCTGAACATTATGTATTTCAACCAAACAGATGAAAGTTCTCAATCTAGTTGATTCGGGATGGAATCTAGTGTGTGTTGCATGTAAATATGTCTGTTTGGTTACAAATGAAGGGGAAATGTTGTGGCTTTTGTTCTTGAACCCCAATTGACAACCTTGCCAGAAAGTTATTTGCGTGTTAAGAATATGTGGACTTATTCCGTACTTTTCTTATCCAATTGGTGTGGAGAAAGGTTCTCTCAGTGCTTTTGAAGTTAGATGGATTCTAAGTGTTAACTTTCAAATCCTAACTACTGTGGGATTTCTACATTTCTTCATTCTTGCTTAAACATCTATAATATTTGTGTCTTTCGACATCTATGTGGAGGCATCTGATGACCTTTTTGGTCATAGGTTGTTAATTCAAGATTCAACCCTCGGTTTCATGCGAGATGATCTGCAATCTGGGAATGATTGTTTTTCTAGTTCTTAAATTGCTGACATCTTATGAGGCATCCTGTTTCTTACTGTAAGTCATCTGCAGGGCGAACTTGGAGCAAATGCTATGCTAGCTGTGTCAATCGCTGCATGCAAAGCTGGAGCCGCTGAAAAGGAGGTATGAATGGTACCTTTTATTTTAGATAATTAATTAAATTAATGTAGTACTCAGACTTTGTGCGCTTATTTGAAAATTTTGACCTGGAAATACCAGGTTCCACTTTACAAACACATTTCCGATCTTTCCGGCAAAACCAACTTGACTCTTCCTGTCCCTGCTTTCACCGTCATAAGTGGTGGAAAACATGCTGGGAACAATCTAGCCATTCAGGTATGGCCTATTTAAGTTTAATATTAAATGCAAACTTAATATGCTGTTTGGGAAAATCTTCATTTGATATTTGATTGGAAGTGAATTGCAGTTTTTGAACAGGTTTCTCTTTTTATTATTTAGCAATTTTAAGTGAAAAAACTTTCATTCTAAAAAAAATGGGTGAAAATTTTAAGTTGTGAATTGCCTTGAAAGTTCATGCAATGTGAGTTGATTGAGCAGAGACATGGGGAAAAAAAGGAATGTAGTCACTTTGTGCTTGCTTATTTTTCTTCTGTCATAGGGAAGCACTTTGTAGGCTATAAATGATCAGGGTAAGAACGGATATTGCATATAGTCATGGAATGAGTGGGTTAAGAAACATAATTAAGGAATGGTGGCATCATAGCATTTGATAGTGGAAACAGTCTGATAAAGAGTTGCAGTATATTAAGAGTTAGTTGAACGTATTATTATAGAATCCTTTTATAAGAATAATCATTGACCTGAGTGGGGATGATTCTGAAAATTGAAGCAGTTCCCTGCGAACTGGGATAATGCAAAATGAATCTGAGGTTTTATGAATTCACGAGTTGGTATTGCAACATCATATGTATTAACATGTGTCTCCTTCATTTTGATGAAGAAATATGGCTGTTTTATTGGCAAATATTTGATTTAATATTATAAAGTTATACAGTTTCAATATGAAAGATGAATCGAAACTTCCTCCATAACATTCTTCTTTTTTTATAATTTTTAGATTCTAAATCCTAAAACTTCATTTTGTCCTCAGTTCTCTAACTCGTTGCAAAAATCAACTTTGACTCGAACAGGAAATCATGATTCTTCCAATTGGAGCAAGCAGATTTGAGGAGGCATTACGAATGGGTTCCGAAACATACCATCATCTAAAGGTGATTTTATTTATTAGAAATAACTTCTGGGATTGTAACTTCCAGTTTACTGGTTGCTTTTTTCTCATGGTCTTTTTGTGTCTCTTTGTTTTCAAATCCTAGTTTCTTTTTTTATGTGTTTTTTTTCCTTCAAATTGATTGTGCCCCTCCCCCTCCTACCCTGGTGCATCTTATGTTCATCAGTCTTGAACCCTTGACCTTAAAAAAGCGGTTAATGGTGACATGAGCTAGAGTAACTAACAAAGAAGGCATTTACATAGTTCTAATTCCTAGAGGTTTATAAACATATGAAAATATTCCTGCATAAACAGATAACTTCTGTCCAAATTCTGAAGATGTAACTTTTGCCAGATTGTGGGTCAGTGAAGTTAGTGAAGATTCAAGCATATCTCCATTGGCCATCCTGTATAGACATCATTTGATAGTTTTCTCTTTACCAAGTACGAGTCTAATAATTATATGCTTGGCTAAAGGAAGGGAGGAGTGGGGTAATACATGGTGTCTCATTTTCTCTCTGTCAATGATCCCATTAGTATTACGGAGCAAAAGGCTACTCATTTTCTTTTTCTTTTTAAATTAGCTATTTCCTTTATTTGATGTAATCTCTCTGTGGTCTTGAAGTTAATATGAGTAGAAGGGAGGGGGACTAAAAAAAAATTTCTCTGTGGTCTTGAGCACGAACCTTCTGCCATGAAACTCGATAGATGGCTTTGAGCCAAACAAATTATGTTTTATATGATTGTCATTTTGTTACGTGGTGGAATCAATATGAAGTTTTGGATCGCTAGGATTCTGTTCCTGCTGTCTCAGTTGTGCGTGTAATAATTATTTGTTCTGATCTGGTAATCTTTCAACTGTTAATGAGAATATACATTGCCTCCACTCATCCATTAATTGCAATTTCTGTCATTAAATAGAACAGGCTGTTATAAAAGAAAAATATGGTGAACAAGGATGTAATGTTGGTGAAGATGGTGGTTTTTCTCCACAAATATCCAGGCAAGTGTTTCTTATATGATGCTTGATAATCTTGTCTTGGAAAATGTTGTGATCACTCTCCATCTGCAAATCAACCTCCAAAAATAAATTTTCAAGGATTGGAAAGTGAAAATAGATCAAGAAAAAGTTATAGTGCATGCATAAATCGTAAACGGCTACCATATCTTTTCTCCAGGGTAGTTACAATCTGCTGTTTTTGCCCCCCTAAAAGAGAGCTATACATGTTCGAAACTCTTGTGGGTTCTTATTTTCATCATATCTGTTGGCAGTGTTCAAGAAGGCTTGGATCTTGTTCGAGTGGCTATCAGCAGAACAGGGTACAGCGAGAGAATAAAGATGGCCATTGATGTTGCTGCTACCACCTTTTGCATGGGTAATCCGCTTTTTTCCTGCACAATAGTCGTATAATAAAGATGGCCATTGACGAAGAAACTGAAGAAGTTAGTCATTGATTGAGAGCTATTTGGAGATCATGGACTTGTGCAACAACTATTTATGCTGCTTATTATGCAGACGTGATATTGATTGGAGAATTCTCTGGGGAAATGTTGACTTCTCACATATATTATGCTGCCTGTGTATTGTTTCTGCCCCATTTCTAACTTGGGGCTGGAAACCTAGGATTTGCTTTTGTGTTTGAGCTTTAAACAACTGATCCTTTCTTTTTCATTCCACCCAATGTAGGTACCAAGTATGATTTGGACTACAAATCCCAAAATAAGTCTGGGCAGAATTTCAAGTCAGGAGAGGATATGATTAAGATGTACGAAGAACTATGTGCTGGTATACACACTATCACATTCTAAGGTTGTTTTGCTGCCATACATTTTCAATATTTGAAGGGTATTTTTCTTGGACTTCAGAGTACCCAATTGTCTCAATCGAAGATCCATTTGATAAGGAGGATTGGGAACATATCAAGTATTTCTCTGACCTTAGACTTTGTCAGGTATGTTCGTTACATTTTGTTGTAAACCTCTTGAATTTTATGGTTTATCTTTGGCTTACATATATAGAAGGAGCAGTAAAATGGTTTGTTTTCAGGTTGTAGGGGATGGCTTGTTGATGTCGAATCCCAAACGTATTGAGAGAGCAATAAATGAGTCCAGTTGCAATGCTCTTCTACTCAAGGTATATAGTTAGCATTAGATGAATTTTTTTGTGATTTTATATTCTCAATAATTTTTCACCTAGTTTTTTTCCTGGAATTGATTTTCTGATGTTAGTAATGGTGGACTCCTGTATTTCATTGCATATAAAACCTTCAATGAAGATTAGGGAATTGATCCATCAAACTCTACTTTTTGCAAAGGAGAATATAGTGTTCCAAAATTCACCAATGGAACTATTTGTATAATGATATTATGGTGATATTTTATAATCTAACTATTGTGGCTTAAATTTAGGTAAATCAGATTGGGACAGTTACAGAAACCCTCGACGTAGTGAAGCAGGCAAAAGATGCCCGCTGGGGTGTGGTGGCATCTCATAGAAGTGGGGAAACTGAAGACTCTTTTATAGCTGATTTATCTGTTGGCCTTGCCATGGGTCAGATCAAAACAGGTGCTCCTTGCAGGGGAGAGCGACTAGCAAAATACAACCAGGTTTGTTTATTTATTATTACCCAATTTTTCTTGTGTTTGTGTTGGGTGGGTGGGGGTGGGAGGGAGCATGATTGTTAGTTGGTGGTGCAATAACGATCCAGAAATGAAAAACTTTTACCATACAGCTCCATGCCTATAAGATCGCTAACCTCCATGCCTATAAGTCCTAGGGTAAGACATACTGCAAGTTTGAAGGAATCAGCTCAAATTTTCTTTTTTCTCTTTTTTTGAAGAGAGAGGATGAGTGGGAAGAAAGGAATAACTCCTGACCATTTTAATGAAGCTTTATTTCACTAATGTGCTAAAAACATTTGCTAATATCCATGTCTTTTGTTATATCTCCTTGCTGATGAGCAAAGCTACTCTTTTTTTTCTTTAATTGTTTGTAAGTTCCTAATCTGTCGTACCTTTTTCTTTAAGTTTAGACATCACAGACCTCTGTGTCTGTTAATGATATTCATGAGCTTCCCTTCATTGGAATCGTACATGATAAGAAACTGGCAACAGTTTTTTTATGAATCTGTGAAGGCGTAACAAACCGAATGGATGGCAAGGTTAGATAGGAACCTAATAGACCTAACTTTCTCGCAGCTGCTTCGGATTGAGGAAGAACTGGGTGATCAAGCAGTTTATGCAGGAGAAGATTGGAGGCCAACCTGATCAGTCCTTCAAAGTTTTCCATCCTCCCGTCCTCTGTCATCTACTTTTAATTTGTTTTGAGGCTTCAAAAGTGAAACTCCCTTCGAATTGGGCAATTGGCATTCTGGAGCAATGTTGTAAGTCTTTCTTTTGGCTGTGTGAGTGTGCCCCCACCCAATTTTTTGGAGAACGGGAAGATGCTTTGAGAAACGTAGTTGAGTGACCGAAAGTTTTGTAACAGACCTTGGTTTTTGGTAATTGTAAACAGAAAATTCATTACAGATCCCTAGTGCAAAAGCCCCTTTATTTTCTTAGTTCTGTAGCTCCAGTTTGTGTGATGCAGATGATACAAATCTTAAAGCTTTTCAATCCTTTGATTGACTTGTTCCAGTTCATTTCGTACCTCAATGGGTGTTGTGGCTAGCATGTACTCGTGTGCATTGATTAAAGATTTTGACCCAATACCAGTAGTAGGGAAATTTGCGGATTGCACTTATATTAAAAATAAAAAATTGATGTGTTAGCTGCTTTATGATGTTTGAGTACGATATGGTGGGATGATGCTAAAAACTCGACATCATTTGAAAGAGGGAAACTATTGTATCATTATTGAGAGAAACATCTACCATTGCATTTAACATGTGAACTGCAACGTCACTGGAACTCTTCTTTTCGTTTTAATTGCCAATTCAGGGTAATATAGAATGTGCATTTTGGGAAGTATTTGCTTTGATGGGCTAATTGACGCCATAGTGATTGCTTACCAAATTGTTGCTGGAGTTTTATTTTTTGATCGAGAAGCCTAAATGACACGTCAAGAACCTTAAACCTCAAGTTCTATGGCATTTTTATACTCCACGAGTCAGGGAAAAAAAAAAAAGACTTCTAGTCTTGTAATGGCCATAAAAGGGAATTTACGAAATTTAGAATCTAAGATCTTACAAATACGAGATCCCAAGTCCTATAGCTGACCCACTAACGAGATCCTTGAAGAAGTAAGTGCGGAAGCATCATAGTCAAATTGTGGTAAAAATGATTTATTCTTATTAACTTGCCTTTCTATTTTTGTGAGTTAAGAAGAAGGCACAAGGGCCGAAACCCGGCGGTTTATGGTTACCGCAAGGCTATCATTGCTTGTCCTGTTATTTTTAGTAACCTTGATAACAGGCATGTCGTTGTTCAAATTACCCTGAAATCCTAAATTGGAATTTCTGATTACTGAGAAGTAAAAACTCTTACTCTCTCAAGTCCCCCCTAGCCCTAGCCCTAGGTGGGGGAAAGAAAAATACACAAAACGACAATATAACAACCCGTTGCCCAATTGATAGCGAAACCGAAAGAAAAAACATATTTCTTCACATTTCAGCCACTAAACGATAACCTCAACATAACAGAAACGTAAACCTTTCTCCCAGTTTGCCTCCTAAAAAACTTCGGAGTTCGGTGCCTCCTTAATCAATCTTCAACCCTACATTTAAGAAAATTCACAAAAACCTGCTGATAAATCTTCTCTCTTGATTTACAAAACTATCAGATTACCGCTCCTCTAGCTAGATCTGCATTCTTCTTTTTTCTCTGTTTTTTGCTCCATGTTAGGCTCGTTCAAACCTTAAACAAGGTCCATGTAAAACAAAAACAGATAGTCCAACTCGTTTTTTTAGGGCTTTTCCTCTTACCCTTTATCAGATTCAAAGAAATAACCCCAAATAATGAGTCGTTTATTCAACCTCGGGTTGATTGCATCATGGTACTCCTCTAATATAGGAGTTTTGCTATTAAACAAATATCTGCTTAGCAGCTATGGATTCAAGTTCCCCATATTTCTCACACTGTGTCATATGATGGCATGCTCATTGTTTAGTTATATTGCAATTTCATGGCTCAAGGTTGTGCCTTTGCAGACTATAAGGTCAAGATCACAGTTTTTAAAGATCACTGCTCTTGGGATCATATTTTGCTCTTCTGTGGTGACGGGTAACATATCTCTTAGATATCTTCCCGTATCGTTTAATCAGGCTATTGGGGCTACCACCCCATTTTTCACTGCAGTGTTTGCGTATTTGCTGGCTTTTAAAATTGAAGGTCGGCTTACTTATGCTACTCTGGTTCCTGTTGTTGCTGGTTGTGTCATTGCTAGTGGGGTGAGTACATTTTCTTCCTTATTTATATATTTTTTTGTTTGGTGTATGATCGCTCGGAATGGATCCAAAGGATCCATATAGCCGAACCCAACTAGCTTGAGATTGAGGCTTGGTTGTTTTTTTTTGTTGTATACTTTTGTTGTTCGCGCAGAATAGTTGCTTCTCTTGGTAACATGTTTTTAACCACTTGTCGAAAGATATCTGTTCGAATGTTCGATTAACTTAATATTGAAAAGTTGAGTGATGTGTTAGCTTTAGAGGATGTAATTTTCTATAGGTAATTTTTTAGTGTCGTTGTCATTGAGATCATTATTGTTCATTTAAAATTGTTATTTTTTGGATTCTTACAATTGAAAGAACAAGTTGGTGGCTTTTCATGTTGCAACGAGTTAACTCCAATCTTTTGCAGAGGTTCTATACTGGGTCTGAATTTGACAGTTACTGTTTATGATACTTCTTGCTGTTTGACTATGAGGTGTTAATCTCTAGCTATAATGCCTACTGGAATAAGTTTTTGAGGAATCCTATTTGATTGGTTTAGATAATTCTTTGATGCGTTAATTCTCTGTTTTTCCTTTATTGGTAGAAAACCATAACGTATTCGATCTTATGTGTTTTTCTCATTACTTGACTGTAGGGGGAGCCGAGTTTTAATCTTTTCGGTTTTTTAATGTGTATCGGTGCTACGGCGGCACGCGCAGTCAAGTCTGTGGTTCAAGGGATTTTGCTATCTTCTGAAGGGTAATGAATGCCTCTGCAATTAAATTTGAACCTGCTCTGTATGTTCTTGTTCTGATATAAGTGATTGATTAATGGACATGATTTGATAATCTCATTGTTTTACCAGGGAAAAACTTCATTCTATGAACCTCTTAATGTACATGGCTCCAGTAGCAGTTGCAGTCCTTGTTCCTGCAGCTTATTTTATGGAGGGAGATGTGGTCGGAATCGCAATTTCCCTTGCAAGGGATGATAGGAAATTCATATTCTATCTGATCTTCAATGCTTCTCTAGCATATTTTGTGAATTTGACCAACTTCTTGGTCACTAAGCATACCAGTGCTTTGACACTGCAGGTATCTTCTCCAATTATGTGCATAGAAATTATTTAAGCTTAATTGACAGAAGCAGCATTATGGTCTTTCATCATCTTTCCTTCCCCATCAAAACTCAAAAACTTTTGGTTCCTTCTGTTGATCCTTCAGCTTTGGAATATATAATTATAATAAGAATTTGGGTAACTTTTTATTTATGAACACCTTCCATATCAATTAAACAAACGGGAAGCTAATAAACATCAATGACCAAATTGATCGATCTTTTTCCTGCTAATCATTTTGCTCCTCTACACTGTAATGTAGTTATTTTTTTGATTCTTTAGATTTATTTTTAGACCAGTATAAATATATGTTTTGAAAGAGTCGAAAATATTGAGTCCAAGTTATGGGACTCTCTCTCTTAAAAGAGTAAGAGAACATGAGTGAAATGTAAAATAAATGTGATGGAAGTCCCACAAAAGAAATGAGACCTTGCACCAAGGGAGATATAGAAAGAAAGAAGAAGCCTAAAAAGGGGCAAGCGCAAGTTGACAAGCCCACAGAATGAAGATGGATCCTTGCACATGAAATGGTATGGTGTAAGAGACCACACATGAGAAAAGAAGAGAAAGAAAGAGACGACGAAAGAGCACAATCACAAGTTGTGTGGTAGAGAGGTGGAACACACACGATGGCACGAGCCAATGAGGTGGAGAAAGAAAGGTGCGTAGAGAGATGGATTACATGCGTCGATACGAGCCAATGAGCTGGAAAGAGAAACGTGTTATGTGTCTGCGTTGCAACTTCAAAAAAAAAAAAAAAAGTTGCACATTAGGAGTTTTGGAAGACATAGAAATATATCTCACATAGAACAGAAAGAAGAGATGGGGACAAGATATAAGTAGAGACACATAATACCAAGGTGGCTAACTGTTTTAGTGTGAAAATACTAAAATTGTGCTGTGTTGTATCTGGTCATGATTTTATTTTCATTATTCAGGGTAATCTCATTAAGAAAATTGTGCTGTCTTTCTAGGTCTTGGGAAATGCAAAGGGAGCTGTTGCAGTGGTTATTTCAATTTTGATATTCCGGAATCCTGTATCAGTGACTGGGATATTTGGATACAGCATCACTGTAATTGGGGTTGTTCTCTACAATGAAGCCAAGAACAGGAGCAGGAACAATTGAGACATCTTGCAGTGCGTACAAATATCGAGTATAATCTATTTTATGCTCGTTTATTTATCAGCACACGGCAGCAAATTTTGTTGCCAATTTAAAGCATGTTTGTGCAGCAGATGCTGTTAAAGAAATCAGGAAGAGATCGTCAGAGAAAGTAGAGACTTGCCCCTATTGACCATTGTCACACGCGGCTGTTATTTCTTGGCTGGAATTGCTCTCTAATTGTCCCCCCTTATCTGGGGAGTTGGCAGAAAATTTTGAATGATTTCATTTTTTAATTTTTTTGGTTTAAAATGATAATTTTTTTTTCCGATAGATTATCGTTTTCATGTTGAAGCTATTGTTATTTACGCCATCGTGTGGATCCCATATCTTGGTTGCAGTTTCCCAGTTCACAGCAGCTTCATGACACAGTTACCAGCTTATTTGGTGAGACTTCATCTCAACGCTGACAAACTTCAAAGACTATTTGACGTCTGTAGATTTGTTAGTAAAAATAACTGTTTTGCAGTAACTTAGTTTCACCAAGACACCCATGTGTAAATATGAATTGATTAAAATAGATGGAACCTTTAAATGAGATTGTCAAAGCACATTGAAAGCTACAATTAGACATTGATTCTGACAGTAGATCAATAATTAAAGGGGAAAAAAGGATAATTGCTAAACATTAACTTCCGCATATCATTGGGTAGGAAAGGATAGCTTTTGTATTTTGTATTAGCTCACCATCTTAAAGCCTAAAACCGCTGTCCTAGGCAAGACCTTTGCAAAAATAGAAGAAACGTAAACCAGTTCTTTCTAAAGCCACAATAAGGAAGAAACCAATAATAAACCTACATGGGAAAATATAGAGGACTGTTTATCACATAACATCTAAAAATCTTAGCAGTCAGCGCCAAAAGTAACATTGAAGGCATCTAATAGCTACAAATGGACAGGCTCCGCGCAAGAAAGCCATTGATGGAAATGATAAACATCCTGAAAACGATTTCCGAACTTACAAAGTGATCTAGGTGAACAAAGAAATAAACACTTAAGTTTCAGGTTTAGTCTCATCCTCATCCTCTTCTATCTTTGGAGCCAAGTAGAATCTGACATAACCCATTTCAGCAATCTTGTACTCAACCACAACAGGCAGGTCTGAAGACAAGCTGATTGTAACTGTGTTTGACAATGGGGTTGCCTTGGTGAAGGAGTTCATGTACCTCAGTGCAAATGTCAATGACACTGGCTCATTCATCTCAATGACTGTCGCATCTTCTGGCTGAAAAATCATAACCCTCATATAAGCAAACCCATAAAATGATAATGTTACAAAGCATACAAAACAAAACAGAACGGAAAAGAGTGCTAGACGGATATGCAAGTGACATTTGTAGTGATAACATACCTTATCAACTGTGGTATTCTGCCTGAGGACAATATTTGCAGTTCCAATATCACCTCTTGTGGAGAACTTAACACCCTCCTTTGTCACAGAGATCACAACTGCATTCACATACCAAAATCATCAGATTTTCATAAGAATACACAAATAAAGCAAAACAAACCCATGGATATAATGAGAAGCCTTTTTAACAGTACCTGTATCACCAATGCTAGCAAGGTCTTTGCAAATCCTAGCAAACTCAGCAGAAGGCATCCTAACTATAGCATGGTACTCTGCCTCTGGAATTCCAAGGTGCTCGCTATCGATGTCCATCAGTTTCATCTCAAAGTCAGCAATTTTGTCTTGTGCTATTGTTCATTGAAAAAGGAGAAACCAAAGATAAACAAATAAGTCAAAACCAACAGCAATCAATTACAATGGTTTATGATATGAGGAAACACGATAAAGAACAGTCGCTCACATTTGGTTTCAGAAACATTATTTCAAAAGGATATTTTCATCTTGAAATTGGATCAAATAAAGCAGTAAAAGCTCCAGCAGATATAGCCCAAGAACCAATTGTACCTCATAGAAAATCAATTGCTCAAAATCCAACTATATTCTTCAAAAAAATTATAAATCTAAGCCAATATTAATTCAATTTTATATCTGAAATGCAATTTTCTTTTATTTCAAGCAAAAAGCACAACCAAACAACAATAAATTAAGAACTCAATTTAAACACCAAATTACTGAATATGTTCAAAATAAAATTTCAATTCACGTACAATCATTTTTCCAGCAACAAAACAGATCATATTCTTTTAACTCTAGCATGTAATAACAGTAATGTCAAGGAATTAGAAAAAAGAAATACCCTGAGCCAAAAACCATAGCCCATCAAACAAAAAATAATTAATACTCTAATCCCCCCTCCAAAAAAAAAGCCCTAACTAGCCCACTGCAAAAAACAAATCCAAATCCAAGGAAGGAAGATAACTTACTGGGACTTTCAAACATGAAAGTGACGGTATCGCTACCATCGTCACCTTTGATGGTAATGATGTCATCATTACCAGCACACTTCAACATCTTAGACATGTTACCAAGATTCATGCCCATTGACATGTTACGATCACAGCGGTAGTGCTCGAAACCCTCCGATCTGAGGAGTAGAGCCACCAGGGCAACGTGGCTGGAATCCATGGCCTGGAGAGAGAAGCCAGTTGACGAGCAGTCAAAGTTTGCATCGTTGACAAGATCCTTGATTGACTCTAAGACTTTCTTAAGGAGAGATCCCTGTACTAGCCTCAGTTCCAACATTTTTACTTTCTTTCTTGTTTTTTCAGGGTTAGGGTTAGGGTTAGTTCTGAGACAGAAATGGCGAGTGAGGGAAATTTTAGGGCAGAGTTAGTGGGATTGGGTATTTAAATTGGTAAGAATGTGATTGGCGGGGTTTTTGGATTTGGGGCGGTATAATTCCCGCCACGGAGTTTGGGAAATAAAAGGAGGGAAGATTTTGGATTTTGAGAAACATAGGCGAAAGCCCAATACAACCACATGAACAGATTTTAATAAGCCCATAAAGGAGATCAGAATAAAGCGACGATGAAGTATGAGAAACCATTCGGACCAGAGAAAATGCTTTTTTCATTACGGAGGACAGGCCATTTCAATTTTAAATTTTTCTACAAAATTAATTTTAAATTTTGAAAATAAAATTTAATATCATAATTTTAATTCTCAATCTTTGAAAAAAAAAAAAAACAGAAAGAGATAGAGGAGATTTTAAGATTACTCGTGTTTTTATGAGACAGAGAAGAAAGAGTGTTTAAGGCTACTAGTTGTTTTAAAGAAATTTTACACCAAAATTTTTCGATGGAGAATTACAATTTTGATGTTAAATTTTAAATTTATTTTATTTTAAAATTTTCAAATTAATTCTATAAAAAAAGTAAAAAAAAATCAATTAGGCTTAAAATTATTGAAATTGAGGGTATTTAAATCATTTACTTTGTTTTATATACAAAACATAGATAGAATCACAAAAGAAGTAACATAAGTATTTAATTTTAAATATATCAAAATATAAGAAAGTCAAAGTTGGAATTAAGAATACATAAACTCATTTTTAAAGGCTGTTAATTTTAGTGGAGATTTCGCCGATTAAATCAATAAAATACAGTAGGTTCTCATTTTAAAAAATAAAATAAAACAATAATGGTTTAGAATAATAATTAATTTTCTAGGGAGCAAAATGTAGATACTCCATGAAATAACCTTTTATTTATGGGTAGATTTAAAAATTTCAAAACTCTTAACAGTAAATGAAACTTCATCAAACCACGAGGGTACCATGTTCTAGCTATATAATATATCCTTATATTTCTAATTATATCTGTTATGTTTTTAAATAATATTTATATATTTAATCTATTTTTTTATTAACTTTTCCCACTTTGAAAACGTTTTTTTATCGAAATATCTGTGAATGAAATTTAAAAAAAAAATCTAAATATTTCAGAAATGAAATATATAGATAGTGTGACTTTGTCTTTTAATTTTTTTTTCATCCTAGTTAAAAACATTTTTGTCAAAAAAATTATTCATAATAAAAAAAAGATAGATTGAAACTCAAAATACTATTAAAAAACATAGTAGATATGATTAAAAACATAAGAAAAAAAGTGAAACAACAAAAATAATAAAGGGACATATCGGCAAATGAACAGATTTACAAACATTTAAGGAATATATGTCATAAAATAATTGATATGTTGAAATCGAGTTATTAAAATAGGTAGTAGCAGTTTAAGGGAACCCATAAAATAAACAAACTGCAGAATAGCGCAAGGAAGACATGAGTAACATTTTAACTTCCATAACCAACCACCAGATGAAGCCTCAAATTTAGAAATCGCCAAGGGGAAAAAAATAATAATAATAAAAGAGAGAGAGAGAAGACCAAAACCCAGCTAAGGCATCAATGATTAATAATTACTACTTCATGTTATTTTCCTTGACAATCACTCATCATTAAAAAGAAAGAAAAAAAAAACCATATCTTCCTTTCTTTTTCTCCCTTACTCAACCACCACAATTACAATTAGCATAAAATTTATCTTCCATTTTGCCTCATTAATTCTCGATGGCTGATCTCAAGCCCAAATCCGATATTTCGTTCGTCGAAATCTTCCTGTGCAGTGCTTTCGCTGCTTGTTTTGCTGAGGTATTCCCATTTTCTTACTCTATATTTCCTCTTCATGTCTGATTTTTTATTTCAGATTCTGCTGCCTCAAATCGTATAATGCACATCCGAGCTGGCTTTTTTTTTTTTTTAGTTTATTACTTGACTGAGAAAGTTATGTCAAATTTGAGCTGATTGTAATTATAAATGTGATCCAATTCAAGGTAATTTGTTTGGGATTTTAATTGCTAGAGTTGTATCTATGGCATTGTTGTTTTATTTTGCTGATGGGTTTTGCAGTTCTGCACCATTCCTTTAGACACTGCTAAAGTTAGGCTTCAGCTCCAAAGAAAAATTGTTCCAGCTGAAGGAGTGAGTTTGCCAAAATATAAGGGTTTGTTAGGTACTGTGGCTACTGTTGCTCGGGAAGAAGGTTTGGCATCACTCTGGAAAGGCATTACTGCAGGATTACATCGCCAGTTTATTTATGGTGGCTTAAGAATAGGGTTATATGAACCAGTATGTCTTGAATGTTTTGCTTCCATACATGTGATTTAATTGTTACTAATGCTGGAGACCTTAAATGGTTGCTGAACAGGTTAAAACATTTTTGACTGGCAGTGATTTTGTTGGAGAAGTTCCTTTGTTCCATAAAATAATTGCAGCTTTGTTAACAGGTTGGCGCATATGGTTACTGTCTCAATGCTCTAATTTTAGTAAATGTCTTTAATATCATAAGTGTATGCTTTTTTTCTTTTTTTTCCTGTCAAAATCTCATTGGAAAAGCTTTCTAATTGAATAGGTGCTCTAGCAATTGTAGTTGCTAATCCAACTGATCTTGTTAAAGTTCGGCTTCAAGCCGAAGGGAAACTGCCAGCTGGGGTTCCTGGGCGATATGCTGGAGCTTTGGATGCTTATCTTACCATAGTGAGACAGGTATGCTGCTTACTGCTCTTTTGTTTTTATATTGTTAGGGTTTCAATTTTCTCCTCACTTTTTTGAAAGTTTAGGAAGGACTGAGGGCCTTGTGGACTGGACTTGGGCCAAATATAGCAAGGAATGCTATTATAAATGCTGCTGAACTAGCCAGTTATGATCAAGTGAAACAGGTAGAATCATGGTCTTTAGACTTTTAAGTTGCACTTATTTTATATTTTAGTTTTTATTGTTATGGCGAATATAATAGCTCAATAATACTCTAAATCTCTTTATACAAATGCAGACAATTTTGCAAATTCCGGGGTTCGTGGACAATGTTTTTACTCATGTCCTAGCTGGTCTCGGTGCAGGTTTTTTTGCAGTGTGTATTGGTTCTCCCATCGATGTAGTAAGCGATCTTTATCCACTTGCTTGAAATCATGGAAACAAGTAAACATTTGGCATCTATTGATTTGTCATTCGTGGCTGTAACTTACAGTTTTCTCTAGATGCACACGATATAACGAGTGCATTGGATATGCATTGTTGCCAAATTTATGGAGAATGTGAAAATAAAAAAAAAAACACACCAGAAGAACAAATTCCTATGATTGTCCGTACTGTTGTCAGGCTTATAACTTTTGCTTCTCTAGAATCTCTACGGACCTTTACGGCTCAGAATAGAAGTCATTTTTAAAGCTGACACCAGAACTGCATGTAGCCGTTGCACAACTCATGCAAAAAACAGAACATGGCAGAAAGACTGAGACTTGTGTAGAAATTTAATTAAGTGATGAAACAAATACCTTTGACATTTTAATTCATTTACTTTCAAAGATTACCTATCCGATGACCAAAGTAATTTGTGGTGCTTTCTTTGAAGTTCCATCTATCTGATAACCATAACAAAAGAATTGAAATCACTGAGCATAACAGCTTCCCAAATGATAAGGACATTGGTGACAACATTATAAATCAGGTTAATCGACCCATTAATATCAAATTCTCATGACTTACCATAAACATCAGTTTGCTGTTCTAGCATAACGCCTGAATTTCGCAGCAGCCAATGATAACGGTGCTGCTAGAAAATTATTTTGTATTGAGTTTACGTTTCTGCAATTCGGTATGCTTTTTATGACGAATGATGCTGGAGCTAGTCGACGAATGATGCTGGAGCTAGTCAGTGAATGTTGGATTATATTTTCTGCATGCTATGTTACAGGTAAAATCTAGAATGATGGGAGACTCATCCTACAAAAATACTCTTGACTGTTTTCTCAAGACACTGAAGAATGAGGTATGTTAATTTCCTTTTATGTTTTCATTGAATTTTCATCCCAGATGATATGCAATACCATGATTGACCTCTAATGTGTTTTATAGCAGTGGAAATTGAAGCTTGATATGGTAACTTGTTAACTTTCTACATGTTCCTCCTATTGCAAAACAGATAAAAAGAAAAGCTGTTCTTCATGCTTTAACATTAAATTTTTTGCATACATCTTCTTCTCTGAACACTTGTACAAAATCCTGTTAACGATCGTAATTCTTTTGCTGCATCTAAGCTTGGACCTGAATATAGTGTTAATTAAGAACATTCTGAAATCTCTTACCTTGACCAGACTGGTAGTAACTTATGGCAGCCAATAACTGCAGGGATTTTCTGCATTTTACAAGGGCTTTCTCCCAAATTTTGGTCGGCTGGGATCTTGGAATGTTATAATGTTTTTGACTCTCGAGCAAGTAAGATTTGTGGATCATGTTCTGTTTTGGCATTTTCTCATTTTAATGTAAATTCCAGGCACTTGCTTCATTCTTACTTTTGTTCCACTTGATGTTCAAGGCTTAAATTCACTTCCTTTTTAAGCGTGGGTTTTGTTTTCCAAACCTTTGCTTATTCTGTTGTTCATTTGTTTGCTTTGGCTTTACCTTTTTCTAGTTAATCTGAAGTGAACCTTCTTATTTAAAAGCTCATTCTTATTTATTTTGTTAATACAGGTCAAGAAAATAGTCACAGGGCAAGCATACTATGACTAACCATGAGTTTTTGGAAGTGGAAAGACACTAATCTTGCTTGGAACTTGCCTGTTCCACAATTGGAGATTCTTTTTCAGGAGAATTAAGGTTCAATCTGCTCACATTCTTTGCCACTTGGTCACACGAGAGAGTTTTCTGCATAATTATTTTCTAAACATTCACACTAGATTTTTTGAAGCTATCACTCCAAGGGAGTAGAAATTGCCTTCTCCCTATTCAATATGAAACTCACACTGCCATCCATTCTGTTTCAAATGTGAAGGGTGCCCACTGGCCATTCACGATTTACCCAACAAGTATCTCCAATTGGTGCAGTAAAACTCGGCACTTATTTAAGTTTGTTGTTTATTGAAGATCCCATTCTGTCAGTTGATGTTTCTTGATTATCCGAATCAGTTTCTTGATGTAGCGACTGATAGGTGTTTGTTGTAACATGCAAAATTTCAATAATAAATGTTTACAGTTGGTACCAAAGAGCTGTTGCACAAGTAAATAGAGCCCTTTTAAATGTCGTTGCCTATTTCTCATCAAAATGGTAGAATAATAGTGTCAATGTTCAGTACAAAGTTCATCAGAAATTAACAGCCGTTCACAGCAACCCTCTAAATGCCCACATTCTGCTTAATTAGTAGCATTTGTCGCCCCTTTCTTTACCTTCTCGTTCTAAACGGACACGACTTGGACAAGCACAAGTTTGTATAGATTGACTGCTCTTAATATTGTTTTGAAGTTGAAGGTAAAGCGTGTGAACCACTAAATGCTTATTGCCTGGTTTATTTACAGTTTCTGGCTAGTCTTACATAACCGTATTCCCTAACACACAATTTTGAAAAGATTAAAATAGAGAAATTAATACTAGACCAACTAATGTTTATAGTCCGAAGTTGGGACCTCCATAAGATTCCAAAAGGCATATTTTCACAGTACATAGAACATCGGTGAACTGTTACTCCTAAACATTAACAAACTAGGAATCTCCTAGAGTCACTTGCAAGTTTTCTTCGAATGCTAAGGGGCTGCAAGCTACCTGGGTATATCGTAACATCCTAGAGAACATGACTTACACATATCAGGCAGCTTAAACTCATGACCTGGGCACTAGGTAAACACTAGCCTTGATAACCGACCCGTTTCCAAGCTTGAATCCAGGACTAACAGGGAATCCCACAATCTGACCAGCTGGTATCCGCCCACCAGAAAATTTCACAACACTCTCCATGTATTGTGGATGAAACTCTGCTCCCCTACTTGCCTCAAATTGACTCGGTGCAGGTTCGAGTGAGAAGGCCAGCAAGTGAAGCAACCAAACAGCCTTGGCGAGCTCCAAGAACTCTCCATAAAACTGACTCCTTGGATGGCTGCCAGCAAGTAGTTGCTGGCGTTGCTCCAAGTTTCCAAACAAGGACTCCTCCATTTTCGGATGAACAATTGCCAGGTACTTCTTGGAGCAGAATTTGCCAAAATGACAAGTTGGCAAGACTCCAAGAAGTTCAATGGGGTCCATGGCCTTCATATCACGGTACTGAGTAAAGCAGTCACGGCGGAACTGGTCTGGGTTAAGAAGTGAGGAGAGGCTTCCATCCATGTAGAAGGTTTCATGGTCAAAGCCTTGGAAGACCTTGCGAGAAATGTAGGACTCCAAAGCATACTTTGCATGGTGGCTTGCAATGGTGGAGGTGATAGCAGTGGTACTGCTGGTAAAATTGTCAGTGGTTGCAGTGGCAGCTTCAATAGAACGAACAGCAGCAGCAATGTCCCAATGGGCAGCACGCATTAAGGTCAGGAGAAGCGATGTGAAGGACTTTGATGTCTTTTTCACTTGGCTTGTCGTTAATTCAAATAGTTCTGGTGCTGGAGCAGCTGCAACTGTTGCAAATAATCGAAAGGTATAGTTCATAGACGCATCCCAACATGAACAGAACAAAGCATTGATAAGGAAATAATACATTTATGTTCCATTTAGTTGCTAAGAAAATGACTGAATATTAATTAAAGTTGAAGCGTGCAACCTCTTAAGATTTGCAATTACTCTGGTTTCCAAGTTTAAGTAGAAACTTACAAGCTGACTTCAACACTCATGTGCATTGCAGGTAAGCATCAAACTTCTTAAGTTTCTCTGTCAATTTCTCAAATCTTCGAAAACAGTTTAAGCCGTACTGGTTAATTCTCAAATCTCGAAATTTTGGCGTTACTAGTTACTAAAATTTTGCATGGGTGATCTAAAGACTCAAATTTTCAACTGTGTTTGTTATATGCAAATTACGAATATAAGTCCAGAATTTTTATTCAAAGGTACACTCACATGTTATGATTGCATTCTGATACAAGCCTAAAACAGTTCTTTGGAGTAGACTAACCTTGAGCACCGAGAGAGCAGCTAACTTTCCTCCATGACTTAGACCTCCCCTTCTTTCCACTCCCATTACTGCTCAAGCTAGTAACACTCCTCAGCTTCTCCTTTAAATTCTCCACCTCCACTTCCCTCGCCTTCACTTCCTTCTTCAGCCCCTCCACCGCTGCTTCATAAGGCGCCACAACCTCCCTCAACATCCCCACTCCACCACCACCAACATCAATACCTCTCCTCCTCCCTCCACCACTACCAACACTAACACACCTCCTAAACCTCTCTCTCAAAAAAGCCAACGTCCTCAACTCCCCCACCACCGCCACATCAGCCACCCTCATCCTCTCCGGGTCCCACGGACTATGCGCCTCTTGTAAACTCCCATAAGCCCTCTTCATCGCAGATACCGAATCAAACACCTCATTCATCAGCATCTCCATCTCCATCACTCTCTCCATTGGCACCACCATTCCGCTCTTAACACCACAATCCCAATTAACCTTAACTTTCCCTCCCTTCTCTCCAATTTCCTCCTCCCCTGCTTCCGACAACTCCTCGCATTCATCCGTTTCATATTCATAAACTTCCTCACCATTTCCGGCAACATTATTTCCAGATTCCTGTCTACCAGCCGCAAGTGGATGGAGCAAACAGGAAGCTGCTACTCGTTGGATTAGATCGGAGAAATTGGAAGAGACTTTGTTTGACATTTCTCCTTTCTTCTTTGGCTTCACCTCAAAGTTCCTGGCCAAAAAAAAAAAAAAAAAATTGAAAAAACAATCAAAACAGAGAAAGACGTAGTTATTAAAGGTAGGAGGAAGAGGAAGGAGTGTGTTAAAGGTTCTCCGTCATTTGCTGAGGATAATAGCAACCTGCAGCGGCACCACACCCTTTTAACATAACACCACACCTACTACTTAATAATTACGATTGGATTTGGAGATGCATTGCATTTAATAAGCAATGACCCCAAATGGCAAGTAATTAATGATGAGTTAAATAGAAAGGGATTTACATTTACTGACCTGGGATTGGGATTGAGATTGTTGTAATGGTCGGATCGTAGAGTAGTGAATCTCGCTGGCTTCACTTTAACTACTGGATCTTTTTCTAATGGAAAGGAATAAAAGAAGTTAAGGTTGTTGTCGTTAATGTTGTCCTCTGCTTCCAGCTGGTTGCTCTTCTTCTTCTTCTTCCTACAAACCCAAAAATTGCTACTGTCAGCGATCGTAGTACTTTGCTGAGTTAGAGCTTGTGTACAGTGTAAAAGAGGAATGAATGTGAGAACTGGCTATGAGTGTCATACACGTGTGAGATCATGAAGAATGTAGGGTTCAGATTGATAGATACGATATAGTAATCTGTGCTTTTTATCTTTAATTTGAAGTGGGGACATGGATGATGGATGCTGTCGTGGGCTGCGTGGTACTTGGACAGCGGATTGAAGAACAAGTCAATATCTTGACGTGCAAATTCCCTCTTTAGCAGGAAGTGTAGTTAATTAGGGTAGATGCTCAGTTATTACTTATAATACACATGTTCAGTCTGCACTTAAAACAAAAACAGAGAAAAATCTTCAAGCTTTCCAGATTTTCTTCCTTTTATTTATATGGCAAACAAACAAACGAGGTGTGGCAAACCCTGATGGGCTCAAAATAATAGGCCCTTACCACATGAGGCCATGTCCCACAAAATTTATGGCATCTCCAAAAAGGGTGCTCAGTGCTGCAGAAATGCGTAATTGCTCAAGCCACAGACAAAAGGACAAGATTGAAACAAAAAACAATTTTTCTCCTACCTTCTCGATGATAAATAAGATATTCTTTAATTATCAGATTAAGCAAAAGAAGAACATATATATCTGAGTTATAATAATACTTCTGTGCTTAGTTTACAAAGAAAAATAGATAGCGGTGATTAATTAAAGCTCACGGATTCTTAGTGATAAATAGATAGGCGAAGCAAGTTACAGAATATGGATGATTACTGCGTACTACTCCTCTATGGTATCAAAATATCAGTCCCTCACTATTTGTGACATGGTCCAGATAAAATATAAGACTGGACATGATTTTAATAGAATGTCTAAATTCCCATACATTAATTATCTAGCTCGATAGAATCTCAGTAACTCACATTCCAAAGAGATCACGGGTTTTGAACTGTTTCTTTGTAAAAACAGGGTGAAAAAAAAGGCTTGATTGTGTAATTGATGGATGACCATCGATATTTATGAAATATCAAACAATTTGGTTTTATCAAGTGACAAGTTCTAGTTATTTTCGAAACTCAGTGCCCATTACAAAACAGAGCAGCTAATGTTAATGGGAACCGGACAAGTTCAAGAAATGAAGGGCATGACAGAAGTTAAGGTCAGGGTGGTCAGGATGAGTTAAATCTTTATCAGAAACAGGCCTTGAGCACCTGACCAACGAGACAACGTGTCTTGCAAACATCTGATAAAAAAACCAATCAGCACAAAAAATGTGCCGCAGTTATGTCCAATTACAGTGGCTTGAGCTGCCTACCTATTACGTATGTGCAAAATTGCTTAACAACCAATACAAAATCCTAAATTAAGAGAAAAATAAAACCATGGAAGTTGCCAGCTCAAATTGGGATACCAAAAATAATTGGAATTTGCAAAGCATAAGCTTGATAAACTCATGCAGCTAAGTATTAGTATGATGCATTTAATCTTCCAGTCTGGAAGTCCCAGATAATCAATTAATTAACTACCTTAAACCTAACGAATGAAACACTCTCCTAGAATAAGATCAACGAAGCTGCAGGTTGTTAATACTGTAAAATCAGATATCGATTCATTTGATCTGCTTACTGGGAGACACAAAAGTCTCAAAGCTAATTTAATAAACGGCCATGAAACCAGAAGTTTTAGAGATCCCCCAGAGAAAATGAGGAGCGAAAAAAGAGTTAACTTCTCTTGTGGGAGCTCTAACACTGCATTTTTCTGTTGCAACTTGCAATCTTCATGGAAATGCACCATGAAAATGGTGAAAGCAAATACAATACAAAGGAAAGAAACTAAAGAGTCATTGCTTCTGCTGATAAACCCTGAAACACAGGATATGGACTTACGATTCTAGTCATGAATAGAAGTGTGGATGATTGGGCATGCATGCATGATCAAGATTGCGTTAAAGTTTTGTGGAGGTTACCTTGTGCTGTCCGAACGCGTGGAACAAAGTAGAATTCCGGAGAACATGGTCTCAAATATTGGTGGGGAGATATTTGCAAGTAATTTATTTGATTCAATGAATACTGCAGAGAGCTCCAAGGTACATAGGAGATATATATATATATATATATAATTCAAGCTTCCCACGGCTAAAAGCATGTATCAAACTCACAAAACAATACAAAAGGAAGCTGTTCGATTCGATAAGAATCTACATTATGATGACTTCCGTTTAGATGTTTAGTCACCACTCACATACGGTTCACTGAACTTGACAGCACCTTATTCGATTGGTTTGATTGGAAACCGTTGGAATATTTTTTAATAAAATATTAAAAACTGTATTTATTATATTATTTATTTAAAAAGAAAAACGGAAAAGAGTATGACAGAAACAGTCGTAAAAGGAGTATATACTGTTTCAAAACAGTCATTTGTCCAATGTAATGTTAAAGAAGTATATTTTCTGTATTTGCCATTGACATTAAAATTTATTTCAACGTTAATTTTCTCAAACTGCTATCTTCTGGTAACCTATAAATGTGATATTTTTTCTTGTAATTATATACACAACAATTCTTATCTTGCTTAGAGAGAAAAAATAAGGAAAAAAATTATCAGCATTTTTTTCTTTGTTTTGTTCAGAGAGAAAAATACTTCTTTCAATTTGTTTGTTTTTGTTTCCCATTAAAAAGTCATATTATTTTTATTAGTTCTTTTTTTGGATAAGAGTGGTATTATATTATTCGGAGTTTCAAGTCTTACAAGTAATGTAAACTTGTTAAGACCGACAAAGTGGTTGAGCTTGTTATATATCCTAGATAATGTGCAATATATTCTTGATCCGTTGCATCGGATAAATTTTGTGAATGACATGTATCGTCTCAAGAAAGCAACATGATTGTACCTCGAGCCAATCACTTAAAAATTATAGCAAAACCATTTTTATAGTTCGGTTATCTTTATACCATGACACATAGTAACATGATTTTAATCTCGAATTTTTTAATGATCAAAGTAAAAAGTTTCAATTCTTTATTTATTTTAATTTAAAATAAATAAATAAATTTATTTATTATGTTAAATTTTATTATTTAATAATATTTCTTTTGTATGCTAGGAACAACAATTTGAGGCGATTAGCCATGTCGTGAATTAATGATTAAAATTGTGGAATGAAATTAGGCATGGAATTTTAACATTATGCTTTTATAATATCGATGTCATTACTTGTCTATTGTGGTTTTTGATCGGTCTTTGATGATTTTGCTACTTAATTGAGAATAAAGCAAGTATTGAAAAAAATATATATATTATTTTGTTGATATCTTAGTTGGTTGTATACATCTAGCAAATTTTATTAATTGAAAATAAATGTTAATTAGCCATGTGAAAAAAAAATGATTTCATTTATTGTCTTATTTTATTCTTGCCTCCGGACCATATATTGTTATAGGTGAATTGATAAATCTTTATGTGTGATAATATAAATATATTGTTAATTCTTTATTTTATTGAGTTTTAAATACAATAAACTTATTTCAATGTCAATTTTATGTTCGTGTGATTGCGTTGCTCTTAAAAAAATAATAATAATGAAAACATCACTACCATATGTGGCTAATGAGATGCCAAGATTATGTTTGATAAAAAATAAATATTATTTTTTTGCTAATATATTTTATGTGCATGAGATTATTTACATATTAATCCGTAATGTCTTTTGTAACTTACAATTTTCTATCAAATATTATTATTCAAGATCAAGAACATTGATAATTTTGAAAAATAATATTTTTGATATCAACCATAATATTGATTTATTTTTGTGAATTTTGTGGTTGATTTAAAAAATAGAATTGATTTATAAATTTATTTATATTGATAAATTATAATTATTGACATTGAAATTATTTGTTATGTTGATTTTATGTTATCGGGATTAATGAGAAGTCAACTAAAACAATATATCCAATATTTTTATATGGATATATTGATCATCTTGGATGCAAAGTCAAGAAAATCAAATTTATGTGGCATTGGAGGCAATGGAAGCTTAGTCAATAAAAAATATTTCAAATCTCCAACGATACTTACTATACAATAAGTATAAAAAGTCTAGTAAGTATTCTCAATGTCAAATTACTAAAGTTTTTTTTATTATTACCCCATGTATTTGAGATTGATCACTTTTGGTGATGAATGCATGTGATACTTATATTTGTAAGTAATTTTAAACTCTTGTATGAATTGGTCTATACTAGAGTTATTTAATCTATAAGTCATGATTCAAGGAAAAAATTAAAGGAGAAATGTGAATTATCATATAAATTTTTGTTCTTAAATTATTATTGGTTCACATAATTGTTTACTAAGACTTGAAAAGGTCACATGTTAATTTAATAAAGATCAATTTTTATTTTGAGTGTCAATTATTTTTATGTAACTCATGTTGAAATTGTTTGACACCCTTACCAAACTATGAGAATATAAACAATTATTAAAATAATAATCTTGTTAGTAGATTATTGGTAAGATAAAGGTCCATGATTTAATAAATGATTTTTTTGTCATATATTATTCTCTATGTGAAAATAAAAATTTCATATATTATCTTATTTGAAAAAAATATTTGTTGCTTATTGTTTAGTCAAAACAATAAATTATGAATGATGATGAAATAATAGAATAATTCATAATATCACTTTGTCTACGATGGTAGTAAGAAAAAATATTCATTATGTAAATAGAGGGGGCACAAAAAATGCTATTGCATTAAAATTTTATTTGAGAAAATTATTATGTAATTCAAGATAAATTACCATAATTATGTCATGATGATAAATTATCGATCATAATTTTTTTCATGATGTTTGAATTTTTTGCCACATGTAAATTTTTAATGTGATGCTATTGAAAATATTTATAAAAGCATTTCTACTATACAAAAGGTATAACGATACTTATGGATTATTTGGTTAAAGCATTCTTATTATACAAAAAGTATAATGATGCTTATGGAATATTTGACAAAAATATTAAAAGAATTGATGGAATTAATGACACTACTATTGTACAATTAAGGTACAATTGTGTTTTAATAATATTATTTGATAAGTGAAATTAGAGGCACTCCTATTGTATAATTAAGATATAATAGTGTTGTAATGATATTGTCTAACAAGACAATTGGTGATATTTTGAGAAATTTAAATCTCTAGTTAAATATTGACATTCCTATTGAATAGATGATGTCAAATTTGTATGAGAAACTAGTTATCAAAAAATATCCCTTTTTACTTCAATGTGATTATATTAAATCGTTTTCATTGTATTAGGAAATACAATTATGACATCGTGCTTTTGCATGGTGATGTCGATGGTGTGAGAAATAATTAATAGTATGTTTACCATTGGTGAAGTATGTGTGTGGTGAAACTTAAATTAGATAAAAGGCCAAAGTCAATGAAAAAGCAAGTTGATGCAAATGAAAAAACAAGAGGATGTTATGGTTTGTCCGAAGAACAAATAGTAAGGATGAAAAATTTCTACCACTTATCTTAGCATTAATGAATTGATTAAGTGTTAGTTACCTAATCTTTTGGGTGTATATTGAATATTGTGAGAGTAAATTTTTAGCTAAAGCCGGAGGATTAGATGATACATCAAAGGGGATGAACTAAGCTTATAAATGAATAAAATCACCTCTCGTGGATACTCTATCTAGGAATTGGAGATCCCAAAAACTAGATTCATGGAGAAAAACGAGCATGGAATGGTTTCATTACATGCATAATTTATTTGAGTTACAATACTTATATGTCTATCCTTATGGTGTAGTGCTCGAATCCCATAACAAAAGAGAGGTTAAGTTTATTTAAACGAAACTTTTAATGTGATATGTAGCTCTTTTTTAATTGGATGTTAGAATTATGAGAGCATCCTTGATAGACACACCTATATGAGTAAGGAAGTGGGCCGCTTCCTATGAGAATCGAGTTAATTCTCTAGAAAACTCGTAGAAGATGGGATCGAACAAAAGGCCGTTAACGTGCTAGCTTCGAAACTCATTGTAGAGTACTTGAATATAATATGTATGATACAATATTTGTTTCACTTAAAAAGCCTTGGTTCAAGACAATATTCACCATGACTTGAGAGAAATGTTATTGAAACACTAAGTAAGGATTAAAGTCATTGACACCCTTATTATGTATTATAATTGTTTCCTTACTCAAAAAAAATATGCCTAATATTTTATTGAAAATTAAGTAGAGGATTGTTGCAATATTTTTTAATAAAATATTTAAAACTCTATTTATTATATTATTTATTTAAAAAGAAAAAAAGAAAAGAATATGATTGTTTTGAAACAGTCATAAAAGGAGTACATGATCGTTTAAAAACAATCATTTGTCGAATTTAATGTTAAAGAAAAATGGTTCCATAACTGTTTGTTTGCCATTGATTTTAAAATTTATTTCAACATTTATTCTCTCAACCCATTATCTTTTGGTAGCCTATAAATATGATATTTTATTCTTATCATTATATACACAACAATTCTTATCTTGTTTAGAGAGAAAAATAAGGAAAAAAATATCATCATTTTTTCTTTGTTTTGTTCGGAGATAAAAATAGTTCTTTCGATTTGTTTGCTTTTGTCTCCCATTAGAAAGCCATATTATTTTTATTAGTTCTTTTTTTGGGTAAGAGTGGTTCTATATTATTTAGAGTTTCAAGTCTTACAAGTAATACAAACTTGTTAAGACACAACAAGGTGTTGAGTTTGTTGTATCCCCGAGATAACGTGTAATACATTCTTGATCGGTTGCATAAGATAAATTCTACGGATGATGCGTATTGTTTCAAGAAAGCAACCTAGTTGTATCTCGAGCTAGTCATATAAAAATTATGGCAAAACCATTGTTATGATTTGGTCATCTTTATACTATGACACATGGTAACGTGATTTTAATCTCAAATTTTTTGACGATCAAGGTAAAAAGTTTCGGTTCTTTGTTTATTTTAATTACAATAAATTTATTTATTATTTATCATGTTAAATTTTATTGTTTAATTATATTTCTTTTGTGTGCTAGGAACAATAGAAACTAATGATCGGTCATAAAAAAAATATCAAAGAAAAACTCATCTGGATATAAATAATCATCAATCATATCTCGTACTCGTTGAAATTAGGTTGTAATCTAATTATTACTTGTTGTTTAGTCTAGGAATTCT